ATTTAAAACCACCCCCTCTCAGGTAATTCAGAATTATTATTATTATTCCAATCTCACAGAGACAGAAGATACCATTTTGGCTGGCTGCAACCCAGAGAATGAACACAAGAGACAGGTTTCCTCTCACCATAGCAATGGCGTACCCCCTTTCCCCACCTGCTATAATGAAACAGTATCTGTTACAAACCAGAGAAGAGGACAGGCAGGACTTGAATGTCCAGTGTAGGGTGTGGGTAGGGGGAAAGAACAGCCATTAAAAATGTAGCTGCTGGAGGCAATTTAAACTATACGCAGACTGTTCAGGTATCAACTTCATGGCTATGGTGAGATTTGCAATTTCCCAAATCTAATCTCTTGCCAGAGTAATTACCATTAATTAGATCACATGGCTGCAGGCCCATAACAAAACAGCCAAGCACAACTTAAAGATGATGTAGAGAAAGCCTCAAGTATTACTGAAGAGGCCTGTAAAACCTGCCCTGTGACTTATTAGGCAACACATCCATCTCCAAGCTGGCGGAGAAAGGCTAGAGGCCTAGCTCTCAGACACAGGCTCTGGCACAGCATACAAGTTAGGGGTCAGTATTTGGAAGTTCCTGAGCCACAACTAACCTAAGTCACCCCACAATCACCAGAGTTCCTAACACAAAGGCAACAGAGAACAGAGAGAACCATAGTTTGTGGAAATGAAATCTTCACTGAAGCCCTTTGAGATTATGCCTCAGAGGTTAAGAAACCCTCCTTTATCCTTCACAAAAGTAGCTGCTCATCAGGAAGGTATATACAAGAGAGTCACCTGTGGCCAGGAGAGTCCATGATAGAAATAATACTTCATCTGATAGTTTTCAGGCAAGCAAAGGAGGTTGCAGTGTTGCATGTTCATCAGGTCCTCGGGCTAGTGATTGGAAAAGGGAAGACATTTGAGACAAATCACATAACTTTTCAGCGGCAGGTCAAAACCTTTTTATTTAACCGTTATTTTAAAAATTTGTATTTTAATGCAACAGTCATGTTTTATTGGTTTATGTTATTCTTTAGATTGTTTTAATGTATTTGGTTTTATTGACTGTGAGCCATCCCAAGATACTATACATAAGGGACAGCATATAAGTTTTAAATAAATAAATAACCATTTGCCCCACCCCCAGCTTGGCAAACCCATCAGTGGCTACTAGCTCTAACAGCTGCATGGAACCTCCACATTCAAAGGTAGTACACCACAAAATATGAGACAGATCAAATCCATAAAAGAAGCAATGGCCTTCAACTTGGAAGAGCTGAATGGAGCTGTCAAGGGTAGGCCATTTTGGAGGGCCTTCATTCATAGGGTCACTATAAGTCAGAGATGACTTGACAGCACATAACAAAAATAATTCAAAATACAGGATGCTAAATTTGACAGTTAAATACATAAATACTAGGGATCACCAACAGGAGCCAGCCATCACCACCCTGGCCTACTTATCACTTGCACAAAAGCATGAGGCTGGCAACTGCCGGGAACAGTATACTAGGGAAAAAATCAAAATGGTATTTGACTGATTTAGTACGAATCACTGATAGCAACGATGATTGTGGCTGTGAGCGGCAGCAGCCAAACAGAACTACTATATTCGGAAACAGGGCTCCCGTTCTTGAAGACAAAATGCCCCAGACCTTCAAGTATTTCCTTTCAATACAGCAAAACCCCCGGGCGGCTCCCAAGCAGCACAACTGCTGCCCATTGGATCCCAGCATCTCACAGCCTAGATGAACTGCTCCTGAATGGGGAGGTTTCATTCGCCCCTCACAGCCAGTTCACCCACGGCAGCCAGGCTCATGCTTGGGGCCAAACAGACCCAACGCAGCAGCTCACGCGAAATCAGAAGGGCGTGCTTCAGAGTAGCCCCTCTTCTTTCGGGCAGAGAGGCTGGCTTACATAGAAGCGGGCGCCGTTCAAGTGGGGTAGGATTTGGAGGCCAGGTTCAAAACATTAGCTATTAGCCCGCCGAGACAGTTTGAAACTAACCAGTATGGTTCTTTAAAGGAAAATTAAAATGGGGGAATTACAAGCTTGCACGATCGCACATCGATTAAGCATTGAGGGTCGAGTGGGCAGATTGAACAAGGGCCTTGTCCATCTTTGACTTTTCTCGAGAACCCCAGGCAGGCCTCCACCTCTCTTCCCCTGCAACCCAATCCGGCCTCTGCACCCCCGGCCTCCCCATCAACGCCCTCCCGTCGACCCCGGGACTCGAACCCGCGCATTCCGGATATTCATCGTGCCGGGGTCGATCCTTTTTCCAGCTCACGCGGCGGCCACAACCATAAAGGCTCTAAAGGAAGGCAAGGCGTTGGGTGGAGGAAAGAACGCGTCCATCTCTGCTCCGCAGCCAATCCTGGGCAGACAGGAAAAAAACGATAGCCAATAGTGATATAAAACTTGCATTGTCGTCCCACCCTATTGTCCAATGCCCACTACCCACAAATAGCTGTGTCCTCCTCGGCACCCAATCAGAGCGCTCCTAAGCCTGGTGACTTCGACCAACTGCTAGACCGAATACTCTTCCTTATTTTATCCCTGTATTGCTTTATTCGTTTGGTGCTTCCGCCCGTGACCAGGTTAGGAAGACATGATATTAATCCCCACCCCTTAGGCTCAATCGAACAAATCACCTGTCGCTTACCGCCATCTGGGAAACGGAACTTTGAATTGATTGCAGTTTCAGCCAATCATAGAATAGATAGTGATCACGCTATGAACCGGTAAATCAATGAAAAGGCGGATGCAAGGAGATGCAGGAAATTAACCAATAAAAACAGAGGAATTATCTATGGTACCAGTTCTGAGAATGGAAATGCTGATTAAACGTCGTAGCTAAGCGGTGAATTCAGAATTTCTTAGTGCAAATGGCTCCTCCGCATTCAACTCAGCAGGTGGCCTTGAACAAGTTCCTCTGTGTCTCTTGTCTTCATACGGACGTGATAATATTGACCTTCAAGGTTATTGTAAGGATTGCGAATGTTAAATACGGGGAGGGGGGCTGAATTAAAATGTTGACCGTCTGGAGAAAATCTATATGCTAGCTCTTCAACTGAAGGAATCCTCTGACACCTTATAAAGATGCCGCTTTTTTGGCGTAAGATAGTTTTTCTGGACAATAGCCCATCAACAATAACTATCAAGGAGTATTAGGTAACTCCCAGCTGTAAAAAGTTTAGCTGCTAATTATTGCTCAATATATGAATTGGTAAAGGGGATATACAAGTGTCAAGTTTGCTGGGGCTTGTCGGGAGAAAGTGAGCGAAAGCCCCGTCATAATATGGCTACTGAAACCCCAACACTGTAAGAACAGCTTTACACTTAAGGTGGGATTCCTGATCTGATAAGGAAACCATGTTGCCAATCTTGTTCCCTATTTTTGTCTCTTAGAAATGCTTGTCCTGCTCAGGCACACTCTTAGATATGCTAATTGTTTGCCTGTTCTGAAGACTCCTCTTTTTTGTGTGTTCGTCTTAATTCATCCAACCGTTTTTTACTTTTGTAGTAAGCTCTCTTTGTGATCTCCCACCTGCTTCTAAACTGTGTGCGTAACTAATGGCATCTTGGACAGACTCTATAGTCCCTCTGGGGGCTACCTATATGTGCATGCACTTCCTGTATGTCTGAATAAACTGTAGGTGTTCTTTTGATTGTACAACTCCAGTGGACACTGACAGGTTTTTCTCGGGGGAGTGCAGCCTTATCAGAACAGACTGACACCCTATCCCTGGACCAGTAGGTTTCCTAGCTATGATGTCTAGAATCGATTTCAGTTTGTTTACCCTCTAGTCCTGAAAGAGGGAGACATTGATCTGACTCAACATTTAGGCTACTACCTATTAACATCTTAAATGAAAGTTTGGTTTGGTAAATGAGATTTTATTTTTCCCACTGAACCTAATTCTAAGAGTCTCTTTCTTTGCTTGCTATACAGCTTTCCCAAAGAACTAGTGCCTTCAAAACAAAACTGCTGTGCCATCATATTTTCTTTTGTAGGCCTTGTAGAGGACCCTTGTTGAAAGGCAGCATATAAATCCCATAAATAATAGAGTTTCTGGGATTCCTGCCTTGTCCAGTAGGTGGCAGTCATGCAGAGCCTACTCAGGGTCTGCTTCCCTAGCAACAGGAGCTGAGCTAAGAGAACATGTGGCCATAACTGTAGATGAGGTTTGCATTTGTTCTGGTGGGTCTATTGGATGGATCCTTCCCAGGCTGATTTGCAAATCACTGTTCACCTGGTTATCTTTGCAGGCTGAATCATCCTTATCAGGGATCACCACATTGCTCATCTGACCTGAAAGCATCTCCAAAGTTTGAGTCATCTGGATTTCAAGTGCCATTGGTGCAAATGACCTCTGTAGTGCTGATCAAGACATGGACAGACAGAAATCTTGCAAGTCATGTTTTTCTCTTCCCTGGCTTGCAGGAAAAGTTAGGTCCTGCTTCCAGGTACAATTACATCATACTGGGAATCAGTGAACTATAATCAAATGCTCATTTTTATGAACAGGGAGAGTGCTGTGCTCATGTACTACAGTGGCTAAGAGACCACTTTGTCATCTGCAACCACTTTGTCATCTGTACAAGCCTAGTGTACAGTATGGTAATGCAAATTACAGTAAGAAACTGGTTGTGATATAATTTGAAAGCACCTCACAAACACTGAGCATTCGAACAGCCAGTCTAAGAAGGCATTGAACAAGCAAACGTTAGTCCAAGTAGTTTTCAAGCAAAAGAAATGTCCAGCTAGCTCCTCTGCTTTGTCAACAAACTTTCTCCACGACTACACGTTCAGCAGATAGACTAAGTATGCAACATTAAGCCATAATATTAATATAAGCTTGGAATACTATACACACTGTCTTTTAGCCAGATAGATTTGCGTAGGAACTGGCTGAACATGGCCCAAAGCAGCTTTTCCTACCACGCTAACCTCCAGCTGTATTGAATCAGAAGCCCAACCTGACAACTGCCCATCCCTGCAAAGCAATTTGTAGTCTGAAACATCATGAGGTTGTCAGGATGGAGGTGACTGGCCTAAATTGCGGCAATTCAAGGACAAAAAGCATATCTCACACACTGCCTACTGAACCCTGTATGATATCCCAGCAAAGCTATGAGGTGGCAGAGAACGAAGACTAGCCAGGTTAGATAGATTGATCATGTCATTTCATTAAATCCTGGCGGTGGGTTTTAAATACAAAAACTAAGGTATTATATAGCTCTCTATCAACCTTTAAAACGTATGGGACTCTTGCAAAACGATTGCAGCAGGGTGAGGGGAGTAGAACTGTTTGTAGAATTATATGATCAAAAAGTGATAGCTTATGCAAAAACAAAACCAAGTCTGCGGTTTTTGCTTTCCCTAAAATTAGGAAGTGACTTGGAACAGATAGCTAGGTTACAAATAGGCTAAGATGATAAATCTACAAGCTACATTTCAGGCTAGAGATGTAAGATTGGAAACTAGATTAGCTAGAAGCTTTTCTCAGAACTCAGACACAACTTTAAGTCCATGTCTAATAGCTATATCCTCTACAAACACTAGATCTGCACCTTCAGAACACCCCTTTCCTTGTGTCTTCGCTAAAGCTTTTTTTTTTAAATGTAGCTGCTAAATAGCTTTGAATTCATGATTATTTGGGCCACTTAGCAGTGTGAGCTTTAGTAAGAACACCTACAATTCTTGCCCATACCCAGAGCACAAATTTCCAAGGAAGGGAGAGAAATATAGAAAGCAAGGATCAGCCCAAAGTTAACTGGTTCCTCTGTTTCATACAATGTGAACACACATTTCTTGCTTGACTATAATGAAGATAAAGACTGCAGTCTGGTGTGGCATAAGCCAGATAGGTTTTGTTCCTTCAGTGAAACTAGGCCTTTATTACAACCTTGGAAGTCATTTCCTAGTAGATTCCCTTTCTCCTAAATTTTATTTCTTTATAGTTTTTATATACCGTCCCAATACTAACATCTTGGGACAGTTTACAACAAGCACACTTAAAATAAGATTAAAAATGGTAAATAAAAGAAAAACATAAAAAGTAGATTCAGCACTGTTTTCCATTCTGCATTTTTTTACACTGATTATTTCATAGATCCAGAAGAAGGGGCAGGTGGTAGGCAGAGGGTAGGGAGAGTGCAAGTAGCAAAGGCCCCATAACTAGAGTGAGAATGAGGGCATTAAAAAAATTCACCTGCCCATCATTACAGAACCACAATACTGTTAACTACCACTCTGCTCTTGTAAGCCTAAGTCCAGCTGTACAGTAAACTTGTTCTAAATGGTGCTGCCAAAACAAGAAGTCGAAAGATGGCTGTTGGAACTGAAATGAGAAGTGAAGGAAAGGATGTTCTTCAGTTTTCTATCATGATTGGAGAGAAGCATGATAGGACATAAGTTCCTCAGAGGCAAAATATGGAAAAGACCTTCCCCCTGACTCAGTGTAAGTCAGGGGAACATTTCATTCCTGAATGGTAGGTTCAGTCTCCTTTATGAGCGACTCCAGAATTTCTTCACACATATAGAGAGCACGAGGGACATGGAAACAGCCTGCACAGTGAGAAATAAGAGGTTGAAAATGAGTATGAGACAGGGATTGTGGCACCCAAACAGCTTTCTTTACCCCATTTCCTAACCATAGCGCAGTGGGGTATTAGAGTGCAGAAGTCTGTGTGTCTGAAAGGGGTCAGTGGCAGAAACAGGTTCAGTATTCTCCTGAGCCCAGGATGCCACAGTGGAGGCAAGAGGGTTGGAATGTAACTTTATTAACTGAAATATGAACGGGTTCACTTGTACCAGAAAGAGGCTTCTGCCAGACTCAGACCTGCTAAGCATGCTCTGGGAATTGCTCGTAAGGCAACAGGAATATGTACTGTGGGGGCAAAGTGAGGCAGCCATTTTGGACAGCAGACATGTGATACCATCCAGGGCAGTTACTTATTTTAGTGAGGCTTGCCAGAATTTTTGTGCAGCCTGTTGTGGTAGGTACTGATGACACACATCTTGGATATTCTCTCTCCGGCCCTCAAATGTCTGGACTGTAGTTCCCACCCTGGGCCTGAATCTAGTTAAACTGCATTTTATCAGCTGAGAGGTATTCAATCCCTTGAGGAGAAAGTCATTCTCTTCTGTAAAATGCCCCAATCAGTTCTATTGTAATACAACAATCAGACTTTATGGCATCTGCAAAATAGAGACTAAGCCTGTAATTCAGTTAAGAAACCTTCGTTGATTAAAGTCAGAAATTAATTTGAATGTAAATAAAATAAATTTTTGGAATAAAGGTGAACATAGGTGTTCCATTAGAAAAGAGGCATTCTTGAGTCCTGGTGTCTTAGAAGAGGCTGCCTGCCTTCCTTATCTTTTATAACCAACTGCATTCTAAATAATTAGCCTTTAAAAAAATGAACTGAAAAATGAAATCAGGGGCACTTTGTTGTCTGTGAAAAGGGCTTAGCTCAACTAATTTAACCAAACACCTAACATTTGCAGCCTTCATGGGAATATTAAAATGGTCCTTCACTACTTGTCAACAGCCTTTGCATATTCATACTACTATAGAAGTAACTACATTTTAAAGCAGGAGTGGGAAACATAGTCTGGGAGCCAAATTCCAGGGAAAAACTCTCCAGAACTGCATGCCTGTGAAGAGTGAAAAGCAAAAGCAGCACAGTCAAAGGCAAAAGGGGTAAGACCAGAATACCATTATATTGTAGCTTAAAGCTCTTACTACCACTGGTTGAGCCTTAGGAAGGCAATCCAGCTTTTCTGAATAGATTAAGAAAACTACAGGTATATTCCATTTTTCTTCAAAAAGGAAAATTCAGTACCAGAAGTAAAGAAAGCGATCTTGGATAGAGATCTCTTCCCTGCCCACTTTGCCCTAAAAGCCTACACTTCTAACTCTGTGCTTTGCATACATACTTTGCAAGTGTTTCAGAGGCACTCTTGCGTGTTATTACTTTTTGAGTTCTAAAGCTGAGCCCTGATAAAAGCAGACTCTTCCTTCAATGAAATCCTATTTCACTTGCATCCACCTGTATCAGTAACTAGCCATCTCTCCTATGGTTTTCACCTTTAAATGGCCCTCCTTTGATTGTGAGAGCCACCTTGCCTTCCTGGGTTAAGTAGCCAAACCATTCGCCTGTCTCCGGGTCGTGGAACTAAGGGGGGGAAAAAACAACCATGTAAGTATCAGAATGTGAGAGACTTTACAGGGTGGTAATATGGAACCAGAAAGCCAGTGTGATGTGGAGAATGCAGGGCACTGGGTTTTGATCATGAGGATCAAAGCTCAAGTTCAAGGATATAGCCCTTGTGTGAGTCAGTATGCCTCAGCACAGCCTTCACTAACAGGATACCCCGCCCCCCGCCCCAATTGAGCTGAAACTCCCTTTGGAGTTGAAGTTCAACTCAGATGGATTGTGCCTGGCTGGAGGAGACCATTTCAGCCTAAACTGGCACCTAGGTTACAACGATAACATGTAAAAATTCCATGTAGATTATTCTGACCGCAGAATAATCCAAGAGGCCCAATGCATAGGATTCTCATTCCCCTCATCATTCTCAACTCCTGCCCTCTGCATTACATTTTTTACTATTATATACACCAAAACTAAACTTTTGCAGGGGTATGAGTAAAGTCTGATACAATTGACAGGTTCTGATAAAACAGGAATTCAAAACTGAGAGGCTATATCTTTGGCTAATAATAACAACATTCAGTGTTGCAGATGGGCACGCTATTTGCTTACCACCTGAAGATAACTAACTATATTGGGAGCCAGTGTGGTGCAGTGGTTAAGAGCATGGGACTGGGACTCGGACGATCTGGGTTCTAGTCCCCGCTCAGCCATGGGGCCAACTGGGTGACTTTGGGCCAGTCGCAGACTCTCAGCCCAACCTACCTCACAGGGTTGTTGTTCTGGGGATAAGATGGAGGAGGAGAATGATGTAAGCTGCCTTGAGCCCTTTGTAGGAAAAGGCAGGGTATAAATTGATAAATAAATAAATGATACTAGATAGTTATGCAGACTTTAGATTTCTGAAGTCCCTCTCACAAGCTTGAAAGGTCACCTAATATTCCTATGAACATCAAAAACTGCCCTCTGCTTAATGCTCTATCTTGATGGGCAGTGGCAACAGCAAGCCAGGGCTGCAGGCAAGAATCTTTCCCAGCCCTACAGGCCTGTTAGAAGGAATGCCAGGGACTGCACCTAGGGTCTTCTGTCTGAAAAATGGGGTGTGATGTGGTGTGTGTGGTAGTTAATAGCACAAGACTGGGACTCAGGCAATCTGGGTTCTAGTCTCCACTCAGCCATGGAGTCAACTGTGACTTTGGGCCAGTCAAAGACTCAGACCGGCCCACCTGACAGGGTTGTTGTGGGGATAAAATTGAAAGCAGGAGTTAGTTGCCACTCAGCCACTCTGAGTTAGTTATAAGAAAAAAGTGGGATATAAATCTAATAAATATAGTCTCCTGCCAGGATATGTCTCCTGCCTGAATGTTATCTCCCTACCTCAAAGCCACCTCTCCCACAAGCACAGATACATCCCATGATTCTCAGTGCCCAGCCTTCAAACATACCTTGGCAAAGGTGTATTTTGCCACCTGGTCAAACAGCTCCAGGAGCTCCTGATCTCGCGTCTCAGCAAAACCCATCAGGAATGCAATCATGGCCTCTGTATGTGGCCACCAAAGCTTCATTTTCCACTCTAGCTGAAGAAGAAAATGGGAAAATTTGAGAAACAGAAGATCTCTCTCTCTCTCGATCTCTCTCTCTCCCTCCCCCCCTCCCGCCCCACCTGTGTGGGGCAGAGCCCATCGACATCCTGAAAGGCGAAGAGCCCTTCCTGTTCAGGGTCCCAGCCTGAACGGAATGGCTGCTTGATGAACTTCTCCACCACCTGTGACAGAAGGGCCGAGTTACGCTGGCGCTGAGCATGACGGAGCAGAAACCAGCCTGCTTCAAGTGCATGGCCTTGAAATGAAAACAGAAGGAAAGGGACATTGAAGATCACCCAGCAGTTCAGGCTACAAGTTGTCCCCAGCTCCTGAGTAGAAACATGGGTGTTCAAAGTTGTGGCCTCCTAGCACTTTCGGAGTAGACAATTCAGAGAGGTGCAGTGGTTAGAGTGCTAGATTTGGATTCAGGAGATCTCAGTTCTAGTCTCCACTCAGCCATGATGCTCAGTTGATGACTTGGACCCAGTCACTCACTCTCAGCCTAATCTATTTCACGGGAATGAGAGTAAAATGGAGAAGAGAAGAACTGTGCAAGATGCCTTGAGTTCCTTGCCAGATGTAAAAAGTGGCACATGGGTGCAATAAATAAATCTAATTGTTCCAGTGATCTCTTACCACTGGCCATACTGGCTAGGGCAGATGGAGTCACATGCTAAAACATCAGGAAGGCCATCCAGCACTCACCCCTGCAACAAAGCTTATTCTGTCTTCCCCCGATGCTATAGGGGCTGGGATTCAGGTTCTGTCCTGGGGTGAGTTAAAGTCTATTAGCAGAATAAAATCAATATGCACTGAATTCTCTGAATATTAAATTTGCTGTATAAGACATAAAATTCTGCACTTGTGTGCATCCAAGGCACATACAATTTTGAATTAATTTCTCATTAGGTTGCATGTTTAATTAAATTTCCATATTGCTCAACAGCCACAGCTCTAGGTTTGTATCCTGGCTTCTGACTGCCATCTTACCAGGATTCTGTTGTCTTCCCAGGCAACCTGGCAGTTCCTTGCCATCTTCAGAAACATTCTCCAACACAGCAGTGCCACTCCTCTGCACAGACGTAAGACACAAGGGGTACATAATGCAGGCTGCACACAGGGAAAACCAGACAGAGGAGTGCAGGGCTGGCATTCCCGCCCCTGTACCTGCACGTGCATGAGTATTCGCTGAGCAGACCAGCTTCCCAGCTCGCTGAAGCGGCTTGCAGTTTCTGCGTCTCCTTCGGACAGCTGGTCCACCAGGTTGAGGAGCATCATGGGAACAGCCATCGTGTCATGGAGGACTGCTCCGGCTAGCTGTGGCCGTCCCAGCTCAGAGGGATCTTCCCTAACCCAGTGCACAATGGCTTCCATCATCTTCAGGGCTTCTGTCTGTGAACAGGAAGACTGTCACAGCACAAGAGGCCTGTCCCTTTGAACCCACAAGTTGCCCACATCTCTGTGTACAGGCACACCTGCAGCTGCCCAGCCTGCAGGGACGATTAGCAGCAGCCTCCATACCAGGTCACCACTTTGGGCAAGTGTCAGCGGAGCAGGCAAACAGGCTTAGACTTCCAAGAGACCTCTTCCCTTTCCCGAGCACACTCATTCCCCATCTCCTTTAGGCTTCCCCAGCATGGTGCCCTCCAGATGTTCTGGGCTTCTATGCTCATCAGCCCCAGTCAGCCTGGTCAATGTTCTGGAATGCTGGGAGGCCAAAACGCATGGAGGGCACCGGGTCGGGGAAGGCAGGCCGGGTTCTATCAACAGAACCCCGGTAACCATGGAGACAGGAAGGCCATCCCCAGCTGCAGCACCATGAGGTAATGAGCCCGCCTCTCCCCTTTGGCCCAAACCCGCTAATGATGCAGGAACCCTTTAGGGGAAAGTGTTTTTGACAAGCTAATGGAGCAGGATGTGGGGGGAGAGGGCCATTATTCCCCCAGGGCTGCCTTGCCAGTTGGTGCCCTCCAGACACTTTTCTTTCAGCTCTCATCAGCCTCAGCCAGTGTGTGTACTCCAAAACATCTGGAGGGCTCCAGGTTGGGGAAGGCTGGCCCAGAAGGATGTTGCTACCCTCTGGCTCTCCTAGCCTCACCTGGTAATGGGATTCCCCTGTTGCTCGTCCAAGTTCATCCAGCCCAAGCACATAGAAGCACTCGCTAAAAATGGTGCGCTGGATTTTCACAGGGCGCCCGTCACGGGTTAGCACAAAGGCACACTTCTGGGAAGGGGTGATGCGTGCGTGCCGGAGCAAGAAATCCCCACCTGAGGGAAAGAAGCAGGGTCACTGCCCTGATTTCTCCCTGTTACTGGCACCCAGTGCTCAAATTGGCCTTCCTCATCCATTTTTATTGCCTGCTTCTCCAACAGTCACCCAGGCACAGGAGTGAGGACAAATCTCTTTGCCTCTGCCATGAACACAACAGTCAGCCTTATGCAAAATAAGTCTATTTCAGCCTCACTCAGGACGCTGCTGGCCTGCCTTATAGGGTTGGTGTAACAATTAGTGAATGGCTAGAAAATTATTACTATCATAATAGATGCCAGTGCTGCTAATAACATAATTTTATATTCACAATATTATATAATACCTGTTCGTTCATTTGGGGGGTCTACCTCCACGGCCATTCCAAAACATCAGAACTTGCTAAATTTTCTCTATCCCCTCTCCCTGTCTCAATGTACACATCAAAAGAGTCCACCAACCAGTACCTTCCCCTTGCCTGCATCCCCAATCCTCACTGCTTGCATACATAAGGTGAAGAAAATTACCTGCTCGGGCAGCCTGCAGGAGTTCGGGGCGCCTGAATCTTGGTAGCTTTCGATACAACCGACTGTACATCCACACCTGGTAAGGAAGGAAATGGAGGGAACAAACTGAGCTCTTGCTTAAGCCACGTACAGAGAACCTTTTTGTTATGAAAGGCTGTTGGCAACAGGAAGAGTCAGTTGGATTCTCCACAGCCAATGGTGGGTAGAGCCAAATCCAAAAGTAGGCAGAGCTTGCAGGACTGCATAAGTTCACAGTTCACAGTGACCTGGTTCACATGACACAGCGATCCACCATTGTGGCTTGTTTGTCATGTTGTCCATACCCACACCAATTTTCTCATGGTGCCTTGTTTCTTTCCCAAAAAAACAGTCTGGGTATTCATGACATTTAGTAGGGTTTTTTTCATCCCTGGTGGCTTGGCCATATCCTCTGAACCTGGATAACCACCTCTACTGTGGGTTTTGGGTCACAGCAAATTGCTTGGTAAGAGGAGCAAAAATAATCCCTCGCTGAACTCACCTGAGCTATAGCCAGTGAGAGCTGCTCCACTCATGCCCAAGAGGTATGGGGGTGACCATCTCCAACTTGCTGCCTGTCCCCTCACCTGCCGGGAACTGGAATCCTCCTTGGCTTACTGCAGCTTCTCCCCACTTTTTCCCTGATGATTGGGTTCTGCAATCTTCATTTTGACAGCCACTGACAGCTCCTCCAATGTGTACGATTGGCATACCAGAAGCAGTCACTGGTTTGCCACCCCCTTTTTTGCACCCCAATTATGCACAGATCATTTTGTTAATTTATTTTTATAAATTAGGCAGAATTGCACAATTCTGAGGGTGCAGATATGTTCGCTTCCAGGGTGCAAACCTAGGAAGCCTCCCCTAGGTAATGTCCTGGTGAGCACCTACTATGAGAATGCAGAAAGTATCAACCATGGGCATTGACACAGAGGGGCTCCCAACAGTGTCTGTTCACTTTGCTTTGTCTGGAACGCTGTCAAAAGGCAATCTGTCAGTTCAGGATAAGTGATGCTTGCCCCCAAAAAGAAGATAGATTTATCCCCCCTATGACATTGGCATCCCCATTTTTCTAAATTTGTGTTCCTCTGGTAGATCTAAGTACCCCCAAGTGAGACTTAGGATGATAGAAAAGTACAGCTCACTCCCCTTTCACCTGAGCCTGGAGGTTTTACAGCTATGACTCAAAAGTCTAGTTCCTTCTAAAAGCTTTTTTTAAAAGCTATGTTCCCCATTTCAAAAAAAAATCTACATTTATGTGCCATTTCATACACTAACCCCATCCAGCTTTCTGCTATCCCACATGAAATTAGGCTGAAGGCTAGAGGTTTCCCACTCATACTTAACTCCGGTCTATATCTGTCATTAATGATCAATGCAGGGCACTGATGGAAGGGCTCTAGGTTTGCAGGATCAACACACTGCACACACATGTGCATGTATTTAACTAAAATCTTGAGATCCACCAATCATAGCATAGTGCAAAAGGTATATATATTGAAATTAAAGAACTCTGAACTGGTTTAGTGCCAAAACTAAACAAGGTTCAGAGTCCTCCCACACAACAATCTACTCCTGGTAACTCAAAGTTTTCTCCATTCCAGCAGTATTGTTTAGAGTGGGGTGGGGTAGAGTCATTTTCTTGCTGCTATTGTGAAACAATTGTGAGCCAGCAGTCCTTGATGACCTAATGCAAGTTCCCCAGAGAACTTCTAAAGGAACTTCTAGGAGGTATAACTCAAACACAAGCCAAGCAAGCCTTTTCCCTTAATCCCAGGCATGGTAGGTCAGGGCTTTGTAGTGCCAAGGGAAGGCATTCTGCACATGCTCAGAGAGACTTGTGTCATATATTTAGAAACATAGAAACATAGAAAACAGAGCGAGTCAGAAGGGGTCTCCCGGGCCATCTAGTCTGACCTCCGGCACCAGCCGGCTCCACTCACGACATGCCCACCATGTGGATGTCCAGCCTATCCTTGAACACCCGCACCGATGGGGCCTCAACGACCTCTCCTGGAAGCCCATTCCACACCCTCGGGGTCCTGACTGTCAGGAAGTGCTTCCTGGCATCCAAACGGAACCTTGGCTCCCTGAGCTTTGCTCCGTTGGAGCACGTCCTGCCTTCCTCTGCAGGGAAGAACAGGCCTCTACCCATCTCCATGTGACATCCCCTCACATACCTGTATGTCACCAACATATCCCCTCTGAGTCTCCTCTTCTCCAGGCTGAAGAGACCCAGTTCCCTCAGTCTCACCTCATATGGCATCGCCTGCAAACCGGCCACCAACCTTGTGGCCCTACGCTGCACTGACTCTAACCTGGCTATATCCTTTCTGTAATTAGGGGCACAAAACTGAACACAATACTCCAGTTGTGGGCACATTTTATTTCACTTAATCCAAGGCTCAAGTACAAACACTGAAACCAGGTTCTGAGGCTAATCCCAAACCTACGCAGACTCGAGGCAAGACTCGAGTCTCTCTGAAGGAACTTGTTTAACTGAGCAACCAACCCTCATCAGCAGGTTATTCCCCAACCATGGAATAGGGATAATGACTACAAATACAAAAGCGTTCCTAAGATTGCTGCTGCTGGCATCCCCACCTGCCTTCCTTGCAACCAGATGTATTTCAAGTCATCATAAACTTTCCCATCCTGGCCCAGACATGTAAAGAACCCCCTGAAGAAAAAGAAAAGGCAGCAGTTAGAACCAGAAGGGGTTTGGACTGGGATTTCTTTCATTCCTGGCTATGCTGACTGGGGCAGGTAGGAGTTGCAAGTCAAAACATGCAGAGGGCCAGAAGTACCCTCTCCTGCTTAGGAGAAACTGGGAGAGAGATGGGAGAATGACAAGAGAGGGATAGTAGTAGCTGGCACTCCTTACACCAGGAAGGAATGAATTCAGCCTGAGGACTGAATTCAGTTTTGAGGATGATCAGGCCTGGGGGCAGGGGGAGGGATCCCATTCCAATGGAGGGGAAAACCAAAGGCAAGAGAGGTGGGTTTCTAAATGCAAAGAACAAAACAAAACCTACCACCCCAGCATATTGTAGCTTAAAGCTCTTCCTGCCAAAAAGTACACTTTAGGAGAGGCATTTCAAGGTTTTAGAATGGGAACAAGTGCACAAAATCTGAAAAACACCAAATGACTGGCAGACAAGGGACAGGAATGGGGGCCATCTGGGGAACCATGGACAGCAAGGGCCTGACATGGTCGTGCATGGAGACCTTGTCCCTGTCTTAGAGGAAGTGGAATCTAACAGACACACCCAGAGACAAGCCATTTTTGGCACACAGTATTTTGAACATATTGTGCACTAGCCAGAGAATTTGGTTAACTGGGTGGTTTAAAAGTGCATTCATTCATTAATTCTGCAAGCCAACCAGCCTCGGATGTCAAATTTTGAGTGGCACAAAGGAAGGTCAACAGACAATGCTTATGCATAAGCCACAGGCTACTAGGAGTGTGCTGGGCTAGCTGCAGTCCTCCAGCTCTTGTCCCTAACCACTGGCCATGCCGCTGATTGTGGGTCAGGCGAACGTCATCTGGAGAGCTCCAGGTCTCCCACCCCTGCACGTGGGAAGCTCCACCAAACTGAAGAATTACCTGTATGCAGTTCCTATTTCTTTCACCAGCGTTGTGCAGGAGACCCTCCCAGTGGCTCCCAGCTGTGAGAGGCTGGGAGCACACGCCTCTGCATGTTCTGACAGAAAAAGTCCCACAACCCCCAGCATTGCCCAGCCACCACTGGGGAAAATGTCCTATTAATTCCCAGCCGTCCTTTCTGTTGAAATATGCATCAGATGGTACAGCATAAGATGCCACAGGAAGGATCCCACAAACATGCCTTACTTTTTGGAGTGGGGAAAAATTTCTTCCCATATAGCAGTGAACCATTAGCTCTCCCCAGAAGAGTTGCATTCCATTGCACAGAGTCCCCTTTCCCTACCCCAGTCTGGTCAACCTTGCTTAATGGCACCCATATCAATGCCCCAGCCTCCATATCAAAAAGAGAGCGCTTAGCTCAGCGGAGAGAGAACAGGACTCCATGCAGCTGGGCGAGCGGGGAAGCCTACATTCAGATTCCCACTCGGCTACAACACGCCCTGGAGCAGAGAGAGACAGACAGATAGTTAACCCATATTCTTCATCATGTGAATGCCGCAGCCAGAAATCCATCACGGTGTCCAGCTCTTGAGAGATCCATCCATGCCAGCTCCGTAGCGTCTGCAACTCCATTCTTGCTGCTGTCGCTGCTGCTTCGGCACAAATGCAGGGACGAGATTATTTTGGGGGTGGAGAAAGCTTTCTATCAGCTGTGTCAGCACATTCCAGGATATGACCCAGCCATGAGAAGGAAGACCTGGGGCAAGCACAGTTAAGATCTCCGGCAAAGTAACATAGTAACATGTTGCAACAGTGCGGGAATGTGAACTAAAGGCACACTTAAAAAAAAAAAAAATCTAACGAATAAGTAGGGAACTGATGGTCATATGATTTGCCCAAGTCACCTGACACTAGTCCAACCGTTCCTCCTATTGGAGAAAAGACTCTGATTTGTTAAAGTTTCGCATAGTTTTCAGACTCTAGTTAACCCTACAATTGTTGTGATCTGTTCCAGAGATTAGTAGAAGGGATCCCCCAACAACAGTGAAGGTGGCCAGATGGGAAACAGGAGAGGGCTCCTGCACCTAACAATGGTGGAGAAGGAGAAGCTTCATCTTGTGCAGCTTGCATGAATCTGCAGGGCAGAACTGCAGAAGCCCCGTCCTCAGTGCATTTGGAATTGTAAAGCATGTCCATAACTATTCACATCGAGCAGGCAGTGTTATTTTCCCCATACCGCGGGGGGGGGGGGGGGGCGAAAGAATGGGCACTTGTCTAAGGACTGAAGTGAAACTTGAACTGCTGAGACAGCAGCTGGGCCCACCTTTGAAGTGGCTGCATCAAGGGATTGAAATAAATGACCAAGAAAGGCCATTGAAATGCCACTAGTGACCAGGTAATGGATTCCCTCCCCACCCCCAGAAAAAGCCACCCAGCACCTGCCAGCATCCCAGTTAAAGTGTCCCTTCTAGAACAGAGACAGGAAACTCTGTGGCCTCTATGTGTTGACTACAACTCCCATGGGTACCAGCCAGTACAGCAAATAGCCAGGAATGATGCAAGTTATAAACCAAAACATCTCAAAGACTTCTGGCCAGTTGGATGAAAGTGGAGACTGGTGTGTGGAATTAATTATCTCAAGGTGGAATTAATTTCATATTGTTCAGAGTTCAAGGACTCCAAACATCCAAGAATTCATCTGTTTTGCTGCCAAAATCGATGTTGATCGCTTGTGAGACACATCATGGGGTGGCTCCACAGGTAGGGAGAAGAGGACATTTTGGCAGACGCAGCTTTTGTCAGCGTTGCATCATGAGAAGGTGCTCTTGCCAAATTTCTTCTTTTATACATCTATGAGTGGTACAAAACACCCACTTTCCTTTCTATTTGGGTACAGATTTCTTGCTATATGGAAGACACTTCCTCATCAAGTATCACACACACATGTATGCATGCTGTAGTGCAAGGTAAATTCTTCCATGTCTTACACAATGTCCTGTCAGTGTGGCATTGGGAACCCAGGATTTTCCACTCCCTGCAGTGTTGGCAGAGCCCCATATATTTACCCCACATGATGGCACACACGAGACACTTCTAGTGGCTCAGATGGAGAATCCAAATGATACCTTCCCACAACTTAATGTGTGGTAAAATCCTCTAGTCTAGGAAGTTCTTACAAGAAGCATTGAAATGTGAGCACAAGATCCTCATTTCATTAGATACCCCTCTGCCCACTCTGCTAATATACAAACAAAGGGAGGAAGCACCTTGGGGCAGGGGATGGTTTGCTTTTATCTTACTCGCTCAAGTGCCATGTACTGTACACACCCACCCAGTGCTGGCTGCAGGTCTTTGAGGGGCCTGGGGCAAGATACCCCTTCTGCAGGAACTCTGCTTTTTCCCCACCATTGTACCCAGCTGCTTTTGCCCCTCTTCTTTTCTTCCTTGCTACCACCTATTTGCTTAACAGCCAGGATGCACAGAGACTGTAACATCTGCCGCTCCTCCTTCTCACCACCACCACAATTGTCTGGGCCAGAGCAAGAGGCAGGTCAACAGTCAAGTTGCATTGATGAAAGCAGAGCAGCAAATCCAGGGGCTCTGCTCAGTGGGCCCTGCTGAAATGTACACCCTCAGCAGGTTCCCAGACATGCCTACCTTTGACTCATGATATAATAATGCACCTCCCATTGTTCTAGGAGTTTCGTTCCATATCCCAGATGTGCACACACATATTTACGCAGTAGAAAGAAAAATGCACCCTGTATTGGTGCAGGTGTGCTCATTTTAGTGCATCTGCAGTATTATTCCAGAAGAGAGTCCAGAGCAAGAGTTCCAGGCTCAGCACTTGCTTGGGACATTCTGCTAGAGTTGTTTGAATAAATTATTTAATCGTAATGGTAAGAATTACATAGTGGGTTAAGGCATTGTCATGCCAATATTGAAGATGGGGGGAGGGGATGAATGAGGCTGAGAAAAAAATGGCACACCTAGCAAATTGTGTGGCAGGTGCAAGCTTCCAATCAAGCATCTTCCTGTTTGAGGCTCAGTCTCATGCATGAACACTCAGAAGTAAGTGCTATTACGCCTAGACAAGTGTGCATAGTATTGTAGCCTTAGCCTCAGAAGATCCCTAATCAAGGAGTGGTAGTTGTGCAAAAGAGCTCTCGGATTGTTCTTCACCATCTGCAGTGCAAGGAGAATATCCCAGCAATACTGAAAGCCCCTGAAGCTGCTAAGGATGCGCCAGTGGGACTTTCTGCCCATATTGTCTCTGCCCGAGAGCGCTTGTGCATTTGGGCTGGCCTGAGCTGGATGACTCCAGGGTTAGGCATTGATACACTTTTGAATCAGTCCATTCCCATATAAATTAACCTTTCTGGTGTGCTTCTTTTCTGTTTGCAATGGCTGTATTCTTCCCATGACCACCTAGGATGCCCCCAAGAGACTGTGGCTGGTGTCTGAATCCTCCTGTGTATATGCATCCAATACTCAACCTTGGCAGTAGTCTATTCTTGATTAGTTTATAGGAGTGCTGGGGACGGCCCAGACTGGGACCTGGAGCTGGTCTTCCTGTCTTACTGGTGTGGATGGGGCCAGTGTCAAGGGCTGGCATCACTGGGCACCTGCCAAGGCCTTCACCCCTGCAGGAGGCCCATGTGTGCTCACCCCACTGGAGCCTTTTGGCAGTCCCATAGCTTCTCCTCCTTGCTGTTGCTGGTTCACCCGTCCTCTCCAAGCACGCAAGGAAAGGGATGCACATCCTTCACTCACTCTCTCTGACTGGATTCAGACAGCACCATAACCATACTCAAGGCCTAGTTATGAATTGTTTAGGACTGCTGTTGGACCATGGGTTATTGTGCTGCCTGAACATAGCTCAGATAACAAACTATGGTGAACAACTCATAGCTCACGACTCAACAACTAACCTTGGACCCTTTTCTTGGGTTGTTTGTGGCTAACAAGCCACAGCTTGCAAGAGCAGCTTGGGTTCAGAGAAATAAGAACCCGTGATTCAATGACGACCTGTGCTCAGCTCATGCTCAGCCCTTGACTATGGGTTATGATGTCGTCTGAACCCAGTTACTTCCCCACTCTCTCACACTGAGCCCAGAGATGAGAGACACCACAGCAACGAACGCATTACTGCTGCTTAAGCCCCAAGAGATTTTGCTGCCTGAATTTCTCCTACTACCCCTTCACACACCTCCATTTTCAAGATGCACTGCACTCAATCTACTTTGGCTCTTGAAACAAAACATTCAGCAAGTAACTTTCCCCCACCCTAACTGTACAAATCCAACAGTAAATTAAATAACCAGTATTCTCTGCCCTTTCATCATACTCCAACATCAGATATCAAAAGACTATTTCACTCTGCTTACTATCTGGCTCGGGCAGAAGCCACCTCCTCACACACCCTCCCACGAGCTGTGCACATTCGAGCGGTGGGAGAAGTGCACTCTGCCCATGCTCAGGCTGTGCCTATTGAGTCTTGCGCGGCGCCAAATCCAGATTCCCGGGCGTGGCAAACCGGGGCCTCGAGCATGCCTGATCCGCTGGGGAGCGCCATGCCTACGTGGGACTTGTTGCCGCAGCCGTTTTCCTTCCTCTCCTGGGATTAGCAAAAGAAAGTAAAAGCTCCCAACTCCCCTCCCTTCGCGACCTGCCCCTTCTCCTTGCACGGCAAGAAAGCACCGTCCCGCAGAGTCTAGCGGGAAGCAAACCACGGGATTTCGCCGGCGCCAGTGCTGCCGGGGAGCGGGTAGTCTGCGCTCCAGCTCCCTTCACAGGACCGCACAGCCGCCGCTTTCTCCTGCTGTTGTGGCTGGCAGGAACTCTCCCTGCTCTCGGCGCTCTCCTCTTTCTGTGGGAAATCCCAGCAGCAAAGGTCAGCCTGGTGCCCGCTTGGGGGTTGTCATGTTGGGGAAATGGGGGGAGGCAGATAAGAACTTCGACAGGGAGGAGGCTTGGAAGGCGCGCAGACGCGGCACGCCAAGTTCTGACGGACTGCCGCGCCCCCTACTCCCCCGATATCGGGCCAAGATGGGGTGCAAGGGCAAAGCAGGAGTCCAGGTGGCATTAGCAGGTAGATCAGGCTACCTGCCGCCTGGGCCGTTAAAGGACTGTGCCGTGCTGGCCTGCCCGTCCGCCCTTCTCCTTCCAGGTTCTGGCGGAGGCGCCCCATGTTCAGACGCTCCCATCTCAAGATCCTGCTTATTGGGAATTCAGGGTAAGTGATGGGCTCCGCGTGTTGCAATGCTGAGGGAGGGGCGTAGGGTGAGAGCGAAGAGTGCGCGCTTGCACTGGGAAACCCACCGCAGGGAAAGGGCGGGGCCAGAGCCCGCAGCTACTCCCGGGGAGCTGCCTGTTTGCATAGTGGGTGTGCGGGCGGGCGACACACCTGCTGCCGCCGCCACTTGGTCGCACGGAGGCTCTGCCTTGCAGGGCCAAGCTGCAGCTCCTGCTCTGGGGGCCAGGAGGGGTGGCAAAGGAGCAGAGCTGAGGAAGTAAAGGGGCAGCCGTGGGGTCCCCGTTGAGGGCTGAATGTAGATGGGGTGCCTAATGTGGCAAAACTCTCAGAAGCAACAGCCAATTGCTGGAGGAACATGCTGGCTGGAGCACAGACTACCATGCCCATCAGCCTTCTCAGGTATGCTGGGGATGGGGTGGAGTTGTAGCCCCTGTGGAGCATCTTTCAAGATGAGAAGTCATAGCAAGCAGGACCATGAAGCCTTCTAGGTGGTGTTGGAATGTGACTCCACCATTGCTGGCTAGGACAGGTGGAAGTTGCAGTCCAGCATCTGGAAGGCCACAAGTTGCTTGCCTGCCCTACACTTTTGCCATTGTAAGGGCTAGCCCGTCATCCTTTCCCTCCACGGTGGGCCAACCATGTCCCTTGTGAAGTCCCCAGACAGGAAAGGAAAGCAATAGCCCAGGCCTGCTGCTGCCCTCCAGCAAGTGAGACTCACTGCAATCTCTCTACTTCCTTGGCATTTCTCTTTTCTGGAAGATTGTAACATGCACAGCCCTTGGAGGCAGCGGCCTCCAGGCAGGCCAGGACCTTAGGAAAACAGTGGGGATGGAGGCTAGCTCTGAGAAGCCAGGCCCAAGACAGCTACTGGGAGGCGGGGTGGGCCCATGATAGGTTTGCTGCCTGCAGTGAAGGACAAGATGTCCACCTCCTTTATTTCCTGTATAGCAGCAGACCAGAATAGCACTGCTTCAGTACTGACTGGATGTCCAGCAAAGCAGAGAATAGCTTAGGAGGCACAGGGCAGACTAGGAGGTCACACCCTGCCCCCCCCCCAGCCCAGCTTTTGCCCCTTCACCCTAAGAGTAAGGCTAGCTCTCAGAACCTGATGTGAGCTCTGCTCCCTTCCCACACAGGGCGGGCAAGTCTGCCCTGATGAACCAGTATGTTAACAACCGTTTCAGCAGCCGCTACAGAGCCACTATTGGGGCCGACTTCCTCAGCAAAGAAGTACACATAGATGGACGCACACTGACAGTGCAGGTAGGCTCAGTGAAGATGCTTCTGATTGTCCTCTGGCCTCCCACTCTCTTTTCCACACCTGCAAGCCCAGGCCACAATTTTAATAGTCTCTCTTTTCCTTCCCCTTCACTTGGCACGATACTTGATGAAGGGAACCCATACACCCACCTCCGAATCCTTCTGTAGGCAAAATGGCACCCTACACACACCCATGAAAGAAGTAGCAGCAGGCTAGGGGAAACTAATTCTGACCTGGTACTATGAGTTGTTCCATGCCATGCATCATCAATTCTTAGAAAATGACCTTAAGGAAGGTGGAATGAGTTCCCTTCCTGTAACACATACACACATACATAACTAGAGCACCTCACAAAAGGTACCTGAACATTGATTATATCAAATGAAGTGAATGATTTTGGAATGACCCAATGCCACCCACCAAACCATCTGCCTAGTGTCATCAGAATTTGGCTTAAGGAAAAACTTCTGGCCCTACATATAGCAGCTAATTGGTCCCAAAGGCATTCTGCACTTTATTTCTGCACTATTGTCATCCAAATTCTTGTACCAGAAAAAATGAATTTGCTCTTCTATCTTAGCTGATGTGTATTTCCACAATTTCTCATATTGTGTGATTCATTCTACAGCTTTCTCTAGTCATGTGGAACAGCAGCAGGAGACTGCAAGTTTGCACCCTCCTTCCTCCCTAGATCAACCATGGAAATTTACTTTTTTCAGCACTTACCTGGTTTCAAAAATTTAATCAAACTACTCGCTTTCAGGGAGACATTCCTATGGCAAAACACATAACAGCAGGGACCTGCGTCTTAGAAGAGCACGTCACAATGGACAGTTGTGAAGGATGTGTATACAGAATGGGGAGGGGAGAGCAGCTGCGATGGATGGATCTGCTTCTCTTCAAATCCTTGCTCCATACAGCTGTTTAGTGAGATACTTCATTAGGGCAAACTGATATAAGTTTTAACACATACACAGAATCATGGTAAACAAAGAGCGCTGGTGAAAAGTGGAGGAAATCTATCTATTTAATTTTCCCACAGAAGAAAAAAAGTGGGGTACCAATTCACAGCACCATCTCTGGCAGCCCTTAATGCATCAAAAGGAAAAAAAAAAAAAACTGGTGATGGCCTGTGGGAAAGAATCAGTCCTTGCCAGCACCAATAGCTCCTTATGACAATAAAGGAGATTAGCAGAAAAATGAAGAGTAGCCAAGATAGCTGCAGCTTGAAGTCAGCTTTGTCTCTCCTCCTGCCCCCAGATCTGGGACACAGCTGGCACAGAAAGGTTTCAAGCACTGGGCACTGCCCTCTACCGCGGTTCAGACTGCTGCCTCCTCGTCTTTGATGTCACATCAATCAACTCTTTCCAAGCCCTGGAAAAGTGGCACAAGCAGCTCTTGTTGCAGATCGAGCCTGAGGAAGAGCCTACTTTCCCCATAGGCATCATTGGAAACAAAATCGACTTGGAGAACCGTGAGGTAAGGCATGTAGCTGAGCAAGTGAAGGGGAGGCAACAAGCTGAAGACAATTCCAGATCCATTATAGCACTCAACCCAAATATGGAAGGGCAGGGGGGCAGGGAGAAGCTTCTGGGTGGGGGAAACCTCTTTGGAAGGAACTTGTGGGTGGGAGCACATGAAAAGAGGTGAGTGTATCATTCTAACACCCAGCTCCACAAAAGGACTGTGGAGAGGCCACACTGCCAAAATCATAGGATAAAAATGAGAGAATCCAGTTAACTGAAGGGAAATTAAGCAATCCTAAGAATATGTTTTCATTATACACACTGAAAACACAAACTGCTTGGTAGTTAGTGCTGCAAAAAAAGAATTGGGATGAGAGCAAAATATGCATAAGCTGTCTCTTTCAGGTAACTTTAGAGGAAGCAGAACTGTGGAGCAAGCTTCATGAAGCCACATACTTTGAAACCAGTGCTAAGGCAGCCACCAATGTACAGGAAGTATTTGAGTGGGCCATAAGGACTGTCCTGAAGAATGTAAGAAACCAACTCATTCTCTCCAGCCTCAGTTTTAGACGCTTTACCATTTGATCAGGCCCTGGCCATGCCATGTACCCTTACAGCACAACATCTCCCTAAATGCAAATTGTCCCCATCCCTCATTATATACTTTACTTAACAGGGTCTTCACTTCCAACTCACTGCATTTTCTGACCCTTTCCTATTTGCTTCAACCACTTCTGCCTTTCTTTCTCATTTCCTTTTTTTTCCCCATTTCATCCAGCGCAGGGTAGATGAGCAGCCACAACCCGATTCCATTCATCTGGAGACCAAGCCACCAGAAGGGGCTCACAGAGGAAAGTGTAACTGCTGATGAGCCCAAATGCTGATGGGAAGATTCCTTCTTTCTGCCTAGCATAGGAGTTACCTGCCTGCAATACAACGGAAAAGGGCAGGCAGAAGGGCAGATGGGACACAACAGGGGTGCCCCAAGGACATTTGGCACCAGGTTAAACAGACCATCACCCCTCTGGAAGAGGCAGTTATCAGTCTGCAAGTATGGGGCAGGCAGGCAGGCAGGCAGGCAGACCTGGATGACCCAAGCACATGAAAATAAATCTGGATTTCAATTGTATGCCTTTTCATAGTACAAATATTTATACCTCAGCCTCACTGAGGGAGGAGAGAATGAGGGAAGCATCTAGTTTCACAAACATCAGATCCTGTTTCCAAAAAAAAAAAAAAAAGTCTTTAATTGTTCAAAATAGCACAAAAACAGATACGCAGCACTGGGGGGAGGGAGGGTTGGAGAGTCATGGGAAACTCCTATGAGGGCTGTTCCTGTCTCAATGGAAAATAATTTGGGTAAGATATAGGAGAGCAATAGGACTCTTAGGGTCTGAACAGGAAAGGTAGACACAGCGAAATACACTATAATACAAAAGACCAGGGCACAGAGCAAGTTAAGGAGAGGGGTCTGCTCCTGGGGGTTTTGTTTTGTAAGGGGGGCTGCTTTGTCTGTCACTCTCCTTGACAATGGAGAGGTAGGACACAGCCATCAGTGCACACCTGGGGGGTGCTCACTCTACATTATATAGACCACCCCCTACCAAGACCGAAGAATAAGCACTGGCTGCTCTTCTCCCCTCCCTTCTGTGGAATGTCCAGAGAGGCAGCCAGAGTGGGATAGAGGGAAACTACATATTCCTCCAGGAGAAACCTAGGAGAAATTCATGCCCCAAGACAGAGGGAGAGGTCAATTTCAACAAGTCAAAAATGTCCTGCAGCCTTGCTCCTAACCTATAGCCTTGACCCACTGGATCAGGCTACCCTGCCAAAACAATTTTTTAAAACATTTTCCTAATTTTTAATACAAAACAATGGAGGAGAATGGCAAGACATTTGCCTAGAGCATGCCACCTTGTGGCTTAGAGGGGAAGACCAGAGGGAAATACCAGTTTGTGCTGCAAAGGGGGGTGCTGCATGTATAGGGAAAGGGGGTGGGTTGAAGCCACAAATACCCTGGGCTGAGCATTAGAACAGCTGCTGTAGAATGAGCTGCACCCCCCCCCTCAAAAGTTCAAAGTTAGATGCATCTGTGGTCCAACCACATCAGATTTCCCCCTCCCCCAAACAGCAGAGACTCCTCTCCTTTACCAACGCAGACACTAAAAACTAAACTGAGGGAGAGGGTCTGTACAGAGGCAAGAACTGGAGGCAGGGAGAACGGGTCTCCCACCGCCAACACACAGGATGCTGGGGAATACAAAAGAACTTCATTCCTGTAACTGCAACTTGTAAAAAACCCAACAGCCCCCCTCCCCCCAACAACACTTCCCCCCTCCAAACCCACCCCTAACATCAGTGTCCATGTCAATGGGGTGGCAGCAGGGGGTGGGGGAGGAACTCTGTTCCTTCTTCCCCCTTCCTAGGCTGGGGCACAGTGGCGCAGTGATGGCCCCCTGCTTGGGGCTCGCTCAGTGAGCCTATGTATCTCTTCTCCCCCCTGCCCCAATAGTCCAGCCCCGCAGTGTATGAAATGTGCTTTCGGCAGTTCCATCTTCCTCCACACACAGGGGCGGCTGGCCGGCCGGGGGTTCAGGCGGAGGCTGTGGAGCAGGCAGGAAGAGGGGACAGCTTGGGATGCCCTTCACTGCCCATCTGCTTTGGGCTTCTTTGGAGCGGTTTTCCTGGAGAAGGAAAGGAGAAACAGTGAGGGCCAAACTTCTGTTTCATCAGGAGGCTCCTTTCCCTATGGGGAACAGCACTTGTTTCTTCTCCACTCAAGCCCTGCCACACATGCTGGAAGCCCCATTTGTATCAGCAACATCAAGCTGGCAACTCAGTTTCCTCAGCTGCTACAGCTTCAGCACTCTTCAAAGCACATTTTGGAACCTCTGAGTTTGCTGGAGTTACTGCAACGCCCAATTTGCTGGCTCATGAGAGAGGGCTACTCTTGATATAAAAACAATGAATAAGGGTCCCTTAGGCATAGAGATGTGGTCAAGGAGCCAGTCTATAGATTCAGGACCAATCCAAGACAACTTGGTATATGTGAAGGAAAAGCCACATGGCAAGCGCTCTCTTACTTAAACCTGAAATACAAGTCCTATTGAAGTGAACGTTTCAGCACAAGATCTTCTGGTGCGTTGCCCTCTTGGGTCAGATCATGCTTAGCCCAAACATTTAGGTTCAGGGGCATCTACTCTCAAGAATATGTTTTCACTCTCCCAGACTGCTTCGGCAGAACAGCTCCAAGGACAGAAATGCTCTGGGGGCCAAGAGAAACATTCCAACTGGCAGGGGACCTGACTGGCCCCTTCCCATCCACATCCCTCCTCCCTGAAAACAAATGCAGCATCACTGCAGGCTCCAGAAAGCTGCTGCGAGATACTTACAGGTCAGGAGAAGAAAGTGGCCGCTTGTTGGCTGGTTTTATCATGGAACCATCCTTACTTGACTCTGCAAAGAGAAAGGCGCATTGATTGCACTGGCAGTGCTAGTCCCGTTCCAAAGAGGCTCCCTTTCACACCCAGCCCTGCATCAAGCTTCAATGCAGAATTACAGCACACAAACTTGCACACACCAAACAGAGATGAAATAACAGCCACCATTACCAATACTTTCAGGGGCCCATGCTATTCTTCAGAGACTGGCTCATGAGTTACACTGACACTATTTCACAGCTGGCCATGCACTGTAACCAGGTGGACTATTCTAAGAGGACAGCCTTTTTATAGTTAGAAAGTGTGAGCTCTGGTTTATACAAGACAATGAACAAAACTAAAAGCAACAAGCAATGTCAGTGTGGAAGAAATCACACAGATGTTGACTGTTTTATTTACAAGTGGAACTGGGCAAAAATGAAATTATTTTGCAAGCTAATGTAGACCTGTGGTCTTCCAGTTGGAAATCCTAAAAACATACCTGATAGCTACCAGTTTACACTATGGACCAAGTAATCCTTCACAATTTGTTTCCTGGATCCAGGCTTGTTGTGGTCAGAGAAGGTACTAAGTGAAGGGTGGGGACTTGCAACTGGGAAGGATGTTGAGCAGGCTGGCCTGCAGGAGGACCTGGGCCTGTGCACTACGGGTAGCACCAGGATTTTCTCTCATGATCCAAAGCTGTGCCTGCCTGATGACTGTTCTGGGCCTCAGTTCCACCAGTGCAGTAGCAACTTGTGCCACAGTGTAACATATGATAAAGCACCAAATGCTATCGACAGAACCACAGGCAGCTCCAGATCAGACTATTTCTTCATCTAGTACAGTACTGCCTACTCTTGACTGGCAGGATTTCCAACAAGAGGCCTCCCCTATCCTTTTATAAACAGGAGATGCCAGGGATCAACACTGGTACCTTTACCACAAACAAACCCTCATCCTTAGGGGTTCAGAGGGGACATCTGACAGTCACACTGGCAGTTACCAAGTGAAGGCAGTTTCAAATTTTGCACAAGCTCCGTCTTCCCAGACTTGCCTGCCTCAACATGAAAGATCTTCTGCATGCATCCCTCCCTTGTGCAATTCCCCATCCCTCACTTAAGAACCTTTAGGACCACAGGAAGACTATCCAACCTGAGTCCTGAAAACAAATTATATATGTATAGTTTATTTCCCTGATAGTCCCAAAATCTGAAATTCAGTGGTGTATATATGGCTTCTTACTTGCCATCCACCCCAGATTTAAAGGATGTACTCTCTTTACTAGGAAAGAGGCTACGCCAGAGGGGCTACTTCTGGACCTCCCTTCTTTCCCAGTTCCCATCACAGCAGCCACTCACCTTGCAACCACCGGACTTGTGTGGCAGGGCCATAGCCCTTCTCGTTGCGGGCAGCAATGCGGAAAATGATGGCAGGCTTGGTGGTGTAGTCTATGTGGGCATTGGAGAGACTAGCTGACTGCACCAGGCACGAGGGGCTGGGCCCGCAGTAAACCCGCATGAAGGCCAGTTGGGCAGGGGCTGCGCTCTTTGGCTCGCCTGCCTGGGCACTCTGGATGGCCAGGTACACAGAGTACTCTGTGATCTTCCCAGAGGTGACAGAAGGTGGCTCCCAAGTGAGATGCGCTCCATCTGGGCTCTGAGAAGTAAACATCCAAAGAAAGCTTGAGACAGGGGACAGTTGGCTCACTACAGCTAAGTCAGAAGAGGGAGCCAGGCCACCAGTGCACCGGCCCAGTGCAAGAGCACTGACCTTACTGATTTTGATGGCGCAGGGTGCTCCAGGGAAGCCAGGCAGGCAGGTTTTGAATGCCGAGATTTCACTGAAAGGACCCCGGCCACAGGCGTTGATGCCTGCCACTCGAAATTTATAAGCTGTACCGGGCTGTAGCTCCTGCTTCTTGAGTTGCGAATAATCTGGTATAGTGCCTGAGTCATCCTGCAAGGAACAAGTTACAGTAAAATGGATTTGGGGACCAATGCAGTGGCCACAGGGACAGAGAACCGGAGGCATATGTGGTAGCCAAGGTTTGGATCCTCAGAATGAGAGTGCCACTGAAAGGGAGAAAAATATGTCAAGGTCACTCACTTCTGTGGCAGGTGCATCATCGGGAGGCAGGAAGTAGTGCGTCACCATCATGTTGGTTGCCTTGACAACACCCACATCAAACCACTGGTTTTCCTTCTTCACAACCACCTTTGGGGGCTGGGCAGGAGGCTCCGGTTTCTAGATAGGGAGGAAGAACACAGAGTGAGCTGTATTCAGAGAGGCTGCCAGCTTGTGCCTCCCCACTTGAGACCTCCTGAAGCTTACCACAGGAGCTGGCTCAATCCCATTAGCAACTTCTGTCAGAGCAGCCGCTGCCTGCAATTTTGCTGGGCTGGCCACCACCACCGGTTGTGGAGCCACAAAAGTATTAGATGGAGCAAGACCAAGACCTGGAACAGGAAGAGCACTTTCAGGGATGAAAGTAACAGGGGCATGCAAATCCTAATCACTTGCTCCCCAAGACATCCTACCATGCCTAAAGCCTGATAGGAAACCCAGGCCCCAGAACCTGTCCACGCCTTTACCAGAAGTCCTGCATGTCACACAATCCAAAGAGCAGGAGCTACCTCAAAGACCATCTAGGCATGAAGCCACACAAGCCAAACAGCAACCCTCATCCTTGGCCAGCAGCAGGTGGCTCTGTACAGCTTTGCCTATGGAGCTAGTGAGATGAGCATCTTCTGGACACCCTCCTCCACTGGCAGGTGGAAGGTCTCAATGTAAGCCCTTGCCTAGGATGGAACACACTTCTCAGAAGTGACCAAGACCATGGGCAGCAGGCCAACTTAGCCCAAGCATTCTGCTCTGCTACTTACTCTCCGTGGGCGTAGGAGGTAGTAGCCCAACTGTGCTGGTGACTGCACTGGCCAGTTCATTGAGGCCGTTGCTCTCACTGGCTGGGTCGTTGAGGCTGTCAGCAGGAGCCAGGGCTTCCGTGGGCAGATGGGAAGGCAGCGTGTGCTGAGGCTGATGCTGCTGAGCTGCTGCTGCTGCTGCTGCTGCAGCTGCCGCCGCCTGAGCCTCCTGGAGCTGCTGCTGCTGCTGCACAAGGGCAGCCAGCTCTTGCTGGGTGAGCACTATGGGGATGGTGGTGGCCTGGGTCTCTGGGCCCTCTGAGCCCAAGTGACCTAGTTCAGCTTGTGCCGCCACTGCCTCGGATGTGTCCATGGCCTCTCCAGGACCTGTGGAGGACAGCAGAGATCAACATTAAGGTGTGACTGTCACAGGCAGGATGCACAGAGCTCCACTGAGCCAGTACAAGGCCTTGCCCCAGTTTGGTAGGGGAACACTGTGGGCCAACCACTCAGGCCCAGCAGAGGCAAAGCGAAGACGCAGAGCCAGACTCACCCATGACAGCCTGCTGAGCCGCTTGCAGGACTGCCTGTATAGCAAGGGCTTGCGCCTCTTCGGTGGCAGCAGCTTGGGCAGCAGCCTCTGCAGCAGCCGTCACTGCCAGCTCCTCCGGCGTCAACCCCGTCACCATGAGCGTGGTGGTGCCTGGCTGGCTCTCGGCCATCAGCTCTTGTGGCAAGGCCAGCTGCTCGACTTCTGAGGGTGGGGGGGCTGTAGGGGTGGCCTGGGGCAGCACCACCATCGCCACGGGTTCCTGAGCAGGGGCTGCTTGTGCTGCTGGCGCCTCCTCCACAGGGGCAGCAAGCTCTAGCTGAGGAACAGCTTCAGCTGCCGGGGCTTCCGTGGGCACAGGACCAGCTATGGGAGCCTGGGCTTGCTCCTGGGGCTCGGCTGCTGGCACCTGTGTCTCTGGAGAGGGCCGCAGGGCCTCAGGAGGTCCTGGTAGGGCCTCCACACTGGTGGTAGCTGGCGTCTCAGTCGAGGGAGCAGCTTCCTCTGCAGGTGTGTCCGCCAATGAAGAGATGCTCTGCAAGAGAAGAAGGTGGCATGAGAAGACCTTGGGGCGGGGGGTGATGCTGGAGGGGTGATGCCTAGAGAACAAGGACTACCTAATCCTGCAACATAGAACTCCTTACTGAGGGTGCTCTGAATAGTATGGTTTGCTCACAGCTTTGGGGAAACTTTGACTATGACCTAGAATCACACCTGCTAAATCAAAAGGAAGCTATATCCAGCCCAAAGCTCTGCCAGCTGACAAGGCCAACAAAATGTTCCTGGGAATGCAGCCTACTCAAGCGTGCTCAAAATATCATGCTCCAGACAGGTTTCCCTTTCACTGTCAGTTAACATCTCTCTTTCTCTTCTTCCTACAATATGTCTTCCTTATTATCTTTTTTTCTAGCAACGTTGGTACCCTTTAGAAGTAGAAATTACCACAAGACAGACATTGAAATCCCTCATGGATCACTGCTTTCTCTTGGCGAAGGGGCCTGCGTAGCTCAATGAATCTATGAGCTATGCTGTGCAGGGCCACTCAAGATGGACAGGTCATAGCAGAGAGCTCTGAAAAAATGTGATCCACTGGAGAAGGAAATGGCAACCCACTCCAGTATCTTTGCCATGAAAACCCCATGGACAGTACCAAAAGGCAAAAAGATATGACGCTGGAAGATGAGCCCCTCAGGTTGGAAGGTGTCCAATATGCTACTGGGGAAGAGCGAAGGGCTAGTACTAGTAGCACCAGAAAGAATGAAGCAACTGGGTCAAAGCTGAAAGGACACTCAGTTGCGGATGTGTCTGGTGGTGAAAGAAAAGTCCAGTGCTGCAAAGATCTATACTCCATAGGAACCTGGAATGTAAAATCCATGAAGCAAGGCAAGCTGGATGTGGTCAAACAAGAGACGACAAGACTGAACATTGACATCTTAGGAATCAGTGAACTAAAATGGACAGGAATGGGTGAATTTAATTCAGATGACCATCAGGTATACTACTGCGGGCAAGAATCCCTCAGAAGAAATGGAGTAGCCTTCATAGTCAATAAAAGAGTAGGAAAAGCAGTACTGGGATATCATCTCCAAAATGACAGAATGATCTCAGTTCGAATCCAAGGCAAACCATTCAATGTCACAATAGTCCAAGTCTATGCCCCAACCACCAGTGCTGAAGAGGCTGAAGTTGACCAGTTCTATGAAGGCCTACAACACCTTCTAGATTAACACCAAAAAATTATGCCCTTATCATCATGGGGGATTGGAATGCTAAAGTAGGAAGCCAAAAGATAACCGAAATAACAGACAAGTTTGGCCTTGGAGTACAAAATGAAGCAGGGCACAGGCTGTTGTAGAATTTTGTCAAGAGAATACGATGGTCATAGCAAATACTCTTTTCCAACAACCCAGGAGACGACTCTACACATGGACATCATCAGATGATCAACACAGAAATCAGATTGACTATGTGCTCTGCAGCCACAGATGGAGAAGCTCTATACAGTCAGTAAAAACTAGACCAGGAGCTGACTGTGGCTCAGATCATGAGCTTCTGGTTGCAAAATTTAGGCTTAAATTGAAGAAAGTAGGGAAAAGCACTAGGCCACTCGGGTATGACCTAAATCATATTCCTGATGAATATACAGTGGAGGTGACAAACAGATTTAAGGAATTAGATCTGATAGACAGAGTGCCTGAAGAACTTTGGATGGAGGTTTGCAACATTGTATAAGAGGTAGCAGCTAAAACCATCCCAAAGAAAAAGAAATGCAAGAAAGCAAAATGGCTGTCTGAGGAAGCTTTACAAATAGCTGAGGAAGGGAAGCGAAAGGCAAGGGAGAAAGATACACCCAACTGAATTCAGAATTCCAGCGAATAGCCAGAAGAGATAAGAATGCCTTTTTAAATGAACAGTGCAAAGAAATAGAAGAAAACAATAGAATAGGGAGGACCAGAGATCTCTTCAAGAAAATTGGAGATATGAAGGGAATGTTTCATGCAAAGATGGGCATGATAAAGGACCAAAATGGCAGGGACCTAACAGAGGCAGAAGAAATTAAGAAGAGGTGGCAAGATTACACAGAGGACCTATACAAGAAACAGCTTAACGTCCCTGATAACCATGATGGGGCGGTCACTAACCTCGAGCCAGACATCCCGGAATGTGAAGTCAAATAGGCCTTAGGAAGTCTGAGCAACAACAAAGCTAGTGGAGGTGACAGTATTCCAGCTGAGCTATTCAAAATCTTAAAAGATGATGCAGTAAAAGTGCTACACTCAATATGCCAGCAAATTCAGAAAACTCAACAGTGGCCACAGGATTGGAAAAGGTCCGTTTACATTCTGATCCCAAAGAAGGACAATGCCAAAGATAGTTAAAACTACCACACCATTGCACTCATTTCACATGCTAGCAGAGTTACACTCAAAATCCTACAAGCTAGGCTCCAGCAGTATGTGGACTGAGAACTACCAGAAGTACAGGCAGGATTTTGAAGAGGGAGAGGAACTAGAGATCAAATTGCCAACATATGCTGGATCACAGAGAAAGCTAGGAAGTTCCAGAAAAACAACTACTTCTGCTTCACTGATTATGCTAAAGCCTTTGATTGTGTGGATCACAACAAATTGTGGCAAGTTCTTAAAGAGATGGGAGTACCAGACCATCTTATTTGTCTCTTGAGAAGCCTATACGCAGGTCAAGAAGCAACAGTGAGAACTGGACATGAAACCACTGATTGGTTCAAAATTGAGAAAGGAGTTCGGCAAGGATGTACGCTGTCGCCCTGCCTATTTAACTTATATGCAGAGCACATCATGAGAAAGGCGGGACTAGATTAATCACCAGTTGAAATTAAGATTGCTGGGAGAAATATCAACAACCTCAGATACGCAGATGATACCACTCTAATGGCAGAAAGTGAAGAGGAACTAAAGAGCCTCTTGATGTGGGTGAAGGAAGAGAGTGCAAAAGTTGGCATGAAACTCAACATTAAGAAAACTAAGATCATGGCATCCGGTCCTCTCACTTCCTGGCAAATAGATGGGGAAGAAATGGAGGTAGTGACAGATTTTATTTTCCTGGGCTCCAAGATCACTGCAGTTAGGGACTGCAGCCAAGAAATTAAAAGACGCTTGCTCCTTGGGAGGAAAGCTATGGCAAATCTAGACAGCATACTAAAAAGCAGAGACATCACCCTGCCAACAAAAGTGCATGTAGTCAAGGCTATGGTTTTCCCAGTTGCAATGTATGGCTGTGAAAGCTGGACCATAAGGAAGGCTGAGCACCGAAGGACTGAGGCCTTTGAATTGTGGTGCTGGAGGAGACTCCTGTGAGTGCCTTGGACAGCAAGGCGATCAAACTGGTCAGTCCTAGAAATGATCAACCCTGACTGCTCTTCAGAAGGCAAGATACTGAAGATGAAACTCAAATACTTTGGCCACCTAATGAGAAGGAAGGACTCCCTGGAGAAGAGCCTAATGCTGGGAACAGTAGATGGCAAAAGAAGAAGGGGACGGCAGAGGATGAGGTGGCTAGATGGAGTCACTGAGGCAGTTGGTGTGAGCTTAAGTGGACTCCGGGGGATGGTGGAAGACAGGAAGGCCTGGAGGAATGTTGTCCATGGGGTCATGATAGGTTGGACACGACTTCATGACTAACAACAACAAGACACTGAAATGAAGTGTTGTGAGATGTTGGTTGCTCAATATGGAAATTTTAAAAAGTAACATTTGCACACAGCTCTGTATGCAAGATGCAAAACCTCTGAAAATATAAAAAGAGTAGGTTTTTCACAACTCCGTCACCATCCACATTCACTTCCTCTGGGCTTTAGAACTTATAGCTCTATAGCTGTCAAGAGAGTGCATAAGGACAAACCTGGCATTTAGGGAACAGATCTGGGAGGGGAGATGCATGGCAGATCCAAGGACAAGACTGCACTCAGCTGCTGTGCCCTCCAGCAGCCATCATCAGCAGTAAAACAAAAATCCCTTTCTCCACCTCTCTTGCTGTGTCTGAAGTAGTAGCAGGTGATGACATAACCAATTTGGGCAGGAGCCAAAGGCTGATTTCTCACTGAGAAGACATTATCAGTGGCATGTCTTCAAATGAGGGCCTTCTTGTCAGTGCTGAAGACTCCTCCAAGCCCGCTCTATGCCCTGCAAGCCAAGACTCCCAGCAGATGTGGTTACAAGAACAAGTTTATCCCAGGCCCAGATCCCACTTCATGGTCCTCACCGGCACAGAGGGCCCCGGTGGAGGTGTCGACTGCGTAACGGTGGTGACGGCCCTGGTCTGGGTGGAGGGAACAGTGGTTGTCACTGCACTGGGGCTGCTGGCGGCTGCAGCTGCACTCTCACTCACAGTTGTCTCCGACTCCCCCTGCTGTCCATTGGTAGCAGGTGGCTGATCTGCAAAGAGGAATTTAGTTATGCAATAAACACATGGCTAAAAGCAACAAGAGTTCTGGGTGTCCATTCCCTTTGCCTCTTCAGTTTGCCAGGGAGACCTGTCCTCAAGTCGAGTTTTACTGACAAGCTAATCCTGAGAAACCATTTTGCTTGATCTTGTCTGCAAAGGATGCCCTACATGCTGCAGGAGATTCTGGAGTGCGCTACTCAGGTTACACAAGCCATTTGCCCAAGGCAGTGTGTGTGTGCCTGTTGGCCACCAGCATTAGCCTGTGGTTTCACTTTTCAGGGGAAGATCAGTGGTGGGGGTCAGGAGTTTTTGGAGCAGCCTGCCTGCCATCATTCATCTCATCCTCATGTTCCTAGATGGATACTTTCTAAATAACACTTCTAGGAACCATAAGACTTTTTATTTCATGACTCTCACTGCAAAAGTGGCCTATTCTGAGGCTGAGTTTTGACTTATGCAATGGTTCCAATTTCCTAGCCTTTCCATTATCAATTTGATTGCTGAGGAGCGCCAGGGTGCCAAAGAAAAAGCCCAGGTAATACTGCAGAGGATCTGGGGAGCATTCCAGGGTGCACAGAGTACATGCAGGGTATCAACCAGGCCACACCAACATCCCATGTGAACTGTGTGCCCTAAAGCATGCCCAGCACTTACCGCTCTTCTACAGTGTGCAGCTGCAGGTAATTGCAAACAAGCTGGAATTCAAGCAAGCTGATTCTTCATTACTAAACCCACCCCAGGAACTCCTGATGGCCCCCAACAACAGGAATGGGCATAAGATAGGCCTCCGCATGTTCTGCACTTCAACTCCCAGAAGCTCCTGCCAGCATAGCCAGTGGTGAGGAATGCTGGGAGTAAGAAGTAAAAAGGTCTGCCTTTTACCCCCACCCCCACCATTGGCCTAAGAGAGACAGGAAGAACACCTTTAATGACTTCTCCCCATGCCTGTGCTTACCTTGGTTGGACCCCATTGAGGAGGTAACAGTGGTGGCTGTATGAGTTGTTCCCGTCTCGTGCGTCTCGCAAGGAGGATTGGAGCACACCTTGGCAGGAGGGCTCCGTGGCGGCGATCCATCAGTGCCTGGAGTCTCTCCCTCAGAAACATTTCCTGATTCAGAGTCCCCGGCTAGTGCAGGAGCTGAGCTGGAAAGCTGGATGCCATTGCCTCCAACACCGGGGGTCATGGTGGTGCTGGTGCAGCTTGTCTGCTGCGTGTCACAGGGGGGAGCAACAGGGGCTTGCTGGGCACCTTCACCCTGCCCAGCACCCATGTTTGATGTGGTGGTGGTGGCCGTGTTCGTGGTGCCCGTCTCATGAGTCTCACAGGGCGGGTTGGAGCACACTTGCTGCCCCGTCCCCATGCTGGAGGAGGCCGTGGTGGCTGTGTTGGTGGTGCCCGTCTCGTGAGTCTCACAAGGTGGGTTGGAGCAAACCTGCTGGGTGGCACCCATGTTTGAAGCAGCCACCGTAGCAGTGTTTGTGGTACCTGTTTCATGAGTCTCGCAAGGCGGGTTGGAGCACACCCGAGGGATACTTTCCTTGGTGTCCGTACTGCGGGAAACGCACGGTGTGCTCAGCTGGGCCGGGCTTGGAACCGACTCTGGCGACACCGCCTGCACTGCGCATGGCTGCTTTGTAGGCACATCAGCTTTGGCCGACATGGTGGTGCTGGTGGAACTGGTCTGCTGTGTTTGGCACAGGGAGTTGGCAGATCCTGCCCACTCACCATCAGGCTGCCCTCGGCCCATGAGACACCGAGCCGTGGTAGCTGTGTTGGTGGTGTGGGTGTGATGGGACTCGCACCGGAGGCTTCGCGGGATGGGTAGTCTTTCACTGGCTGGTAATGTGGAGCTGCTGGAGGCAACACTGGGCATGCCAGGAGCTGGCATCAAGCTTACCTTTCGCACTGTACACGGCTGCTCAGTGGGGATGTCCGCTTTGGCCGACATGGTGGTACTGGTGGTGTTAGTCTGTTGCGTTTGGCACGGCGGGTCGGCCGGTTCTTTCTGCCCCCCATCGGGTTGTCCCCGGCCCATGTTGGAGGTGGCGGTGGTGGCGGTGTTGGTGGTGCCTGTCTCGTGCGTTTCACAGGGTGGGTTGGAGCACACGAGCTGCCCCATGCCCACAATGGGCTTCACTGTCATGGTGGTGCTAGTAGCACTAGTCTGGAAAGTTTGGCATGCTGGCTCTGTGGGGACCTTCTCCATTTTGGAGGTGGTGGCGGTGTTGGTAGTGCCCGTCTCGTGCATTTCACAGGGCGGGTTGGAGCAGCCCTTCTGGCCAGCGCTCCTCACAGTGGTGGCGGTGTTAGTGGTGCCCGTCTCGTGCATCTCGCAGGGAGGATTGGAGCAGACCCGCACCACTCTCCCATTCGCCTGGAGCCCTCCACCCTCTTGCCCGTCACACACAAACTGCAACTGGGCCGGCCCGCCCAAAGTGCCCACGACTGTTGTGGTGGCTGTATTGGTGGTGCCTGTGTCATGTGTTTCACAGGGTGGGTTGGAGCACACCAGGGTGACAGTGCCCTGCTGTGGGTCTCCCTGCCCCGATTCAGCAATTGTGACGGTGGCCGTGGGCTGCTCTGTGGTGGGAGAGGCCAAGATAGAGACGGGCAGGTCATGCACTGGCTGGGCTTCAACGCCGCTTGGTGTCGTAATCAGCGTGACTTGAGTGGGCTGCGAGACAGGCTAGAAGCAATGAAGGAAAGAGATACACAGTCAAGCTGGGCACTACAGCAGGGACATTTCTTCTGAACCAAACAAAGCCAGCAGAGTCATTTTATGCACATTACACAGAATGAGATTGTAGAACCACCTTACTGGATGCTGCAGCTGGTAGACTATAGTTTTGACTGCCCCTCACACAGAAAAAGGAAGTCTCTTTAAACGTAATAAACTAAGATGCCACCAAGAAGGATTTAGCACAGCCCTTTCCCTGAAGCACTAATTTTTCCATAGTCAGGACACTAGCTGTGGGAACTTTCAAAAATATGGCCATCCCCCACTCACCTTCACTCTGAAGCAGTACAGTCCAGAGTTCTACCGCTTCATTGTGAGAAACCTGCAGCAACTATCTATCTAATTACAGTATTTGTGTACTGCTCCACATCCAAGCAGATACTGGAGCAGTGAATGGTACAAAGTTAAACCAAATGAAGAGAATAAAGGGACATCACAAACAAGTTAGCATTAGAATCATGGCTAGTCAGTAAGAAAAGCTTCCAGGAACTGGGATATCTTTAGCAAATCATGATAACAGCACAGTATTGGTGCCTGCCTGATTTCCTGAGAGAGGGAATTCCATGGAAATAGGGACATCATCCTGAAGGCTGTGAGGAACCATCAGGAGAATATCAGCCAGAAACCTTAGGGATCAGACAGGTTGGTAAAGGAGAAGGCACTCTTTCAGGGATCCTGGCCCCATTTGTTCAATCTTTTGGCCAGAGAAGAAGTGGACATAAGCATCAGTTTGCATGCCTGTAATAGGAGGCAACAGAGACTCTGGGGAAGTCTTTGCGTGAAATCACCAAGTTAACATGCACTGCAAAGGGCTCAGAGCTACAGAGCTCTGCCTTCCTTCCTTCTTGCTTATCCTTGTGGAATGCAATAGGATAGCAGTTTAGTTCAGGTGTACAAATTGCTAACTTCCAAGTCTGTTCAGATGTCCTACAGCATTCCAGAAATGTAATATTATGTAACAGGACTACAGTTGCAGATTTAGGCATACTGAACATAAATTAAGAGCTGAATCTCTGGTGCCTCTCAAAGATCTGGTAGATAATAGCCAAAAAAGACTGGGAAGATAAACAGTGGGGCAGAGGAAGGTGTATCACCCCAGTGACGGCATGTTTTATAAATTACTTATGCGCTGCAGAAAGAAATATTTTGTTTGTGTGAATCTAGTGCTGATGGGCAATCCTGTAGAGTTCACACACGCACAGGAGCCTGACCAGCCTACTCCATACCTGCATAGTGATGGTGGGAGTGCTCAGTCCTCCTGCTGCCGTCAGAGTGGTCTGTGCTGCAGAGACTGTGATAGCAGCTGGATTGATGACCTGGCTGGAAAGGGTGGCAATGGTGCCTAGGGTGGTAATGGGTGTAGCCAGGGAAGCATTGGTATTGTGTCCCCCTGTCCCGGCCAGGCTGGTTGAAACGGTGCCTGTTACAGTGCCCAAGGTTGTAACACCTGAAAAGGAAAGAAAGGCTGAAGGCAAGAACTCAGGGATTGGGATCCTGCCCAGTCTGCCAGCTTCTGCAGCCCAGAAAGTCATTCTGTCCTTTAACATGACATGATCCTGTCTCTTGTTATTGTTGTTAATCATCATCATCAGCAGCAGCTGCTGCCGCCGCCACCTTTTTCTCCTGCACCATAGTCAAGGCAGTTTACACAATGTCCCCCCGTCTGTTTTATCCTCAAAGCATTGCTGAGAGGTAGGGTTAGGCTGAGGGTCTGTGCCTAGCCCAAAATCACCCAGGAAATCACCCAGGAGCTTCATGGCCAAACGGGGTCTAGAACTTGGATCGCGTAAGTTCCAGTCCAGCCCTCTAGCTACAACCTCATGCTGGCTCTTTGGGTCCTAGGCAGGGAATTGTTGGACCTTATTTGTAGGATAAGTAATCTACATAGTGACAAGAACATGACGTTGGCAGCCCACTCTGTGGCAAGCATGGGATTCTGGGATCAAGATATGGCCAGCTTTTATCCTGAAGATTAGGTGCTAAGGCTCATCCAAGCTATCCCCCAAACCTACTGGGGTTAATCAAATGTAAATGTATTCATGGAATCACCTCATCAGTTACTGCTGCCCCCAGGTCAACATGCTTACCTGTTGTTCCTTTCACCACAAGAGTGGTGACAGTGGGCTTGACAGCAGACACAGTGACAGGGGTGACAAGCCGTACTCCGCCCATAGGGACAGTTCGCAAGATAGTGCCAGGCTGCCCTGGCGCTCCTTTAAGCACCACCTGTGACGGCAGAAATTTGAAAGGCTAAGATCTCAAGTTGACCTGGGGTCAGTGTAGACCAACTGCACCCCCAAAGCCTTCCAGTTTGCCCAGTGGGCTCACCTGTGTCACACCCTGCTGGCCATGACCTGTGGCCAGCTTGGGTACTGCTGTGATGATCTTGGCAGGTGTGCCAGTGCCAGAAGTCATCACTTTTGTGGTGATGATGGTGATGGGAGACTTGATCCCAGGACTACTGGTGACACCTGGAGAAAAAAAGATTAGAACCATAAGGAGGGGCTCTGATCTCCTCCACTATGCATATAACCTCAACTGCCCTTGCATGCTCCCAATTATCCCGTTTGCTTCCAACTCCAGCACCTTCTGGTTCTTTGGCCCATATTCTGACCACACACGGCAGGCAGAAAAAAATGGACTTATGGAAGATTTCCATTCTTAGCTGTTCCAGAGAGGGGTAGCCCCTATTTCTGGGAACGTTCCCCTCCTGGTTAGCAGACAAGAGCTCTGTGAGGATGCTGCTGCAGGTGGGGGGCTTTCCCCAGCTCCTGTAACAACCTTATCCGGCTATCAGGTGGCAGGCTTCTGAATGACTCATAGCTGAACTGTTGTAGCATTGTATGAATTGTACTTCAGCAGTTTGGAAGAAACAGGAACCCTTTTAGGGATTCTGGCTGCCCTTGACTGCACCCCTATCCCTCCAAGCCTGAGGGAAACAATGCATTCCTGAGGCAAGAGCACTTCCTACTCCCAGAACAGTTGCTGAGTTTGGGTCCTTTCTCCCCAGTGTAGAATGGGGAAGCAGCCAGCACTGAAGAAGAAAAGACTGGTGAGCACAGCTTGGAAGCGAAACACGGCAGAGATGTTGGGCCACACTCAGTATCTCTCAGCTACACCTCATGGTTTTTGCAGTGCCTTCCAAAAGATGCCAAATTAGATTTTGCAAATACACTAAATGATAGCAATCACTCTCATCGGTCACGGTGTGGGGATTGGTGTTCTACCTCTGGTTCTTTGGTAGCAGCAATGGGTGCTCTGAGAGAAGCAATGCACAATATAAAATATCCCCAAATACCTTATCTTTTAGTTGCCTGCCATTTTCCTCCTCAGGAAAGTTACCAGAGGCAAAGTGATTGCTCCAGCCTGCTTTTTTCCCTTTTAGAGTTTCGGAGAAACTCAACAGGTGTGTGGAAGAAGGTTGGTTATTCTCAGCCCTTCCTCCCCTGAGCTAGCCGCACCCCCGCACCCAACCTGTAAAAAAGGAAATTTGCTTAACACAGTACTAATATGTAGTGTGGTGAAACAGTGATAGGCAAGTAAACTTAATATTTTGGAGGGAGTCTTCACTCTCCTGTGAAGACTAGTGAAAATTAAGAAGCAGCCCCCTGTGGCAGTCATTAAGATGGCTGCTGGAGTTAACTGCTGTGAGTCTGAGAGTCTCAGTTTAGTACACATGAAGAACAAACAGCTGGTCTTCTTCCTAAGAAGCTGGTGTTCCAGCTTTAACGGAAGCTGGAAAACACCTCTGAAACTTCATGACACACTTATATGAAGTGGAATGGCAGCTCTGTCTTTATTACTCTCCAGACAAAAAAAGCACCTCTCAACAAAGGGCCAACAGACAGCCCTGAAGCCTAGTTTTTGAGACAGGACAAAATGAAAAGAGAATGAAAACTTCCAGCCTCATATGAGAGCTGCCGAGACCCTAGATTCAGAAGCCAGAAAGGCTTGAGACAGCCAAGGGAACATCAGCCAGCTGAGTCAAAGGCTATCACGCTGGGCCTTCCAGAATATCAATGGACAAGAGTTCCTACAATGCAACTTCTACAATTTACTATAGGAGAATGAGCTCTTCCATTCTCTGGTAGGAAGGCTGCTTGCCAACCAGAAAAAGGAACTTTCCAGCAATGCCCTAGAACCCCTGGAGAACGCTGCCACCATACTTCAGTCTGCAGTATGCAAGTGCTGTTTCAGTCACATTCCACTCCTCACCTGTGGCACCTGACTGGGTAATAATAGCTGACATGGGGATGGTCTTGATGATGGTGGTGGTGCCAGGCTTCGTTGTGTTCGGAGAGACACTGCTGATTCCCAGGATGGTGGGCTTGGTACCTGTTCCACCTGCCTGGGAGCTGGTGATGATTGTGGTGGGCTTGCCATCTGCTGAGGTCACCAGCTTCAAGATGGTGCCAGCAGGCAGGGGCCCTTTGGTCTAAGGGAACCGAGAAAATAACAAGAATCAATAATGTGCAGGAAGTCTCAAAACTATTGCATTCAACAAGAAGCACACTACAAAAGAATGGAAGATCAGAAAAGCAGAAACCTGAGTTCTGTTCTTAGCTCTGGGGACCAAAGGACACAGGCCACTGTGGCATAATGTGCAATGCATGTGCGGAGTGGGATTAGAAAATCAGATTCCTCGGTCCTAGAATTATAGGATCTGTTGATCCTGCAGCCTTCCAGATATTAGAGTACCCATCATCCCTGACCCCTAACTGGGGCTGAAAGGAAATAGGAGACCAGTAACATTTGGAGGGCCACAGTTTATCCACCTGTCAATCAGTGAGCTGAGAGCTAGTAACTGACCTCAGTCCACAGACCTGGAGGGAGGGCAGTCACATGGACAGCGGAGCAAAACAAAGTGCTTTTGGGCTGCAACTACATTTGGCAACTGCTCCTTTCTCACAATTCTTACCTGGATTATCTGGGTCACAGGGCCAGTCGACGCTTGTCCTGTTACAGCTGATGTCTGCACTGGTTTGGTCTGAACCACAGACATCACTTTACCCAAGTTGGAAATCTGCCAAACCAAGAATATGTAAGGGTTATTCCAGGCTTTCCCTCAATACTGCCAAGCCTAGTCCCCTCTCCTTCTGCTGCCAACTTTGTTCAGATGGTGGGCCAGTAAAGAAGCTACTAAAGGGATGCATCTGCTTACCATGAACTCCCAAAGCTCAAACCTTAAAGTGATCAGAGTCCCATAAACCTGTTTATCTGTATTTCAGGTAGCATATCCAGTGTGCTTCCAGCTCCCTTTCCAAACCCCTATCTCACAGCACTAATGAGATACTCACCAAAGCGCTGCCTCCTGGCACGGAGAGAGGACTTTTCACCAATGTGATGGTCTTTGTCACGCCACCCACCACAGTGGTCATCACTTGGGCCTGCTGTGCTACCGTGACAGTGCCCGACTTGTGCACAGTGATGATGGGCCGGGTAGGTGTGTTGGTGGTGGATGAGGAAACTGAGGTGCCAACCTGGGCAGCTGCTGTCTTCAGCATGCGGGTTGCTGGGTTGCTGACCTGTTTATCAAACATGGTCAATATCAGAAGAGCAAAGATGCCTTAAAAGACAATGTATTCTTTCATATTTCCCTATTGCCCAGCAACAAAAAGTTCCTTAAGTGGTTGACACCATGTAGTACCACCCCCCATTTTAAGGAGCAGTTCAGGAAACAGAAATCTAGGATACAATTTGCAAAGCACAAACAGGATGTTGCCCTTGGCTGCAGATGGAAGTGGTTGTGGACTTCAGCCACCAGGCCCAACCAACCAACCCCAGGTGAATGTGCTGCAGATACTTACCATGACTGGAGAAGAGGCTACTTTGACTGTGGTGGGTAGTGTGGTTGTGCCCGGAGAAACAGCAACAGTCTTAACGATGGTGGTGCCAGCAGGCATACTCAGCACAGTAGGGGCTGAGGATGGTGGGATTTTCTGAGTGGCAGCAGCGGCAGCAGCCAGAGCAGCCATGCCACTCATTTGAGGGCTGCTGCCAATCACCTGAAAGAAAGAAGAGAGTCATGGAGTCCCTGTAGGCTGCCACCTTCTACACGAGTCCCTGTTCATCTAGACAGCACTCACCGTCCCTTGGGTGTTCTGTGTGGGCACCACCATGCGCACCCCAGCAGGCAGTGAAGTCACAGTCACTGGGCCCTTTCCAGCCTGCCCTGCTGAACGCACTGTCACCAATGGAGCCCCTGTGGTAGCCTGTGGGCCTGTGACTTTCAGAACAGCTGGGACAGCTGCCAAGGAAGAGGACAACAGCATGAAGCATAGAGCATGAGTACAGACTGCTCATTACTAGGATTGCACAGCCCCCAGGATGGCATTTTTCCTTGCTCCATGCCCTGGAGATAAAGCAGTAAAACAGCCCATCTCATTTAGTTAGTGCAGGCTGATAAACTGTTCAACTCCCACGGATGGACTGATTTATCAGCAGAGATAAAGCAATGCAGGAATGGGAGAATCATCTTCTATAATGGGGACCTTAGAGCACAGTGCTTAATGCACTTTCCCTCCCTGCCCCTATATTTTCCTTACAGGAGTTACTGCTAGGCAAACCAGCTCTGAAGGGCACTCTTCAGAGAACATCCGTATAAGGAAATGTTCATTTAAAGGACCTGATACAAACTAGGATTTCACTATAGATTTTGCTTAAACTATTAATATCCCATGAAATCCAGCAGTAAAGAAAACTCATTGAAAGCCTACATCCATATAGCAAAGAACAGGAATGAACCATCATCATATCGTGCTCCATTTGGTCAAATGTCAAGAGATGTACTTTCTTTTTTTAAAGAGCTGAGGCTCGGTTGTACCACCTTGGGGAGTTTTTCTCCCAAACTGGGAATGCAAAGCAAAAGCAGTCCTGCTCTTACCTAACTCTCTCTCTCCCTCCCTCCTCTAAAGCACAGCTCTTAAAAGACAGAATGAACAAACATCCATCATAGCAAGGGTTCCAAAACTGCAATCTAACAGATGATAGGACGGGGTTCTGATTGTACAAATATGCTCCCTGTAGCACTGCACAATTCCTTCCTTTACCTTGCGGGCGAGGAGTGGCGACAGCAGCAGCAGCTGCCACTGGCATTGGGCTGCTAGGCACAGTAGGCAGCACCTGGATGGTGGTAGTGGTAGGAGGGGCAGGAGTTGTGGAGGCGGCAGCGGCAGCGGCGGCAACAGCTGTGGTCTGGGGCAGCAGAGTGATGCCCATTTGAGCCAGCGGCTGTACAGGAGGTGCGGGTGCAGCTGCAGCTGGAGCAGGGCTCTTGGGAGGGTTGACAGGCACTGAGGGTACCGGGTTGGCAGCTGGTGAGGTGGCAGCTGGGATGTCATACTTCTGCAGCTGCAGCAAGTAAGTGTCAGCTGTTGGGACAGAACCCCAGCTAACTTCCAGGGAGTTGGTGTTGGCACGAACCAGCTGCACCCGTGAAGGCGATGGAGGTTTCTCTGTGAGGGGAGAACAAGCAGATGGTATCGAGATTACTCCATTTCTATGAAGGAAACTCAGCATCCTGGCACTCCTAAGAGAATGAGGCCTCTAAAAGCATTCCAGATCATTTCACTCACTTATCTCTAAACCCATTTTCTGAAGACAACTCAGTACGAATTAGTGTTGCCCATTGGAGTGAAAATGTAGAGTGTCTTGAGTCCATTACAAATGGTAAGAAAATTTATAGTTGCTGTCCCCAACACAGTGCATTCAAGAGCTATCTTCTCCCTAGCCTTTCTTATCCATGTTGTCTTTGTGTTTTCCCCCACTGTCAGTCTGCCTGCCTGCCTTTTTCTAACAGGGCAACAAAGCTCCAGCTGCCCACCAATTAAATTTCTTTAGAATTCATTTCTGCCACTGTCCAGTAAACCTACAAGGCATCACAGGGAAAGAACAAAGCAACTTGATAGGTGGTGGCACAGCAGTAAGGAAAGAGAATGGCATGAACTAGGATAAGAATTGGATCTAGTAAACATATTTAACATCCATATTTTTATATACTTTGCTTGTGGAAAGCTGGCATCCCTACAAGAAAGTTAGCGAAAATCCTTCTTTCTGGCATGGTGAACTTTCTATGTGGAATGAGGTTTTTTTTTTTTTCCCCCAAACACTGGAAAACAATCAAAACATGCAATGCCTCCACCAGCAGTCAAAGGAGAGCTTTGACCAGACAATATTTCTGTCCATCTCGAAAGTGGAAAATTTAAAATATTACCACTGCCCTAAGCTTCTTACCTGTCTCAAGGTACCAGAGATCCTTGCAGCAAACCTGGTTATTCCAGGCCTTGCGGTAGCCATCACGGCCACTCCAGATGTATAAGCGGGTATTGATGGCCACTGCACAGTGCCCAGCTCGTGCCCGTGGGATATTATCCTCCAGCGTATCCATCAGAATGGGCTCCCAAGCCATAGAATCTGCAGAGAAAGACATATACACACATGTTGAAAGGATGGCAGCTACAGAAGGGAGATACTTGAGGTGACATGGCACATTCCCTCACATACCCAGGTTGAGGCAAGCCAGAGTATTTGTGCATTTCCATTCCTTTTCATGTGTGGCTACTTTTACATCATCCATGACAAGGGGCACCCAGCCCCCAAATACATACATCCTGCCAGAAAAAGAGGGAGAAAGATGAGCACAACCTCAAATAGGCATAGGGAAGCAGGCTGAGGCATGTCAGGCACATGGCTTACTTGTTCCCGATGGTTGTGGCTGAGTGCAAGCTGCGAGGGAGCGGCGCCACCCCGCTCAGGGATGGCTTATTCCATGTCAGAGTATCTGAAGAGAGAAAGATGCAGCAGTGGGGTCACTGCACTGCTTGATCCTGGTCTCCAGGATGTTGTGCACCCAGGCTGGGTCTAGAATCCTGGCCAGGGGCTCCAAGGACCTGCCCTAAGTTGAAAGCCTGCACCACCAATTCCACCCCAACCCCCAAAATACTAATCTAGCTGCTGTTACCGATGTCAAGCGTCCAAAGATCACCAAGACGACAGCCACTCATGCCACCATATATGACCAGCTTGGATTTCTTGTTGTCTTTTTCTGTGTACACCACAGCAGTGTGGGACTCCCTTGGGGGAGGCAGTACACCGTAAGTGATGGGGATGTCCCACGCTACCACACCAGAGCCTGGACGCAGCTCCAAGATATAGAGGTCATTCAAGTACCTGTAGAAGAGAAAGGCAGGTGTGAAAGGCCAGACATTACAGCTCTGTTCTTCACCTGTTTACAACTGACACCATCCAGTCCCTCACTGCTCCCTTTTAAAACCAGTGTTATTATGAGCTCCATTACAACACTCACAGTGACTTCTTTCAATGGGCCTCGTTTATGGAAATATAAATAGTCCTGGTCCAAGGTGGCAGAAAGGCCTTGCACGTGGATCACTGTGGTTGTATCATGAAGCTGGGCAAGCCAATATACAGCCAACATACCTTGGAATGTTATTTTTGGGGTCTTCACTGTCATTGGCCAGCCCCCCAAACAGGTAGCACTTGTTGCCCACCAGTGAGAAGCTATGGCCAAGGCGTGGGCAGGGTGGGGGCCCATTCTTGGGAGTCTTGGCCTTCAATCTCTTCCACTCCCAACGGCTGGCCTAGAACAAAGAATTGGGTGGTTAATAAAGAAAATAGCAATACTAGTCTTTTCCTTTTAAAGCATGGAAGAACAAAAAAGCAATAGGGATGGTTACTTGAGGGGAAAGATAAGGAGCACAGATAGAGACTTCCAGAGTTTTGAAACCCCTCCTGCTACTAAGTTGTGGCATGATGCAGTTGTGGCTACAGGCAACAACACAAGTGGTCCAACAAAATAAATCAAGACCTATACTACACACCTTGGCACTGTGCCAGCAGCACCACAGAGACCTCCTTGCCTTAGCTTTTGAATCACATCCTCTCTATCCTGAACTGTGGAAGCAACAGCCTTGCACCTTGCAGCCACTCACCTGCAATTCATAGAGGTCGTTGCTGTACTTGCCATACTCCACCATCCCTCCAAACACCAAGAGACGAGTCCCATCACAGACAAAGCCATAGGCAGCACAACCAGGTGGGACGTCTCCTCGCACAGCTGGGATGAACCACTGGTTTGTAGCTGAAAGACAAGCAAAGGAAGTCAAGAGGACAGTTCCAAATTTGACAGATACATACACCTGGGGTCCACTGAGGCAATTCCTCAGAATGTCACTCAGAAGGAATACTCTGATGGGGCAGTTAGGTTGTTCTCCTCACTCTCTCATCTGATGCTCTGCCAAGCGAAGGATGCTCAAGCTACACGTGATTTGAAGGCAGAGCCTTCGCAGCTCTGTGTCCCTGTAGTGGTCGATTCTTGCAACAATCCCCTCCTTTGCTCCGTCAACTGCCAATTATGCCCTAAACTGCATCCCTCAAAAACACAGAGGAGAGCACAGCATGTGGTAGGCCTACAACTCTGTTCTAGAGGGAAGAGACGAGAGCAAGTGGCCCACAACTATTGCCCAATGTTTGCCACAACAGCAGTGGGAATTAGGGATTTGGCAATATTTCCCACTGCCTTGGGACAGGGCTTCCCCTGCGTCCTGATGGAAGCAGCAGGTTTGGCCAAGCCAGAAGTGTTTACAGTGAAAAAGAGCAGAAGGAAACAGCCTATCGGGGAATCAGAGAGATGAGGCAGCTGCCAATCAGGAAGCTGGGACCCACCCCTCCTGCCTAGCTCTGTTACGCAGCAAGACTCCCCGCCACAGAAAATACAGAAACTGTGGCTGACACAAAGGGGGAGCAGGCACACTCCCTCCTGTATGTGCTGACAAACCCCATGCTCTGTTTCATCCTGCATAGTTATTCTTGGAATCAACCTAGCTTGCAGCCCCGTTCTGCTTAACTAACTCTAGAACATCACACTGGGAGTCCTGGTAGAACCGCAACAATCTCGCCTCTTCATCACAAGCATTTTTTTGGCAAGTAGGCAATGCTTCCAGTAAGATGCCAAAAAAGCTACTTTCCTGCTGTTTGATTGCAGAGGCTGCTTTCACAGCAGTACAAGGACTAATATCAAAGAAAGACAAGGAATAGAACAGACAAAAAGGCTGGCTTTGAATTTTTGTTGGTATGAGAAAAGTGAAACCAATTTCAAAATTCTGAATGTTGAAAGTAATTTACCATGATTTTAATACTCTTGCTGAGTAATAGTTCACCCTGCTTTGGGTTTCCCAAGCATGTTGGTACACTAGAAATCCATCTTTCAGGATACAGAATGTGCCTTCACTTATACTATTGGTTCACTCATGTCCTCAAAATCATGCTTCCCAAGCCAGGAAGCACATGTCACTCACAGAAAAGGGATGGAGTACATGACACAAGAAGCCCCATACAGTGCAAAATACAACTAGAATTAAGACAAATTGGTCTGGGGCCTTCTGATCCAGAAAAGGAAAGAGCCTTTTGTACTGGTTTCAAACTTAAAACCACAGTGAAGCCTACTTTCAAGAATTCTCCACCAATTAAATACAATCCTCAATCTAATAAAAATTCTTAATTCAAAATTATTTCTGAAGTTCATAAAATCCCGTATCACTCTGCACATTTGCACTGGCAACACTGCTTTTGCCTTCCCAGATCTAGCAAACTAAATGCCCCAAACACTACCTGGCACATTACCCAAGGGCTAGTAAACTGAACCTTGTCTTTCCACACCCATAAAAGATTAAGGAACAACTGTGTGTTCCCACAGGTTGCAGTCTTCTGGTAATGTCCCTGTAATGTCCTAACTCCTGAATAAGCCAGAGCCCCGTCCCCATTTTGGAAGGAAACCGGAACCCACATCATAATGCACTGATAGGCAGTTTAGCCTGTAGAAGCCAAGAGACTCCACCCTGAGCCCCCCAACTCCCAATAATGAACAGGCACAGCAGATTATGGGTGGGATTTGCTTACAGAGCAACCGACAGTGGCTTCTCCCACTGGCATCAAGAAAATATTTAAACCCACTAAATTCTCAACTACTCCTGCCAACTTCAAACTAGAACTGATAGTATGAGAGGTGAATGCCTCCCGTCCTGGCACCTGGCATAAGGGTCTTTGATCCACCCCAATTAGCTACAGGATGGAATGTTCCAGCATTTGATCCCCAAACACAATACATTTTATGGGCACAGGATCATTGCGCTCCATGTATCAAAGCAAAGTAACCAGTCAACAAGGAGTTAAAAGCTGCAGCATTTGAAAGTTGAATTTTACGCGCCAAGCCCTTGGGGAGGAAAAGCTCCTTCACCAGTGCCCCACCGCCTACCACATGACTACAGATGAGAAGACACAGAGAGGAGAAAATGTACTATTTCCAGGCAAAGTGAACAACTACCACCAAGACACCATAGTTAACATGAAATTACAAGAGCACATGTGTCCTCAGAGTACACCACGCTATGCTTTAATTCAGATGCTTAGGTGGACATTTGTTTGAAGCTTGCCTTTCATTGAAGCTAGGACGGATCATACTCTGCCTCTCTCTCTTGCCAGCCTACTCTTTTCCTACAAACACATACCTCTCCCTTCCAATGCCACTGAGACTGATGCCTGGGACTCCTGTAGCTGCAACAAGATAATCCTCTTAAGATATTCCGCCACTAGGAGATGAGAACTCCCCCACAAACATACCCTGCTTCAGCCCCCCTCTTCAAGATAGGATATTCCAATCTCCCCCACAATGCAAAAACAGGCACTGCTATACATTAGCCCCCTACAGACACAAAGGTATAAAAGAAAAAGTTCCTCATCTAAAATTTCAAGTATTACATCTAACAGAGAAAACACATGCTAGTTATTCCACCCAAAATACTAGAGGAAATTCAGCAGAGATAGAAGGGGTTTTGCTCTCTTCTACTGCCATGCATTCCAGTATGCCCATTTGAAGCTTAGGGGACAGGGCAGAGTTAAATTTAACCGGTCATCATAAAGGCACTTCATAAGATAAATTAGTTACACACATCTTTCCCTATACACAAAATATCGGAGTTCCTGCTTCATACGTGCATGGAGAATCACAAGACTCTCTGGGACTAATTACACTCAATCTTATCCAATCTGGATAGAAATGGGGCCGATTCGCTTATCCTGTAATACCCTAGATACTGTAACCCATCCAACCCCCCCCCCTTACCTGTGTTATAGACATGCAACTCATCCACGATGCCCTCGTTGCCCCCTCCGAAGACCACAATCAGCTCTTTGATGGCCACAGCTCTATGCCCATGTCGGGGCCGAGGCACAGGGCCTGACCACCCAACTACTCGCTTCCAGCGGGGCTGCAACAGCCCTGGGGTGGCCCCGACACCTGTTGGGGAGCCCCCACTAGGGACAATAGGAGAGGCGGCAGCCATAGAAACCACCTCCCCACTCTCAAACGAGTATCCTCTCTAGCAATCAGTCCTCTAAAAAAGCAAAGCAAGAGGCAACTCTTATCAATTCTCTTAGCTAAGGGTGGCCAAAAAAAGACAATCCCCCAACCACATGCACTCTACCTCCTTTGAGGTAAGTGTGTATACCGGCAATACCACCTTCACTTTTTTTTAAGGAGAACTGGCTCAAACGGCCCCCCTTAAATGGGGCGCAACACCCTGCTACTCCTTTTTTCACTACTAGCACACCTCTCACCGTGGGAACTAGGTTGGAGGCACTTCCTTGCTGCAGCAGGCAAACTATTTCGGGGTAATTGTGAAAAAAGGGATGCTGAAAAATATTCACCCTCCAAAAGCAACTCTTGGCGGGGCAAACACCTTCCTATGTTTTCTTTCACGTGGGGCAGCTGCAATGTAAAAAAGAAACGTGCCCCTTTTGCTGAGGAACTTACTAACCCTCCACTCAGTGAAAGCGAGTTTAGATCGCCGACTCCCGAACCCCCCAGTACAGACACCCTCTCTATGGGGCAAACACCCTCCTCTTGTGGTAGAAAGAAGAGAGGCTGAAACTAAATCGCCCCCTAATTGCTTCCCCCCTTTTGGAAAACTACACCAATTCCCCCTGCGAGGGAACTACCCCGCGTGGGGCAGTTACTCCTCCCCGTCGTAGCAGGGCCCCTCTGCCGCCCCCCTCCGGCCCCCGCTCAGAGCCCGGCCCTGGGAGCCGCCATCTTGTGTTGCCCGGACGGAAAATGGCGGCCGCAGGGAGGGAGAAGCCGCCTCCCCCTCGTCCCCCCCACCCGGCGCGTCTTCCCCTCGATCCTGCCTGCTCCCCAACCCGAAGTTCTAAGCCAGGGCTCCCTCCCTCCGGCTTCCAAGCACAACGGGCCTCTCGATCCACCCCCGCTGTACGGCACCGATGGGCAAGCTGCGGGCTCCAGGCGCCTTCACGCCGCCCTGGGAGCCGCCATCTTGCGCCTGTGAGGAGTCTCTCTTCCTCGGCAGCGGCGATGGGCGGAGTCAAAACGAGGCCTCTGTACGGAACCCCTCCCACCAGGGCGCCGCCATTTTCAGTGGGCAGGGCTGCCTGGACACCGCCATGTTAGTGGATTTTCGAACTCCTCGTTTTGCTTTTCTGGGTGCTATTGAGAGGAAATTATTTCTCAGTGGCATTTGCCTCCTTTTTATTACTACAAACTGAATACGACCCTTAAGTGGCATTCCAACCGTAAGTCGTGTACCAAGCTGAATATTATATGGGCGTCGCCATAATGAATAGGAAGCCCCGCCTTCTTGCTTTTTAAAAAAACCTTGTTCCCTCCAATAACCGCCCTGCCCGCTAATACGAGCCACGAATACTTTGGGGAGGCGCTAGACACTTCCCTCTCAGCTGTTCTGTACTATATAGCAGCCGTATGGGCGCCGCCATATTTGATTAAAAATGAGATCCTCTAATAACCTGGCTTTTGATTTGCAGTCACACCTGAACACTCCTCTATATGCAAAGGACAAAAGACATGTCTGCCTGTATACCATTCACATGACAGCTAACAGTCTAGATTTCCAGAGTCACCTAGTGCTCCTCATAATCATGCCCGAAACCGGGATTTCCTTTTCTTTTGAAAATAATTCTCGGGGTTTCTCGGTGCTTTCCTCGTTCCTGATTCAGATTCAGGAGCTTAAATAGGTAGATTACTATATTTGGAGTTCGCCAGGTCGCATATAGTGCTTTGAGTGATCATATCTTAAGATTTCATGCTTTCCTGGAAGCTGCCATCTTGGTTCCACCCCCTTTCCTATCACTGTCATAACACAGAAAACAGAGATGGCGCCATAAACTTCCCGGATGTGCCGCCTCCCTTTCATGGACCGTAATAGTGTCTTTCCCCCATGCCCGTAGATAGTTGTCTCGTATAATATGTGATTCAATATGGCGGTTTCAGTATGCCCGTATGTGCCTTCTGCGGATACACATTCAAGATGGCTGCATCTTGAATGCCCGGATGGGCGGAACTCTATCCAAAGATGGCTTCTCCCTAAGTTTTCAATAGCCTCCATATTCAGTTCCCGGATGTAGCTTGCTGCTCAGGAAAAATTAAACATGATGAAACACTGAATTCCCGGATATTCAAAATAGCTGACATACAGTTCCTTAAGAGTGGCTTCGTAAACAAGGGGGATATCCAAAATGGAGGCAGTCGAATCTAGGGCTGGCGCTTCTTAAAATGGATCCAAGATGGCGAGAACCATCCAGATCAGCGACCCAACAAGATGGCGTTAACGTATAAAATTACCCGGATGTAGAAGGCGGGAACCAATATGGCGTATTAGTAATAATCCCCATGGTGCTGTGATGACACTAACTTTTCAAGATGGCGACCAAAGCTCTTGAGTAAGAGCGTAACCGGCCATCAAGATGGCCACTATCGACTATCCGGATGTGTTTACTTAAGATGGCGCTTAGAAACCTCTTCGGTTGCTAGGAGAGCGCTCTCTAGAAGTGAAATACAATTGAGGCGGACTAGTTTCCCCCGAGTACAGAAGAACTTATGGGCGAGAGAACACTTAGTAGCTCGCTTTAGAGCTATTTTGGAACCGCCTGCGTACGGAAATCGTGCGTACGGGTAACCGCTGGTCGCAACGCGCAGGCGCGGACGCATTTTCTCCGTCAAGCTTTTTTTCCCGGGCTTCTGTGCCGTTCTATGAAGACCCGGATATGGGTGGATTTAAGTTTTCGCCACCATAGACGAGAAATCGGCATTTCCCTTTACCGTTTCGTTCACCTTGTGACCTCGCAAGCTGTAAAAATGCTACAATCCTACGTATGTTAACCTGAGAGTAAGTCTCACTGAATCCAGCAGGATTTGCCTCTGAGTAAACATGCAGGGGAGTGCGCTGCGATGCAGCCTATTAAATATATGCATAATAAATGTTCGGCCGAGTTCTGTGCATGCGTATTGGAAAACTGCGTTCAGTGGGACTTTCTCTCTGGTAAGTGCACACGATAGCAAGCTTTGGGGTATTATTCTTTTATTAAAACCCAGGATCAAAGCTTAAGACGTGCATCTTCCCTCTTGTTAAATCGTCTGGAAAGTTATTCCGATAGAATTGCTTTGAACAACCTTCCCGTTTCACTTCCTCCTGTCTTTTCTCTTTGCTTACTCACATATCAAACGTAGCCACTTAAGAGTAGGTATCTACCTTTTCGCTAGCTATAGAAACACGATGTTTTAGAGAGGCATTTTATATGCTGCAAGTGACTCAGGAACTGAAAGAAAATTACTTTGATCGCATTCTTACTAGAAATAAGTTCATTATATTGAAAATGCGATGCACTTCTATAACTTAACTGGAAGAGGGAGTATTTTTGGTATTTCTCTTTTTTTCTGATCTTGAAATGATACTATTTCAGTCATTTGTGTAAAATGAAAGGCTAGTAGAAAATATTTTAAATGTCATAAAACAAAAGCAGAGTGGGGGAAGGGATGGGCTAAGTTGTAAGGATTATAGATAATAAGAAGATAGTGATATTTTTCTTTTTAGTGTAACACTTCTCCTGTAAGTAGAGATATTTCTGTCCTTTGTGATGGTACCATTGTCAAGTGTGCTTTATGAGTGTGGCCTGGTGAGTGGTTGGGAGATCAGTTTTGCATTTATGCTGGGAATTTAATTTTGTGAGGATTTAAATGCACTAGGTCAACTTGCCTAGTGCAGGCTCCTTAAGCATAGGGTTGTCAGACTTTTCATGTTTTACTCTTATACTGTTAATAGTAACTAGATACAAAAGAATTCATTTTGTCCACTATTTCCATGCCACAAACAGTCTTCATCTATTAAATGTCAGGCTGCTGTTCAAAGCACAGGAACAGGGAAGCAACCCTGTCCATGAAATATTCAAGATACTCATCTGATGGTGCACACAATTTTTGGGGTGGGGGGGTTCATCAAATAGATCTCTTAGGTTTCCCCCCTCCAACTTCGGCAAGTTATACTTGATTGCAGGTGCAGCTACGACTGTGGATTTCCTGCCCTAATTTGTGAGGTGAGGATTGTATGCTGAGGCATATCTAACCCTGCAGCTGTAGATTACTGCTGAGTAGCAGATGGCAAATAGTATTCAAATGGAAAAAGGAAGATATATAGAGAAACTATTAGGAATTGGCACTTCTACCTACTTGAATACACATAGGTATAGACAGAAAACTACAAGAAACTCTGTGTTAGCATTAAAGGATGCATACACATCCAGCATTTTAATTGTGCTCAGAGCCTCAATCTGCTTTTGTCTCATGCAATCAAAAAGATTAGTTCTTTTCTGTCACTTATCCTTCAAATGTATTTTTTTCACCTGAAAGCAAGTGGCAAAGGGTTTTACCTACCAAGTCAGAGCATTCTTTGCAAAATATATAACCTGTTAAGTGTATTTCAGCAATTTTAGGTTGCTGCCTATCTTTTAAATTCTCTGGCAGCTTTAAGATTACTGAGAGAAAACAGTGGGGGAAGATTTCAATTGTCCAGGACCCTCTATCAATGACCTTAAAGGGGCCAGTCTTGAACAAAGGAATTTCAGTTTGATATCTGCCTTTGAAATGGCTGAAGTGCAATTTATCAAAAGATTCACCTCTTTCTTTGTAGTTCCAATAAAGACAAAGGTTTGTGTTTATCACAGTACATAAGTTAATTAGCTCACTACTGCAATAATCAAGTTATCACCCAATAACTTTTCTGTGAATGGCAACTTAATCCTCACTGTCCGTACTTCTTGCATTTCAGTACTTCAACAGCACAATATAAATTTCCCTGAGCTTGTGTAACTCTTTACCTCCCCCCACTCCCCACAGTGTATGTTTGTGTGTGCGTGTGCCAGTTTCAGATTATTACTCTGTGTCTCTGACAAAGTGGATAGTGTTCACAAAAGCCTATGCTGAAACAAAATGGTCAGCCTGTTTTTGCAGATTAACATGGTTACCTATCTGGAAATTGTTGAAAAAACTTTCAGATCTCCTTTAAGAGAACCAGAAATGTTCAGAGGTTAGATACTTTCTGGATAATAGCATAAAGAAGTCACAGGTTTAAATTTTCACTGAGTGAGGAAGCTCACTGAAGGACTGTGGGCCAGCCAGCAAGACAGAGAGTCAGTCTGCATAGCCTACATCACAGGCTTGACGCAAGGGTAAAATGTGTGCTGGCTTACCTTTCTTAGAGGAAGGGTAGGATATAAATATAGTGAATAAGATTCCATATTAATATAACCTTCAAATCCAAAGGAATCTGATAATCAGGCATTTTGCAGTGACTTTTAAAACCTTTTTCCAATAATGAATTATATTAAAAAGCAAACTTTGTTTTGGCTGCTGCCACAGTCTTCTAAACTACAGGGGGCAGAAAGTCTTGTGCTACATGGTTGCAGCAAAGCTGGCATTTGTACTACAGAGGTTCTTTTAAAGCAATGGCTGCAGCCTCTCTCTGCAATAACATAGCCGGTATTTTGAAGTACAGGATGTCTTGCAGGTCAGAGCCCAAGGGACCATCTAGTCTAGAGTCTGGCTCTGGCTATCCCCATGGTTACAAAACACAAGATCTTGGGAAGGAAAGAACCTCACCCCCACTGTGCAGTGATGTCACCGACAGCCAATCCTGCAGCTGCAGCTGTTTCATAGCTGCAAACGCTGGAAGCAGCCTGGCTAGTGCTGCTGCCAAGGAAACAGGCTGGGCTTGCACTTGAAGCCGGTGGTGGGAGGGGGAAAAGCCAGCAATGCATGAAACCTGCAGCATCAAAGTATAAACTATCTCCCATTGCCATGAATACTCACACTTTTTCATTGAAACTATCAAAGTGGGACAGGAAATTCAAACCGGAACAGGAAACTCAGACTTGGCACCATGTCCGATCTCCCGCTTACCCTGTAGTCTCTCTAAACTGTGTGACACCTTGCATTCTGGAGGAAAGGAAGTCAAAACATACTGTTTTACCAATTTTACGCAAGCAAGCAGGCACACAAGCAAACCATGGAACGTCGAAGCAGGAAGTGCAACAGCAACTCAGCAGCTGTGCAGAGAGAATCACAGAAAGCTTTGAAAAGCAGTGCTTCAAAACTAGGGAACAGAAGAGCACTCTTGCATGTGGCTGGAGGTCTGATGCTCTGCGTGGGAGTTGTGGCTTCGGGAGTGTTTGATGGCGTCCACACCGACATTGGGTATGAGCACTACGCAGAACCTACTGTGCCAGGATTGCCCGCTGTCTTGGCTATGCCTGCCAACTGCTTTGTCAACTTGGCCTACATACTCTTGGGCTGGTACTGGTTACCTTCAGTTGACAAGGGCAGGCACACATACTACCTTCAGGAGGTCTTTGCCCTCATGGCCCTTGCATATGGGCCTGTGCAATGGGTTCGGCTCTGGACACAGCATCACTGGGCAGCCATCTTGGATCAGTGGGTGACACTGCCCATTTTTGCTTGGACTGCCATTTGGTGCCATTTTCTGGAGCATGGTTGGCAAACTGGCACCTTTCTGGCCATGGAAATGACTTCACTGGCAAGCTATGTTTTGGCATTGTTTCACCCCCAAGGTTTTGAGCTGGCATTGACTAGCCATATACTTGTTGTTGTCTGGAGAGTGTTGAAAGTGCAGAGGTATCTGGGCAATGCCACTTCGTTCTGGATCATGGTACTGGGGATGATCTCTTGCCTGGGTTTTGTAAGTCTCAAACTGTGGGATCAGGAACTGGCACAGTGGGTGCTCTTCCGCCGGCTAACTGGCCACTTTTGGTCCAAAATCTGTGATGTGCTGCAGTTCCATTGTGCCTTTCTTTTCTTTACCCAATTAAGCAAATGCTCAGCAAGCTCAGTTAATTAATACATAAGCTTCATAAGCCACAGTTCATAACCTTATCAAAGGGCAAACTATTGATGTAATAATAGTAGGGGATGTACTATTTTCAGATTGGGAAAAAAAAAAAAGCTGATGAAAAAAAACTGCTGTGGTTTCTCTAAAAGTGCAAGGAGATATAGAGGTGTTAGTAAAGCACCTGCTTTCCTGCCCTAGCCCAAAGTCCCCTTTGCAGGTATATGCTGCTTTCACAAGATTACACATAAGGTAGAGAAGCAACTTAAGTACTTTCAATTGATCTGAATGGTTGTGATGAAATAACAGGGAGGTGATGGTCTTCAAAGGGTACCAAGGGTCAAATACTGCTCTGAAGTTTCAGAATTTCAGTTTCCCCCTTAGGAAGGAAACTGGCAGGAGCAAGAGAATAAGCTATTTCTTATAGCACCTGTCCCCTTTTCTTTGTACTGTAAAGTTTGAACCACACAATTTTTCTAGGATGTATTTCTAGTTCATTTTTAATCTCTCATTCTGCAGTAGAGGGGACTGAACAACAGTAATAAAGACATCATAGATTTATTTTGAAAATACATAGGAAATCAATATTTCTACACTGGAGATCATTTACTGCTTCAGATTTAAAATCTATAATCAGCAAGTACTTCCAGACTCCAGATGGAATCTTAGGCTGAGAGAGAGTACAGACTTCAAAGTCCAAAGCAGCTCATTTGAGCCTGTTTTGGAAAAGCAGTGGGAGGCCAGTACTATATTGTCAGTGTCTATATTGTCTGTTTCATCTCCTTTCTATTTACAACCAATGAATTTGATGGGCTTTGGTTTTTTGAGGGCCCTTCAGTAAGACACCCTCCATGGGCACCCTCCTTCAGTTAATCTGCCTTGTAACCTGCTGCTATGCTCTTCTCCTTGATTGTCATCACCTACCCATTGCTTGTTTGGCAGGCAGAGAGCCAGCAAGAAAGCAGGTAGGGGCATCTACTGTTCCTTCTCATTACTTCTGGGAGACAGGTGAACAAGCAAACTGCAGCAGCAAAGAACTGGGACAACCCCTCCAAGCTCTTGTCAGTGGGCCCCTGATGAGAGGCAGATTCTCAGCAGATGCCAGCCATGCCTACTTTTTGTGCAGGCCCTGTTCACATTCTTGGGGTAGCTCTGAATGATCATGTTGTAATGCTTGCTTGTTTGCTTTTCACATTTTTAAGGATCTATTCCAGATGCCTTTGACATCTTTCACTTGAATTCAGCCCTCTTTCCAAGTGACAAATGCAATTCCAGAGAAGTTCTTGGTGGACACACTTCAGTCGTAGGCGGGGCTTGAGTTGAAAAGGATGGAACCAAAAATACCAGTGTATTTTATTATCAATTAGTAAGCCTTGGGAGAAGCATTTATCCCATTTAGAATAGGAACAAAGCACACACAAAAACTGGGAAAGAACAAAAATTGATGGTGGAAGTGGCCGTGGTCATCTGGAGAAACTTGTAGGGCCATACTAGAACCCCAAAGGTGTTGCATTGGCCCCTGGGCCTGAGGTTCCCCATCCCCGATCTATTATGTCAAGAAGCAGCAATTGTGATTCACACCTCTAACCTTGGGACTAGGTCATTGCAATCTGTTCTAGCAGGGCTATCCTTGATAACAGTTTGATTTTCACCCTTTTCTACTTATCCCCAACAGGAACTCATCCTTTTATTTGGCACTGCACATTGAGTTATCTGCTGCCCTGTTCACCAAAGCTTTCGGGAAAGGTGGTATACAGACTCCAAAACTCTGTATTGTAGTGACCAATTAACCTCTTTTTGACACTCATATTTGTATGCCATGGTCCAACTCCAAGGGCACACAGATGTTCTACTTCTGTGGGACAACTGGGAAGAGGTCATGTTATAAGTACTTGCTTTTCATGCACTACCACCTTCCCTTCAATCAAAATATCCTGCAATCATCACTATCTTATCTGAATTCAAATTCTGATTAGCTTATTTGCATCCAACCCCTACCATGGCCACATAGTAAATGAGTAAAGAACCTAGATTTTAAGAAGGAAATGAGATGGATTAGAAGCCAGTCAAAGGCACAGAAATAAGAGAGAGTTCACCAGTTTTTTGGGCCTGTTACAATTTAGAAGTCCTCTAGAAGAATTCCTACTATGTTCTGCAGAGGAGTCACCATGTCTTCATAAACAGGATCAGACCAGATAGGAAAGTCTATCAGGAATAGTTTAGTGCGATTGCCTTTCACTTGCAAGGAAAAGGCAACCAAGCTGAGGGTAGTCTCTCCATATCAGAGAGAAGAGGCTGCCATTTGGTTTTTCTGATTCAGCCACCGAAATGTCCCAGGGTGTCAGCTCTCCCTACATGCAGGCGAGGTGATGCTAGCTCAGGGACGCTCTGGAACTCCCACTTTCTGTTTATACAGCCATTCAGACAAGAACCATAAGTGCCTGCTTGGCATGCAGAGGGTCCCTGGTGCAATTCCTGGCATCTCCAGGAAGGGCACGGAAAATGCTTCTGAATCTACCTCTGGTCAACATAAATGAAACTAGATGGGCAAATAGTCTGTCTCGGCATAAGACAGCTTGCTTAAGTATACTGACTGAAAAAATACTCACATTTCTGACTGAACACTACTAGGTAGACTATTCCATAAGGATCGCAGGCCCCCGTGCTCTAAAAATGACCCACTTTCAAGACAAGGCAGCTCTACCCCAGCTTGGCCTCCCATTTGGGCCTTGTGCAAATACTACTGGCTCCCTAAGCCCTGAACAATTTGTGAACCAGCCTCAGGGATGTGCACCTTTTCCTTTTCTCAGTCTCTTCTTCAACACAATTTCTTTTCCCTTCTCAGTGCTAACCCTGGTTTTGCATTAACACTGGTTATCACTTAGCATTTACCATGCTATTTCAGCTTTATTTCAAACCATGATTTCAAAAGCTAGTCCGTTTTGACCTCAGTGAACAAAACTGCCTTGGGCACCATTTGTGGAAAGGTAGGATGCAAATAAAATGATGGTTAATATTTGGAAGGAGAAGGAAAGAAGATTTAAACGTTAAAGAAAGCCACTGTGGTGTAGGCAGTAGCCATAATGCTCACTTAGTGACTTTGGGCCAGCCAGACTCCCAGCCTAAGAGCCTGAGGTCCGAGGAGGATTATGTGTGTTGCCTCACTGATCTTGCAAGAGGCAAAAACAAAGAGGTAGAAATGTAAAAATAAAGTCATCCTGTTCCTTGTATAACTGGGTGGGTACTGGAGCTTAAATCTCCTGAGGCCCAATCCAGCTCTCTAACTACTCTGCCACCTTGGCTCTCGGCCTAGGGAGGGCCCTGAGTGATCAGGGCTGGTTCTTCTCCACTGTTCATCTCCTATAGTGGGGAAATATAAAGAGGCAGATTGTTCAGTCTGCTTTATAACTACTCACAAATAATGTCAAGAAAAAAGGAGAAGCATGCATCTATCACTAGAAGGACACAGATGGGTTACAAATATATAAAATGTTTTATTTATTGTATCATTTCAAAGAAAAGGAGTATGTAGTGAGGAACCTTTGTGGGGAGGGTTGTAGGAGTATGAAATCCATGAACACACCCCTCCATCCATCCAGTCTTGAGGGATAGTTTCAATCCCCACTCACACAGGAGCCAGTGGCAACTCTCCCCCGCCATTCAAACCACGGAGCTGGCCTGAGACTGGGATCCAGCAGAAACACCTGTGCATTGCAGGGTGGATGGCGCCATACACCATTCCAGGCAGGGTGGGCCCTGTAATTTGCAAAGTGCCATCAGCGCTGTGAGAACTTTAATCCTTCTATGTCCATAAAATGCATTACGCAAATTCGTCACTCTCTTCAGGCTCACGAGGAGGCTCTACAGGACATCCTGGAAGGAAGGAAGGAGAGAAAAGACACTTTACAGCCAAAAGCTTCCTTCTGTGATGATAGGAGAACCTCTCCAGTCCCTCCATGATTGTACAGATCACAGCTGAACACAGAAATCACAGCAGTGGGGAAGAACCACAAACCTGCATGGTTTTGGCTTTGCAGTATTTGCTCCATGGATTTGTGTGCCTCACTGATCCATAGCAGGGGTGAGCAACTTGTGCCCTCCAGGTGTGGGAACTGCAACTCCCATGGTCCCTGTCCATTGGTTAAACTGGCTACAGCAAAGGGGAATTACAATCTAATGCTATCTAGAAGGCCTCTGGTTGCCCACCTAATCTACAAATGCAATTCCTGTATGCTTTGGGTGCCAGATGTCCTGGGTTAAATTCTCAGACAAAGTTGTGTTATGGTGGGGTGAGAGGGCTCCCAGCTCAGTGGAAAGCAGAGGCTTCGTAAGCATGTTCAATCTCAACCTAAAAGATCTCTAGCAGTAAGACTGGGAGAGACCTCTGCATTGCTTGTGTGAGACTTTGGAGACTAGCCAGTCAGACTAGACAGTATGAGTTTAGATGGGCCAGTAATCAAAACAGATGCATTTCTTCACACTGCCACAAGGTGTGAGCTTGGCTATTGACTTAGATGGCTTGGGGGGGGGGGGGCGTTAAGATGGATGAAGGGTCTATCAGTTGCTATGAGCTACAATCACTAAACAGATAAAGAACTTCCCTGTTCTAAGCCAATAAGCTTATAGGTGAGGCAGAAAAGGGGAGAGCCATTGTCTTCATACCCTGGTCCTAGACTTCCCAGAAGCACCCAATTAGCCATGGTGGGAAACAGGTTGCTGGGCAAGATGGATCTCTGGTTGTATCCATAAGGCTCTCAATCATCACAGAATGCAGGCCTAGATGTGGAATTCAACCTTCCAGATAAAACAAACCCAAATTTCTAGTCCTCATCATTGCAGAGAGAAAAATAACTGTCCATTTCCCTCCTCCAAGAAGTTGTTATTATTGTTAGTCGCGAAGTTGTGTTCGACCCATCGCGACCCCATGGACAACATTCCTCCAGGCCTTCCTGTCTTCCATTATCCCCCAGAGTCCACTCAAGCTCACACCAATTGCTTCGGTGACTCCATCTAGCCACCTCATTCTCTGCTGTCCCCTTTTTCTTTTGCCATCTATTGTTCCCAGCATTAGGCTCTTCTCCAGGGAGTCTTTCCTTCTCATTAGATGGTCAAAGTATTTGAGTTTCATCTTCAGTATCTGGCCTTCTAAAGAGCAGTCAGGGTTGATCTCCTCTAGAACTGACTGGTTTGATAGTCTTGCAGTCCAGGGGACTCGCAGGAGGTCTCCTCCAGCACCACAGTTCAAAGGCCTCAATCCTTCAGTGCTCAGCCTTCCTTATGGTCCAGCTTTCACAGCCATACATTGCAACTGGGAAAACCATAGCCTTGACCATACACACTTTTGTTGGCAGGGTGATGTCTCTGCTTTTTAGTATGCTGTCTAGATTTCCATAGCTTTCCTCCCCAGGAGCAAGCGTCTTTTAATTTCTTGGCTGCAGTCCCTGTCTGCGGTGATCTTGGAGCCCAGGAAGATAAAATCTGTCACTACCTCCATTTCTTCCCCATCTATTTGCCAGGAAGTGAGAGGACCGGATGCCATGATCTTAGTTTTCTTAATGTTGAATTTCAAGCCAACTTTTGCACTCTCCTCCTTCACCTGCATCAAGAGGCTCTTTAGTTCCTCTTCACTTTCTGCCATCGGAGTGGTATCATCTGCATATCTGAGGTTGCTGATATTTCTCCCAGCAATCTTAATTCCAACTGGTGATTCATCTAGCCCCACCTTTCTCATGATGTGCTCTGCATATAAGTTAAATAGGCAGGGCGACAGTATAGCTCATATCTCTGTTTCTGGTGCTGGCATGTGTAGACCAGTTCCTTCTATACTCTTGATCTCATTATGGGAAGACTACAAGAATAGGGAAGGAATGATCAGACATCAACAAATAAAAGGAGCATATGTTAGCAAAGGCAGTTTGCTAAATACTTTGACCTTGTTTTAGTTGGAGAACAGGGTTCAATCAGTGGTTTCTCAGAAGAAGTAGATTTACTGATCTGATAAACAGACTTCAGAGCCAATTCTTCAGTGTCTATGAGGAAAGGAGGCAGCCAAGGGTAGATCCTGCAGATATTTAGATTTGTTTTTCCCCCCAGCTTCATTTGGAAGCAGATCAAGAATTCAGGATTCTCCTGCTACCCCACCAAAGGAAACTTTACCAATACCTCAAGCCCCCATTATTTGTTCTTCTAGTCTTGCTTCTGACCTTTCCTAAGCCTATGTAGGAATATGTTAGTTAGTTAGAAAGCCCAGATTCTACATGGAAACAAAACCCAATACCACCATTTAGATTTCAGATTTTTCTTTTTGATGATGGTCAGCTTGTTTGATTTGTTTTGAGGGACCTGAGATTTTAGAGCCTGAACATTTTTGTCAAGCAGGCACAAAGAGACAGACAAGGAACAGGAGCAATTGAAGATAGAACGGAAGCCTTGAGGAAGGGCTGCTATCCATACTGGAAGGGAACGCCAAACCTTGAACAAGGCCTCCTTTTCTCTCCCCACTCTCTCATGAGGTCTAGAGACCTTTTCAGGTGCAAGTCTGCATTGTTTTTATAGATATTTAGGACTCCATCTCTGCAGCATATTCCCACATGAAGACACAGAGGGAGAAATCAGTCAGTCTTGGGCACAAAGCAAAACATAGTCATTACTTCTATGTAGACTTTATACTTGATGTAGAGTTTCTGCATGGTAGGGAAGGGAAATGCACCTGCTCCCCTGTTTTTCATGCCATCAGATGTCCCATTTGCAGAGCTCTTCTTGGGTTGCATACCATATGCTCAGAGTCACAGGGACTAGCACCATCTATTTTAGGTTCTATGTGTAAATGTCTCAACACAAACTGATGCAGACCTTGGGCAAGACTGATGCTACTGCTGCATCACACACAGGTTCTCCCAATCCGACAGATAGCCTGGCTTAACAGTTTTGATTCTACATTGAAAGACCAAAGGATGGTTTACAGAACACACAGATGGCTGGAATGGGGTTGTGAACTAAATTTTCCATTCTTAAAAACCGCACTCCCTAAAGGCACAATCCTATACAAGTTTAGAAAGGAAATGCCTATTCTGCTTGGAGCATGCTGGTCATTGTAGGCTTTTCTCTTAACTTGCATAGGATTGCCCCCTAATTCAACAAAACCGCTCTGAAGACAGCCTACTGCCAACCTCCAACTGTGGTACTTGAAAAGTGGGGAGGTTACCTTCCCCTGAGGGTGTAGAGGCAAGCACACCCAGGCTGTCAAGTGCCCCCTCATGGTAGAGTGCCAGCCGTTCCATCATGCGCCTCCGTGCTGGATTGATGACTATCTGAGGGGCAGAGTCACCTGCAGAGAGAAAGTAGCCAACCATTCAGTGGCAGCCTGCTCAGATGCAAAGGTCATCACTGGAGGCCGAGCTCTGGGTGCCTCCACCTTCTGAATGGAAGTGGGTGACTATTACACATAGGTTCTTCTCGGTAGTGGCAACTTATTTAAGGGAACCCCCTCCTGCTGTCCAGAGTGTCCAAGGCAGTAAGTGAAAAAGACTTTTCATTTTCTGGGCTTTTAAAGGCCATTCCTCTGTTTTGACTCCTGCTGCTGTACAACTGTTAGATGCTGTCGTCATTGTATTGTAGTCTTATTGTTAGTTGTATGTTTTTAAATGCGATGTTTTTAAACTTCCTTGAGAAGCTTGTATTGAAAGATAAGGTTAAAGTATTTTAGTAAATAAAAGCAGTGAGACTGAGACTGCTGGTTTTAAATCATAGATGGGATAGGAATGACTGGATAATTGGGGATGCCACACAACAAGGTAGCCAGGCTGGGAAAGAAAAGCACAAAAAGAAAAAGCAAGCAGCATGCTAGCAGGGTGAAAAAGAGGAAATAAACAAGCCATCATTCTTCAGAAGTAGCTAAGAGGCACGCACTTCAGAGTAAAGCTCAGATGCCAAAAGAGTGACATCCTCTGTACATATAAAACTGCCTCATAACAAGTCAAACCACTGCTCCATCTAACCCAGTATTGTGTACACTTAAATGGCTGTAGTTTTCTAGGATTTCAGGCAATGGTTCTTCCCTGCACTAAGTAGAGAACTTAGGGAACAAACCAGGAGTCCTTGTGTCCTGTTTACAACCAACCATTCCACAGAGCCAAGAACTACACATGTAGTTGGTGGCAGACCTGTTTAACTCTGTGCCATTTTTTTTATCTGATTGCAAAAGGCAGATGGAAAAGCACGCAGCCATGCAGAACTAGATAAATGACAGTTGCATGAACAAACTCTAGAAGCAGGTGCCCCTAAACTCTGCACTGTAGTCATGACCCCACTTAAAAATGAAACATTGCCCTTTCACTTTTCATGCATTGATTAGACAAACTTTTGAACTGTTGGGACAACCCTTAGGGCTCCAAATAAAAGCTTAGAAGAATTGTTTAGTCTCTTGAATAGTGATAATATTCCTATGATCATCAGCTGATAACAATAATTTAGAAATAAAATGTCCTTGTTCCATAATAGTTAATCAAGGCTTTGTTTGTAACCAAGAGATGTTTCCATGGGGCACAGTGCAGGTGTGTGGAAAAGGTGGCCCTCAGAACATCTTACCTTGGTGGCCTACAGAGACATTTCCTCCGGGCGCATTTCTGTAGCTCAGGAGTTCCAAGCTGGCTTCCAAGCTTTCATCACTTTCCTCAGGCTGGTTGAGAGGCCTGGAAGAGTATGAATCCTCCTGTGGAGTGTGTACCTGTCTCAGGGGTAGCAAGGAGGCAGAGGGTTCCTCGTATAGGGATAGCTGTAGCCTCTCTAGCTCTTGGTACACCTTCAAAAGAGGAAAAGAGGTAAGTAACTGAGCTTCCTCCCTACTCTGTTATAGTCAATAAGAAGAGGGCACAGTCATTCTCTCAGAATTGCCAGCAAACCTCCTTCCAGAGAAGTCACATTCCCTTCTAGAGTCAATAACTGTCTATGCCATGGCCTGCTTTAATATTAAGCTGACATACGGTACTGCTAGCCGTGGAAGGGCAGGAGATTGCACGTAAATGAGCTGACTTGAAAAGGCTTCCTCACAATGTTTATACAGGACTTCAGGAAGAGTCACCACATATAAAGGCAGTGGCAAATACAACACAGTAGAAAACAACAGAAATGGGTGCAATAAGGAGTCAAAATAATGTGGAATAACATGGGGCAGGGGTAAGGGAGATACATACTGGTATATGTACCCAACCACAAGAATGATGGTTTGAGTACTTTAGGAGCAGTGCCATATATACCCATCAGCTCTGTGGAACTGATGGGCAGAAGGAATTACTGCTGCACCTAGAGAGGTGAAGGCCTGGAGGGAAAAACTGGGAAGGAAGACAGAAAAATAACTCCTGCCTCCTCTGGTTTTTCCCAGGGATTCCCCCCACAAACCTTTACATGTCTGGCTGGATGTCCTGGGTCTGATGTTGCTGCCACAGACGGGACCAACTATGGGATCCCTCGGGACACAGGCCCTATGGAATGCAGTCTTTACAGCAGCCTTCCCCAACCTGGTGGCCTTCAGAGGCCTTTGGACTGCAACTCCCAGAATTCCCATCCAGCAGGGCCACTGACTAGGAAGTTTGGGTGCTGCAATCCAAACATCTCTGGAAGACACAAGGTTGGGGAAGGCTGCTGTAAAGACTGCATTTCTAATCATACAGACTAAAATCTAATCACACTGAAAATACCTTGAAAGCCACAGCCATGGCTCAATTCAGCCCTCCAAAAGCCAGGACACAGAGCTCTTCCAGGCTTTTATTTCTGAGAAGCTGAGAAATGGGATTCCACAATGATGACACAGCAAACACAGCAATGATGATTCCACAAAACACAGCTGGACATACTATCCAGCTACAGGACACAGATGGCTTTGATGATGGGTGGCTTACAACCCGGATTCCCCGCCACAAAAATAACAGATGAATAGCAATTATGAGTGACTTATTTGCAAAGACAAAGCCGGCTTTAGGTATATATTAGGGCGCATAATTTTGGTCTGGGTGAGACAGGTGTACTATCAAATTAAAGACCTACAGAACAACAGTGGCTTGGGCAATGTGCACACCGCAAGTCAGAGCAACTTGAGAGAAGCAGGGAAGGAAGCTGTGCCAAATGCAGGTTATTGGCTCAGCTGTTATAGATCTTTATGGATGCTCTGATAACTAAGAAGTTGTAAAAAACTGACATTGCACCGAAGAAGATGCGACTATGTTCCGTTGGTAAGAAGGCATCCCAAAGAGGAAGGGGCAGGCAGCACAAATGAACCACTGGGCAACTGTTAAACATGTGTGCATGTGCGCACACAAACCTTATGCAGACAGACATGATTAGCCCATGTGAGTAGTGTCAATCGTTAACGTGACTGGACAGAAAAAGTATTATGAACAATCTAGAGATAAAACACAGCATTTCAACACCAGTATACATAAAGGACCTTACTCTTCCAATTTCACAGAGGAGGAAAAAGGCACAATTGGTTTGCCCAGGTTCTGATGCAGCAGAATTTCACCTCAGATTTGAAACTTAGAGGAGCTCTCAGGAATCCCACCCTTTACTCCACCTACCTCAGCCATTGAGGGGCGGTGCTTGGCTCGTGGGTGGAGGCACTGGCAAGCCAGCTTGCCCAGGGTTATGCCCAGCTGCTCTGGACAGGGCCTGGCCTGTGGGTCCACGTACTTCTGGTATAGATTAGTGCCAAGTTGAGCTGCCTGAAAGGAACTGGAAATCATCGTGGCAGATTGCAGCTGGGCTCCCTGCTCTTCCTCTTCATTCAGCAGATCCTTCTGAAGGCCAAAATGTGGACAACCCGTCAGAAAAGCAGGAGGTGGGGAATCCACCAAGGGTGGGGTGGCCGGAGGGTTTACGAGTGCCAGAACAAGCTGCACCTTCAGAAGTGAGCAGCACTGGAGTGGAGGAGGGACTGGAGAGGTGCTCACCAAGTATTTGCTGCGTCCACGAGAATCCACCTCCATGGGTTGTCTTCCAGTCAAGAGTTCCAATAGTACCTGTGGGATGGAGAGTGAAGGGGTTTAAAAGAGCTGCAGGGCATAACAAGGGAAGAAAAGGAGAGAAGAGACACAACACAAAGACAGGACACTTGCAACCCCTAGTTGCTCTTTCCTGGTTTCTATGTTCTGTCCCTGAATAAGCCAGCAAGTAGAATGAAGGTGTAACTGATACACAGTGTTACAGTTAGCACATACAAGTGTTTCCTCAAGATAACAAACCCTCCAAGGCTTTGAATCTTTACACAACACTGAATTATCGGAATAGCTTCCAACTCATTAAGTTCTCTCTGGGACAACCTTCTTCCACTGTGGGAAGGCTGCAGGACTCCCAGGAGCTCAGAAGACAAAGAACCTAGATCAAGAAAGAGGCCCAGAGAAAGTGTGTGTAAGAAAGTGCATGTGCATGCATGTAAACAGGGTAACAGAGTAGCGGGCATGTGTGCATGGAAACTCGGTCTAGCTATTTAGGGAATGGGCAAGAAGGAAAAAGGATTTCAAGTACATGTTCGAAAGAACTTCCTGAGCTATGGCTTTTTGAGGACCCTTCCAGTTTCTAGACAACCAGTCCCCATCACAGAGTTTTTGTGGCACTCTCGCCCATTTCCATACTACTCACCACACCAAAGCTGAAAACATCAATAGTAGTAGAAAGTGTCCCAGTCCGGACATATTCAGGGGGTAGGTAGGCCAGCGTGCCCTGCACAGTTTGGGTCCGGCCCAGTGAGCTGCTCATCCCTCCTTGCTTTGGTCGACGGCTGAACCGTGCCAAGCCAAAATCTGCCAACCGGGGATTGAGCACTGCATCCAGGAGGATATTAGAGCTGCAGATAGCACGAAGAGAGGAAGGATTACATCCAGTCCCTAGACATACCCTCTTGCATAATCATCTAAAAAATCAGTCTTGTCAAGGACATCTCTCTGGAAGGAGCTGATTGAACTCTTCATCCTGTTACTGTGCAATATGGACCAGAAAGTCATTCAGATGCTGTAAGCAGAAAGGCGAAATGCTGCATATTTTCTCTTGTTTGGCATCACTTGCTCTTATTTCAATCCATTTATTTTCAAATGGTCTTGATAGTTAAAAGGAGAGGTGGGCAGCAGGCGGATATTACAGGGCACTGAAGTCCTACCCTCTGATCACAGAAGTTTTAATCCAGCAACCCCTGTGCCTCTCGAGACTGTGCCAAGCATTGCCCAAACACCTTCAAGGATACCTTCAAAAGGGATTGGCACTTAGTGAATGAGAAATAAAGGCCAGGGTTTTTTTGCAGAGCTGAACCCTGTGCTCAATACCATATTCTGGGCATTTGTGGGCATTTGTGGAACCAGAGCCCTGACTCTGCATTTGTGGCAATTGTGGATATGCAAGATAAGCTTTTTCAGGGACTTCAGATAACTAGAATTCTTAGGCCAGGCATGTTCCAAAGTACAGCACATGCCAAAGTTTCTTGTGCTTGCTAAGGAGGACAGGAGAAGTTAAGGCACCTAGAAATGCGCAGAGCTTCATGGACACTAAGCCAAAAAAACCTTTTACGCAACAAAATATATGGTACTGAAAAACTATTCATAGCAACACTTTTCTGAACATTAGCACTATGCTAATGACTAAGTCACATGGTTCCAGATGTGACATCACATCCAATAACAAACTTAAAAAAGAAAATCCAGCTTGTTGTGTCTTAAAGCATTTTTTGCAAGCTCAATGGCTTTCAAGAGAACTCTGTGAGCTTCATGGAACTCTTCCTAAGTTGATTCCCCTGCCAAAGAGGCTCTAAACTCCAGCCACAGCAGTTTAATGCACTGCAGTCTGTTTTGGAATTGGTTCCATGTGCTTTGCATCAATAAGGGGCCCGGGCAAATGAAGCAGCTACCTTCCTAAAGCTGGCCCTGTTCCCACCTGGGAACATTATCTATGAACTGCCTTGAGTCCCATGCTGGGTGAGAGGTGGAATATAAAAGTGTGCAATATGAATGAATAAATTTATGCAATGCACTTCTCAGGCCTGTCGGTCCTCACTGTTGGCATAAACCAGGTGCATAAAATAAAGCATGCTCAATGCCTGCACACTGCAGTGGGAGATTGACAGTTGGAGCTAAGTTGTCTTAGTGAGAGGAGCCCCAGGCCTCTCTAGAAAACACATGCTGAAAGCCACTAATTAAAATTACTGTAACAAAACTGTTTTATATCTTTCCTGGCCCACCCCATAAGAACAAAAGAACCCTGTTAAAAGATCAGACCCAGGGCGCACAGAATAGCCCAGCATTTTGCTCACACCGCGGCCAAGCAGCTGGCCACGGGAAACCCACAAGTGGGATGTGAGGGCAACAGCACCCTGCTGCCCATGTTCCTCAGACACTATAGTACACAGGCATATTGCTTCTGATACTGGAGGGTGCATGCAGCCATCAGAATTAGTAGCCACTGATAGCTCTATCCTTCATGAATTTGTCCTGTCCACTTTTAAACTCATCTTTATTAATTAATTAATTAATTAATTAATTAATTAAAACATTTCTATGCCGCCCCATTCGCCGAAGCCTCGGGGTGGCTCACAACATAAAATTAAAATATAATACATACAACAAATTGACAATATAAAATAAGTCGCCCTGGCCACTTGCTTATACTGAATTTCATTTGCCATTTTGCTGCTCATTCTTCCAGTTTGGAGATATCCTTTTGGAACTCTTTGCAATCACTTTTTGTTTTAACCATGTTAAATAATCTGGTGTCATCAGTCAATCTGGCCAGTTAATTGGTCACTCATAATTGCAGAACTTAAAAAGCACTGCCCCCAACTCAGATCCCTGTGGGACCCAGTGCTTACATCCCTCCATTGAGAGAATTTACCATATATTCCCACACTCTGCTTTCGGTTGAATCCTCTTTAGAAAAGCTTCTCCTTTTATATGTTTGGTAATTTTATCTTTAGTAGTGCTTTATTATTTATGCTCTATTTCTTTTCTCTTTAATTCTTGGATAGAATGGTGGAAAGTGGACTGCTTTTGGAAATGGAAATGTAGATTTTAATGGCTAAAGTGTGCCTAGCAAATTTCCTTGCCCTATCTTCATTTTTAAGATACCAGATTACAAACAAATCCAATATAATGCCAAGCCTGAGAATTAAGCCAAATGTATCATTTTGTCTAACCATCACTACTTAACGACTTTCCTGCTTCTCCTATTTGTACTCCCTTAGTTGTGGCAAGATCCCTTCCAATTCCATAGCACTAGCAATCTATTTAATGGGTTAGCAAAAAGTGGATCCTTAAATGTTTTGGAATTCAGCTTCCAATATTCCTAACACAATGATCATACTGGCACAGAATTCTAGCAGCTGAATTAAAAAATGCCTAGAAATTCAGTTTCTGTGCAACCCTATTACAGGCAGACCTAGAACATGTCTGTACACAGAGATTTTAGGAAACAAACACAAGGGAGTTTCCATTTGTTTTCTTTTGTGTGTGAATGTGTTTTTAATATTTAGGCCAAACTTCCCCAGTCTGGTACCCTCCAAATGTGCTGTATTACAACTCCCAGCATGGCCAATGTTCATGCTGGCTATAAATTACGGGAGTTACAGATAAGGCATTTGGAGGCCTCCAGGGAGGGGAAGACTTTTCTTTTTTTGGAGACTATCATTTACGATTAGGACTCTAGACTCCTATAGCAAGGCAGGCCTTTAGCAATAGTGTTACTTCAGTGGAAACATTTTCTCTCACTCTTTTTCCTCTGAAGCAACTGGTATATCCACTTGTATGGACCTGCTGAGCATGTGTGCATGGGTGAACTCTGGGCTGAAAACAGTTAAATTAGAATTTGAATTCAGAAACTTGCATCAGTTAGGCAGACTGAGCAAGTCTGAAGAATTTATTTTAGTCTGCAGAGTAATTTGATTTCTTTTACTCTTCAGGCTTTGCTAATCATGGTGAGTGGTATGGAGTTAGGCCGAGCACTTGGAAGTCTGCCCCTCATCCTGTGGGAAGTCTTGTGCAGACTGTGCTGACTTCTGCAATTTCAGCAGGAGTTGTCCACATATGTCCAAGGATATTGTCACAGCTTGTAAAGAATAGAATAAGTATGTTCTATATGTATCTGATTTTCTTTTCAAGAAGCCAGATTCTGCACTTGGCCTAGTCTTCATGAAATTGCAGTGTGCAAATACAAAGCCCATTGCCTTCCCTGCTTCCTTGCAGTAATCCCCTCCTCTCCCAATTGGAGCAGGGATGTGCAAAAAACAATCAATCTACCCAGCTATGTCAAAATCACATCTCTTTATCATCACATTCCTACTGGGAAATGCATCCTTTTCCCTCTCACCTCTTGACATCCCCATGGATGAGACTGGGAGAGTCACTGTGCAGGAACTGAATGGCTCTGGCGGTGCCCACTGCTATGTGGAGCCGCTGGGCCCAGGAAAGGCAGGGACCAACCTGAGGAACAAAACAAGCAAGTCAGAGCACAGGGTGGTGGAGATCTTATTTCTCCAAAAAAACAAAAACAAAAAACAAACCAAAACCAAACCAAAAAAACCCACAAAAAACAAAGAAAAAAAACTCCCCACCTCATTAGAAAGACAGAAAGACAGACAGACAGTCCAATTGCTTACCTGTTTATGTAAATGATCTTCCAAGGAGCCTTTGGGCAAGAAGACATAAACAAGGCAGAAGTATCCCTGTTCAGCACAGTAACCGGCGAACTCAACAATATTGGGATGGCGGAAACTAGGATACAGGAGGGGCCGTGTTACAGAGCAGCTGCTCCAATGCCACCCACTGCACTTTTTCACTGGGACATAACCCCTCCCACATACTCACAACCCTGGGATTCCCAGCTCTGCCCCAACAACCTGCTGATATGTGGTCCTCAGTTCTCACCGGGAAAGTTTCTCCACCTCTGTGACAAAGCTGTTCTTTACTGTAGTCCAGTCCAATTCTGCTTCCTGTTGGGCCACAATGTGGCGGGGGGGGGGGGTGAAGAGAAGCATGTGTAACTCTACATGTGTAACTCTACATCAAGAACACACCTCTCCTCAGGAACACTGAGCTGAGTTGAAGGGCAATGCATTCGGGGTCCAGTGAAAAAATAGAAGTTAATCAGCACTCTGCATCCCCAATATTCAATCACAAAATACATGTAGAAGACAGGGTGCTTAATCATATTAAGGGTCCCACTAGCTTAGGGGTGGTCATATGTGACCCACTAGTTGCTGTTGAACTACAACTCCCTTCAAAACACTGGCCAAGCTGGCTGGGGCTGACAGGGCAGGAGTCCAACAACATCTGGCAGGGCACACATTCACCAGGAGCTGTCAACCCCAATAGGCCCATTGTTGTTGTTGTTGTTAGTCGCAAAGTCATGTCCGACCCATCACAACCCCATGGATAACATTCCTCCAGGCCTTCCTGTCCTCCACCATCCCCCGGAGTCCACTCAAGCTCACAGAAACTGCTTCAGTGACTCCATCTAGCCACCTCATCCTCTGCCGTCCCCTTCTTCTTTTGCCATCAATTGTTCCCAGTATTAGACTCTTCTCCAGGGAGTCCTTCCTTCTCATTAGGTGGCCAAAGTACTTGAGTTTCATCTTCAGTATCTGGCCTTCTAAAGAGCAGTCAGGGTTGATCTCCTCCAGGACTGACCGGTTTGATAGCCTTGCGGTCCAAGGGACTCTCAGGAGTCTCCTCCAGCACCACAATTCAAAGCACTCAATCCTTTGGCGCTCAGCCTTCCTTATGGTCCAGCTTTCACATAGCATTCTAGAAACCCAAGCAGAGATCTTGCCTGGCTCCACTGCTAGGAAGTGAGCCTGGTCCCTTGTAGCACAGGGGCTGCTATGAAGCAAGGGACCCATCCTTCTCTGGATCAGTTGGAAAGGAGTCACAAAGTGAAATGGGGAGACTCAGGAGCTCTCCACCTCATGGTGCCCACTAGGAAATACCTCCTTCAGCCGTTTGACAGCATAGACAGTGTTGCGTAGTCGGGCCTGGTAGACACAGCCAAAGCCTCCTTCCCCTATTTGCAAGTGCTCTGAGAAGTTATCTGTGGCCTGGCGCAGCTCTTCCAGTCGCCACATAAAGGGACAGGTTGAGGACAAATGGTCGAGACCCTGGGCAGAGAGAGAGAAGGCACATAGTTCAAAAGGGCACAATCCCACTTTGGCGCAGACTCCTCAGCTCCCATTAATCCCATGACAGGAACATTTTAGGTTGTAGCTCCTTGTACTGCTGACCCCAAACCAAAACAAACAAAACTAAAACACTAAAAACTGGGATAGATTTTCAGTAATTATTTTCACCATCAAGAAAGAGGACTGCTGAAGAGCTGGTGGAACCAAGTTCCACTGGCAGGGAGTGGCCTCAGGGAAGGAATAATCCTGGTTTCCTCGGGTTTATTTCTAATTGAACAAAGAAAGCAAGTAGCAAGAGACAAGGTTAGAGACGTTTAAAAATTAAACAGAAGCTCTGAGCAAAGAAGGAAAATACAGCAAATACAACAGAAGGCGGCCATGATACTTAAAAAGAAAAAATAATAGGTGAGCAGCAGATTAAACTAATCTTTCCATGCAGCAGATGAGGAAAGAAATCTTTCTACAAAGAAAATCGTCTTGTACATACATTTGTTTAGTGACCTTTTCAGTGCCCTGCATGGGAGGTAGCGTGATTCTCATACTGCAAATTGGGCTTGGGATGGCAGCCTGGGTCACATGATCATGGGAAGAAAAGAAGTCATGATGACTTCTTTTCCACATCCCACATGATTTGTTTCATTTCCCTTGGGGCACACAGATTGTCGTGTTGTCTAAAGCTGGCCTGGCAGGGGTGGCTTTGAACTGTGCACCAGTTTCTGGGATGGTGTGGAGGCCAGCCTGGCTGAACACCTCACTGGGTTCAGACAATATGGAAGCAGTGTGCCATGAGGGCAATTAGGCAAAGTATGTGGAGCACAGTTGCCATGCAGAGGGGCAGGAAAAGAAGCTGCCATGTCTTCTTTTTTCCTCTATGCAAACCTGCTTGGTTAGCAAGAGGTTGAATCTTAACCTAGATCATTCTGAGGCACTCACACTTTTCGCCACTGCTTCAGTGGGAAAGGATTGGACTTTGGAAAGCCTGATAATTCAGAAATGGCAGGCCTGGCCTGTTGAGAGATACAGGAGGAATGAGGAATGAAAAAAGAGTGATAGATTAAGGTTCCTAGCTTGAGAAGGTGCATAAATAGTGGTGATATCAGGAAAATATGGGGTGAAGAGTTAGTGGAAGGAAAAGAATGGATGGTGGGGCAAGGGGAGTTTACTTCAGATGGTGCGAAAACATTCCAGGGTAAACAGGCACAGATATTGGAAGGAGGGAACAAGAATGGCTAGTTCAAAGAGTCCGTAAATTCCAATACGACTGGAAAAAGGATCAAGGGGAAGGAAGATAAGAAGCAACAGGAAGAGGCCCAGAGCAGAGCCATCAGCAATCTCAACCAAGGAGAAAGAGGAAGAACCAGCACCAAAAAGAAGGCAAGTGGAATGGAAAGCTGTAGGAGAAGATGACTGACATAAGGCCAAGCAGTCATGGTGCCTGGCACAGGTGATTCAGCACCAGCACCTTTGAGGCCCATTACCTTTTTCATATAACTGGGCAAAATGTAGTTTCATATCCCATGAGGACTAGAAAGAGTGTAAAACTCACATCATTTAAACATGAGGTTCCTAGAAAGGACCAGACATCCAATCTACATGTCACTGCCCAGCTAGCACTTTCCTTCCCACTGCAACAGCTATTTCTAGTATTTCCTATGTCCTTCATCATCCCAATTCCCCATCTTTATTAAAAGACTGGATATTGTGTCAGCCAGGAGCATTAGATAGATACCTGTTCATCAAGGGGGAGGGGAAGCAATGGTGGATTGCTCTGGCCAATGCCGCTGTGGTGGCGGCTGGGAGTGGGGTCTGGCAAAGATAGCGGACGACTGGAGTGCTCTGTTTTGCAGGGAAAAGAAGTGAGAATGCAGTTACTGTAGAGAAACAAACTGGGCCTTTCTGTTTCTAGTCCCCTCAATACTGTGTGCATTCAGAACTGTGAAAAAGAAAGCAAGCGACATATTTGATTTTGAAAATCCATGAATGTTACAAGACTAGGAGAAGCACCACACCAATGCAGTTATATTAATAGGAGATTCAGCAATTCAAGAAACTTATGGTCATTTGATCTCAGCAGCAGAGCTGCAAGCCCCAACAGACATCCCTACACTCTTGGCAGGAAGCCCTAGCTTAGACGGAAGCAATGGGCGACTGAGTGGGCGCAGAATATCCTGAGAAACTTTTAATTTTAAAGGAGAAACCAAGTTTAAGGCTGCTAAGTTAGACCTGAAAGTATGTGAGCAATGCCTGAAGAAATGTCAAAAGCCCCTGCTGCATGTGTGTGTGTGTGTATGTTTGCATGCATATGTGGATTTTCCAGAGGCTTTAGCACCTGCCCTGTAGGCTTCTTTGTTGCTTCCCAGAACGAACAGGCTGAAGTCCTGGAGTGTGGGAAGGGCAAATGTGCACAGCTTATACAAAATGCAAAGCTCAGCTTTTCTTGGCACAGACTTTGGGTTGCCTTGGCATAGCATTAGAATGTTCTTCAGCACAGAGCACACACAGCTCTTGTCGCCATGTATTCACAGTGCCATGTGGTGCATCCAAAGTCTACAGAGCACATTTCAAAGAGGGCCCTGAAAACCTTACAGTGCAGACAAAGTAAGTTTACTGCAGCTATTACTGGTCACTCTCAAGGATCAACCAAGTGTGAATACCATCCGCCCAACATCAACAGTAGCCCTGCACCAACTTCACACAAAGCTCGCAAAGAAAATGGTCCACATTTTCCAACTTCAAGCAAGGCCAGCTGGAAACATTTGGGAGTTTGCACCTTGAAATAAACCCAAATGCCACAGTACCACCCTCCCCTGAACAAGAAGCCTTGCCTAGATCCTCTTCATTTCAGCAGGTAATGGGAATACACAGGAATGATTTGTGGTGGATTATGCCATGAGCCAGATCAGTTTCTCATTCTGTTGCCCTTAGCACTGCCCAAATTCTGCCTCTCTTCATATGTGGTGAGGGCCCCCTCAGCTGCTCAACTAGAAAATTCCCTGCCCGAAAGACAAACCAGGAATCACGTGCCCCTGCAAGATTCCTCCCCTGTCCCAACAAAGTTACACTTCAGGAAAGCCTCCCTCTGTCTTTTCCTCCCTGGGGTAAAAAGGAAGGTGAAAGAGGGATCTTCAGCAGAATCATGTCTGGTAGGAAATTGGCTCCATCTCTCCTCTACCCACACCAATAGTGTCCCCTCAAGTTTCCAATCACTCAAATATGCTTTTCCTTAAAAAGAAATAAGTCCTGGAAAAAAGTTGCATAACTGCCCTATCATGTTTTTTAGGATTTACCTATTATCATAGCAAAACAAATCACGGAAGGAAATTCACAAGAACTATCAAATAAAAGTCATCATAAAGCAATTTGAAGAGACCTGTATTATCTAATCAAACATAATTAAAAGCAACAACACAGTCATTAAAAACTGCATACAGTTGGGCCAAGATCATAAAACCTCATATAAAAAGCTTTGGCAGCAACAGATGAAGACTAAAACCAGGCATAAAAGAAACGTCATACTAAACCATGGCCAGTGATGTGATGAATCATACCTTGCTATGTGTGAGATGAACAGGGTGGATGCATTGTATTTTGCAGACATAATCAATTCACTTTGTGCCATGAGCTAGCTTGGAGTGAAAAATGTGCTTTTGAAAGTGGGGCAAATGAGCAGGCCTCAGCAGGGCTGGTTAATCCTTAGAAGCAAAGGGTCTTGATTTAGGAGATGGCCCTACATGATTTCTCCTGATGCCACTCTGGCTGCGTTTAGAGAAAGCTCTGTTAGAGTTATGTGCAGAATCCAGATAACTCTATTGAGTTATCTGGATTCTGTTAGATTCTGTTATTCTGGATTCTCTTAGAATTATGTGCAGTAGCTATGATCAGACCTGGAGCTCCTGTTTCAGGCGTTTGCTTAATATAAGGTACCTGAGTAGCACTGATAATAAAAGGTTTAAAATGAGTGTGATTAGGCAAATTCTGCTAGCCTTGCCTGTTAGATAGGTTAACCTAATATCTGAATGATGACTGCTTTGTTGGTTCAGAGGAACAGACTTTTAATAAAAAATATACTAGCTACTATTTTTCTTATGCTTCTAAGCACCCAAACTGCACTGTATATAGTAACATATCTTGCTTTTTTTATCATCGCAGAGTTTCCTTTCCTCTAATTGAGCTGTCTAACTTGAGAAGTGTTTCAGGGGCCACAACCCAAAAAGGAATTCTTGATGCCCAGAGCACTCAGTTGGGATTTGTAAATCCATTGTTGTGTGGGGCCTATCTGCAGAGTCCCTGCTTTTATCTTGGTCAGGTGAGTCACAGACACACCTGCTCAGGTATGACAGACAGGTTAGCTGGATGGTGCAGCAATGTTTTAGCTGTCTTCATGCCAACCCATATGTGCAACAAGCAAACAGTGGTTTTGATCAGCTTTTGTTTTGCATGCATTCAGTTTCATAACTTGCATCTCCATAGAATGGTAGCCTCTTGATGCACAGTGATTATAAAGAAATCTTTGCTCAGTATTTAAGATTTTATTAAGTTAAAAGTAAAAATTGCTAGTACAGGAAGTACCGTGCTGTTACAAAAACTGATCCATGCAGCTCCATTTCAGAAATTTCACACATCCTAGTCAGCCCACCTCAAGAGGGATATCCTAGTGGTGAGAAAAATACTGAAATGATCATGGGAGTAAAAAAAAAAAAACCTTAAGGAGAAAAAGCAAAAGACTGAAACACTCTTTAGCTATGGGTGCAGGGGAAGAAATGTCTACAACTATGAACAGGGTGGAAAGAGGAAACAGCTTCTAGCATTATAATACTAGAGGCTCTGAGCAATCCATTGAAATGAACAGGCAACAGAGTTGACAGAAACAGTCCCCCACACACTCTGGAACACACACAATGCATAGCTAACTCTCATAATTAATTGCCATTAGTTAAGATATCTTTATAAAAGGAGACTGGACATATTAATGGAGGATAGGCCTCTTCTATGGTGCCAGTCAAAGCCTGCATTTCCAAGGCACAGTTGCAGAATTAAAGAATACGCACAATCTTGCTGAGGAGTTTTGTGAAACAGGCAAGATTTCCAGTAGAACAACAAAGTGCCCCATGTGCATCCACTGCCAGAAGGCCCATGATGGAGAGGAGAGGAGAGGCAACAGAGCAGGGATGTCAAACTTCTTTCGGCCCAAAGGCCAAATTCAGCATCACAGAACCTCTTTGGAACTGCAGTCCAGTGGTAGGCAGAGCCAAAATACCTCCCTGTGCCCCCACACCCCAACAATGCCAGTAAACTTCAGATTAAAGCTAATACTGCCAGTATCAGGACAGGCATTTTAGTAATTTAGAATGAGAAAAACCCATGCAAAAGCCACGCAGTTCAACAACCGAGGGTTGGAGGGAAAGGAGTGGGCCAAAGGAAAGGGGTGGAGCCAGAAGGTAATCCTGAAGGGCTGCCCTGAGTCCCCAGTTGGCCCTGGTCTGGCCTGCGTCCCAAAGTTCAACAACCCCTGCTCCTTGCCACTCTAGAAGGCAGAACACACCTATCACTTCAAACCCATCAGGAAGGAGGTCAGCAGGAATCTTCAGCCAAGGGGAAACACAGGTTGCCATGTATGCCATAAAGAGCCCCCTCCACTGCACATTTCACTAATTACGGCAATCAGACAAGTTTACCTGGTACAGATGAGAAGGTTCCCTTGAGAGGCTCCCACATTGTTGTCTTGATCCTGCTGCCGCCACCACCACCACCACCACCACCAGGATCAGGGGCAGGCGGGGCAGGCAAGGGCTTAGGGGAAACAGACGGGAGATGAGCGGACAACACCCTGGGCTTTGAACATTGCAATGGTGGATGCCCTGCAAAACGAGGAATGGAGAGAAAGTCTATTAGCCTCCAAATGCAGCGTGAACTCAAGCTGTGGCTCCATGGTCACCCTCTGATTGCACCACCTTGGGTGTTCTGTCTGCTGGGTTGCATGTGGCCCTCCAGGTTTTTTGGCCTGCAGCTCCCATGATTCTTAAGCACTGACAAGCATACCAGCTTGGGTTGATGAGAGCTGCAGGTCAAAATAGCTGTCTGGCATTGCTCAGCCTGCCCTAGTGGCATTGTGGAAAGGGAAAAAGCATTGTGGAAACATGCAGGAGTGATACCAGCTGTGAGTGATCTGGGCTGCCATCAAAGGTCCAGGAGGAAATGCTGGTCTCCTACACCTGTTTCACCTACAGGCAATTGAAGGCTCAAGCCTAGTCATCTCCGCTTGAAGGCAGGGCTGGCAAAGACCTGTGCCTATGGCCGTGGGGAACTACCAGCCATCCAGACAGAGAATACCAGGTTAGGCAGACCAGCAGTGACTCAACTTTTGCTATTCAATAAGCATAGGAACCACCCACCTTTTCAGGGCTAGAACCTGCCACCTGTCACCCTGGTTGAATCACAGTCTAGGATTTTACTGTTTAGGAGCAAAAGAAGTTATGCACAAAGAAGTTAATTATTTCCTTTTCTTCACTGAACTGTTCACCCTGTGGTCTTCAGCTTGGCACCGAAACCTAAGAATGCTGCCTGCAGGTATTTATAGTGGCAGAGCAACCACGAATTGCAGCACTGAATATGCTGGGAAATGGCCCAATGCCTGTACTTAGCAAAAGAAAAGAAAGAAGAAGTCTGGCAAAGAGACAGACAGTTTTGCATCTGGTCTGGAAGATGAACAACGCTTCATTCAGGGCACACACAGGTCTGCAGGTCCCTGTGGCTGAACACCTGCTCTGAACACTGAAGTTTGCAGATTCAGTTTCCAGCCTCTTTGGGCAGGGCCAGAGAGATACCTGCCTGACACCCTGAAGCACAGCTGCCAGTCAGTGTCAACAACACTGGGCTAGATGGGCCAAGGAGCTGGCTCAGCTTCTTGTGCCTCATGTGACCATCCTGGGCTCTGACTTTTGGGCCCACATATATTCTGAGAGACAGGGAATATGCACTTGTCAGCATTTAAGAGTTCATATGCACCTAGATTGGTTGCATGTTTTCTTTAAAAAACAGAAGTAACTTCCCACCATTGTCAAAGGGGTGGACAGCTGGTATGACAGAATCTTGCAGGATTTGCAAGATGTGGGTTTAAGTTCCCTTGCAGCCATGAAGCTTGCTGGATGCTTTCAGCCAGTCATGGAGTTTCACAGGGTTGTGGTGAGGATAAAAATGGAGAGGACGACTATGGAAACTGCCTTTTGGCTTTGCAAATGGAAGAAAGGTAGGGATATGAATGGAATAATAACATATATAAAATGAGTTGTCAAAAAAGCAAACACTGGAGAGTTGAGAAGTGTGAGCCTTCTGCACCCACCTCCACAAGCAAAAGGCTAAGAGGTGATGTCATCACAACAGGAAAGCATTTCAATTAAACAAAGAACGTCTTGACAAACTGGATAATTCTATTAAGGAGGTATCAACCCAATTGGCGGATGTTCGACTTAAAACTGAACAGAATACACAAAAAATACAACAAGTGCATGAAAAATTTGAAACAGTAGATAAAGAAACACAATTAATAAAGCAAACAAACAAGTTACTATGGGATTTGCTTGTTATACTAGAGATGGAGAAGGTATCTAAATATTTGAGAGAGACTATGTTTAGGTGGCTAATGACAGAAGGAATATTTTTTACCTGGAACGTTACAAGATACAAATTGGACTTGATTTTTAAGGCACAAGAGTTTTATGAAAAATTTAGAAGTATGCTTGAAGAGGAAGCACCGGGTGCCTCAAAAGAAGGAGGGATAGGTGTCGAACCAACAACATATCATTCCGAGGAAGGAGAAATAGTGAATACTGACTTACAACAAGAAGTACAGACACTGGAAGTGGATACTGATTTACAACAAGCAGTACAAATACTGAAAACAAAGGAAGAGAGAAGAGGTAGGGGTGTAAAGAAGAGATAGGAGAATTTTCTATTTTAAAGGAAATGATTTGCAAATGGGTTGGCATGCTTACATGTGGTATGAGAAGGCTAAGTCACATGGTTCTTTTTTAAGTCACTATATTAGAAAATCATTAATGTCGGTGTGGGAAAAGTTAAAGATAAAATTGTATAATAAATTACTATGATGGTTTTCACCCATGGAAGCTTTTGAGTATCCAAATGCATTGAATTTTGAAGGGATTATAAGATATGATGACATTTTGGATAAAGATGGAGGACTGAAATTGAATTAAGAAATACAAGAACAGGGAGCTGGTATCTCTTGGTGGCATAAGGTGCAGATAAAATCAAGATATGCTAAAGACTGTAAAGCGTGGGGTTTTTATAAGGACTTAACAGCGTTTGACCAAGTGATGCTTTTAAATTAGATGAGAACATGATTAAAAGATTATATGACTTCTTATTTGATAGGAAAATGGAAGATGAACAGGTTAAGGAAACTATGACATCATGGGCACAAAATCTTAGATATAATATTGAACTAGAAAAGTGGCAAAAGCTGTGGGAGAGAAATATCAAGGTAACATTAGCAACTTTGTATAAAGAAAACTTGTATAAAATGTTATAAATGGTATCTGTCGCCAAATAGATTAGCCAAGATGTTTCCAAATATGTCAAATGGATGTTGGATATGTAAACATAAATTGGGTATTTTTTATTATATATGGTAGAGGAAGTGTTACAAAAATCCTTAGCTTTTAAACCTGAAGTTATTTTTTTATTAGGCATTATACCGGAGGACATTAGTAAATAAGAAATGTATTTGATTTTATATGTAATCACTGTGGTGAGGATTGCATTCGCTCAATACTGGAAAACTGAAGAACTACCCACCGATGAACTGATTAAAAGATCCTAGACTGTGCAGAAATGGATAGATTGAATTTATCATTGAAGGAGAAGGAAAATACTGACTTCTATCAAACTTGGGAATCTTTTTATTTTTGGCTAGAGAAACGGGACTTTGCATAGATTTAATATGTTTTTAAGTTATCATAGATGGAAAAAGAAGGGTGTGGGGGCTGACCCAGCGGGCTCGATGTTTTTGATTATGGATGTTGTTTGTAATTTTTTGGTTTTTTAGGAGTATATTTTCTCAAATAAAGCTTATTTAAAAAAAGAAAAGAAAAAGGTTCTTGCTCCTCTTATTTACTGGCCGCAGATCTTTGTTCAGTTTTGCCTTCCTGAACAGAGAAGCAAGCGAAAGCCCCCTCCATTTCCCCCTCCCCATGAGGCATTAAAGGCAGTTTTTCCTGACATAGATTAATTCAAAGGGGTTTGTTTACACTTCCATTTTGATTTAATCTTATTGGGCTTACTTTATGAGGGAGCAGTCTTGTATTTTGTCTATTATTTTTATGTGGTGGGCCTTGCATCTTTGTTTGTCTCTTATCCACTTTTATTAAACAAAGCAGGTAAGTCTTCTCCACATTTCCTTCATGAGGGGCCATCAACGCAGAAGTTGAAAGAACAGCGATAGCCTCTGTTTTGCTGTTTGGCTGCTCATGATGCCACATCCAGAGACCGCATTCCCACAGGCCAAGGATGGGGCTGCAAGCAGCCACTAGGCCACACTCAGCCTCCCTGTACCGTTTGTGTGCCCCCCAGCACCCACCAGGGAAGTCATGGCACAATTGGGCTCCTGACAGTCCGAACTGTGGTCAGTTGAACTGCTGAGAGTGTGGTTCTGCTTGGGAACAGGGCATGCCCTCCCCACATGATTTGTTTCTCAGCAGAGAAATGCCGCACAGGGTGGCTTCCTTCATGTCCTGTTTCTCTGCTGGAAGCCTGAATCCACTGAGAAACAATGCTTCCTCAATGCCTTACTTCCCAGCAGAACCACAGAGATGCTGACAGTTTCCATCCACTGTAAGGGACAGGTGGGTTTCCAATAGGGTTTTGGGGGACAATATTGTCCCACAAGTCCCAGATGCTGCCCTCTCTGGTATCAGCAACCAGAGGTACAGTGCAATTACCCATAGTCAGTCCGTGGTACAGTACAATTACCCACAGTCTAGCAGCCACAACTGCTTTTGCCAGAAGTGGGAGAAGTGAGGGAACCCTACAAGATGCTTTGGGTCCAAGCATCAGCTCTGTCAATTGAAGAAGGAGATATGAAACAAAACAGCACTGGACTGAAACTCTAAATTCAATCCCAGTCCAGTTAGAGACACTGAGATACTTGCCCATCCTGGGAGAGCCTTCACTAGCTTCAGGAAGGGAACATTGGCCTGTCTCAGCAATAGATGCTGCAGGACAGATAAAATAAGGACAGCAATCCTTAGAGGGCTGCATGATTATTAACTTCTGATCAATGAGAATACAGGATAGGGCTTTCTCCTGTGGTGGCAACCACTGTATGGAATGCCCTCCTGCCTAGAGAGATCTTCAGCAGTTTTCATGCATTCCTTTCATCAGTACACCAAAACTATTGCCTCTTACAAGCAGTCTCAACTACTGGCTAATGCAATTTCCTTTTTTTCAATGGCACTGTTCAGATTTCATGCTAAAATTTCCAAATTTTACATGTTTGACTCTTGTTTTCTTCATTTTGCATGTTTTACTTGCTATACTTTTTCCTTGCTTATAATTTTCCATTTGTATGTAAAATGATATAATCTATTTTTTCACCAAAAGTCTTAAAACAGAGATCAGCAAAGTCATAAAACATGTGCATCGTGTACCAAATTAAGAAAGCAGCAGAAAATACATACAATCTAAAGCAACTGCTTAGGCAAGTGTTTGATCTTAGGAAGGGGGTTTTCACTACACCGCTAAAAGTTGATTAACACGATGATTAACAAAAACAGCTATCAGAATAGAAGAGTTTCTGAAATTCAAGAGGCCATAAATATGCAGAGATAAGGTTTCTGGGACTGAGGGAACAGGCATGGGAGCTTGAAAGGATGAGGAGAGATGGAAAGAAGCAGGGGCATCCTATCCCATTAATGAAAGCTTTCTTTGTGGAAGACAAGCTGGGGAAAATGTTGCTTAACCATCCCCTATCATATTAATTCCTCCACAGCAGCTTTCTCCAACCTAGCACCTTCCAGGTGGATTGGAATGCAAAGCCCATCATCCCTGCACCAACATGGCTGGAGATGATGAAAACTGGGTCTAACACAGCTGGAGAGTACCAGGTTGAAGAAAGCTGCTCCAGAGTTACCAATCAACATCCATATGAGATACAGGATGGCGACACAGCATATACTTATGTAAGTATATGAAGGCTCACATGATATGATGACATCCCGCGCCCGGTAAAGCTGCAAGTCATCAAGAATCTGAAGTAAGTCACTGACGCGAGCATTGCGATTCATCCAGGCCCACATAAGGTTGTGTGTCCGCCCATCCATCTTCTCATACAGACGCAGCTCCACCTGATCTCGGACAATTCTGGAGGCTAGAAAGCAAGGGAGAAAGGCCAGTTACATTAAAGAAGTCATTGCTAACAGGAGCTGTGACATGGGTTGGGTTCAGTTTCTTTGCTGCTTATGAAATCCTCTGCTATATTATACTTACCTTCATCTTCAATTTCAACTAAGCACAGCAAAAGCCATCAAGAGTTTGCATCTGCTTCCCTTCCCACTTCTAAATAACTTCTCAGATACATAATGATAGCACACTGAAGTCAAGATTCTGGTCTTAGATCCAGCCTAAGGATAGGCAATTAATGGCCCAGGAGCCTCCATGATCTGGACACACAGCACATTTCTTCTGCTTTCCAACCCCAGCCTTGGCTCCCGTATGAATCTTTAATACTAACACATAAAGAAGATAATTAAGAAAGAGCCATTTCCCTTGGTAAGCAACATTGGAAGCTGTTTTAGACCCAGTCAGACTTTTGGAGCCTCTCCTGGTTCACAGTGGTCCCACAGGGTAGCAGACTAAGGCCATCTTCTCCACCAACTGCTCCCTAACTGTTTAAAAGAACACGCAGTGAAGATGACAAGGATGCAGCTTGCAAAGCACAGGCTCTCCCAGGAAATAATACTCCCACCTTCCCTCACAACAACAAGTGTTCTGTCATACTTCTCCCTACCTGCACCTTTGCTGCCTATGCTTCTTTGCAATCCAAGGCAGAGACAAGTGGGAAAGAGCAACAGAGGTAGAGAAGGGATTTGGGCCAAATCTGTGCTGCTGTTCATGCAAGGGAAAGAGTGTTGAAGGAATTCTTTGTCTGCACTTGTCTCATGTGCAAATGAATCAAGGTTGCTGGCCTTCAGCCCTCAGTTCAGTTCAAAATCTGGACAAAAGAAGAAACCAAGCCAGGAAAGTGATGCTGGCTGGAGCATCCAGGATCATGCATACCCTTTTATTCACTTCACATTTGCCCTGCTCTACTGCCAGGATGTGCTTAGCCAAACTGGCCCACAGTTCTAGTCTATTATTTTACAGATACTCTCCATGTGTGTTGGCTGCCACTGCCACCACTTTATCAGGTCATTCTCTGAACAGCACAACAGAAATTGACTGCAGAGGAGTCCAACATTTATCCTTGGTGGCTCTGCTCTCTCTGCTTTCATGAGTGTTTATGATGCTTTACTTTAACCACATTAAAGTGCAAGGAAGGCAATTGTAAAGAATTGTAAATGTCAATATTAAGTGTCAGGCAGCAAAAAATTATAGTGAAAACTCCAAACAATTTATTGGGAAATCATAAAAGAAAAACCTTGCTCTGCATAAATTACAGTGTTGTAGCACAAGCTTGTTGACTTTCAAGAAACTCCAGTCTACATTAACTAAAGCAAGGGTGAGCAGAATGTAACTCTCCAGATGTTTTGGATGCAAACTCCAAGAAGCCTCTGTCGGCATGGCCACTGATAGGAATGCTGGGGCTGAAGTCCAAAATATCTGATGATTTATTTCTTCACACCACAGCCTGACACTATTAAGCAGAAATCCATGTTGGCTTCTGAGTCTGAAAAAATATAAGGGAAGACCACATCCTCCCTTCCATTCAATGGGAATGAGACTGGGGCCTGGATCGCAGATTTAAATGCCCCATGTAGGGGGTCACATGGCTGCTGGGAGGCTTGTGGCTCACAGGAACTGAGTAGATGCACAAAATGAATCAACCACACTTCCACACAGGGCAGCTCACCTCCCCTCTGCACAGCTGCCAACTGCCTGAAATGCACATGTGATTGTACAAATGGCAGAAGCAATACGGACAGCCCCCTCCCTATGTGGAGGCCCTGGTCCATTCAGCTGGTGCCTCTACCCAGTGCCACTTGAGCTGCAAACCCTCAAACAAGCACAGGCAACTATATAGGATTTTAGGTGGTTTTTAAGTGTATGAAACTGGGTGGTGTTTCCTGTCAAACCACACTTGGTCCTTTGATGCAAAACTAACCAGTAGCCAAATCAGTCATAGTAATGGATCAACCAGTATAATTCTGACTCAGAGAGTTATGACATTTTCAACCCATTGAGAAGTTCATGCACCAAACAAAGTGGGTTGTTGCCCACAAAGGTTTGGGCTGCGGTAAATCAGAGTCTCCTCCAAGGAACACTTCACAGCTTATGCATCTCTTGATTTCACCAGGGAAGCCTTAACAAGAGACTAAATAAGGCCACCTCCTCAAGCAGGATCAGGTGAGTGACATTAAAAATAGCACAACAGATCTGGCCTATGAGAGAAGATCCACTGAGATGTTTCCTGGGCAAGCCCCATAGGAGTGTACAAGAGCTCGGGAGAAATTTCCCAGAGGGCATTGCCACATTAACCAAAGATGCTGGCATACTGGTTGGCCTCATTTGGATCTTGACCTTCTGTTTCCAGACTGTCTTGGGCTGACCCTGAAAGCACAGCTACTGTACTTTTTAAAAGTTTATTTAGTCTGGAGGTGGGGAAAATGTGGCAGTATACATTTGATGGCAGCCAAGTTTTGCAGCTCGCATAATTATCATCATCCAAGTCAAAGAGACTTTCAGCCCTGGGACTTTTTACACTGCTAACCAGTTCCCACCTCCAGCTTCATGGTCAGCCCTGATTGCTTCTCAGGCAGTTGCTTTTTTACCTCCCTGCTGCTAAGGTGGTACATGAACAAGTTCCTCAGCATGCACAAGACCCTCTATCTTCAGAGCTCCCCCATCTATTTTTAGTCCACATTGGCAAGGATTCCAAACTTGATCCCTGGATTAATACAGAACAATTTCCACTCTGGGTGTGGGGTTCCACTTGAATTGCACAGGAGTCAACTGAATACCCTGAGGTTGCTGTGTACCAAAGCAAAGCTTCTATGCCCATGGTCAGCAAATGGCTTTTCCAGACAGCCATTCTGAGGAGGGGATTGGAGCACTGATGAATGACTGAGTTCTGCATCCTGCATTCCTTAATCTGGGTTCCTGGAAAGTCCCATGGCCACAACTGTTGCTGTCTCCTTACATCACTTTTGCTTTTGCATTGCTCAGAGGAAGCAAACTGTTCTGGCCTCATGACACCAGATTTGCCCCAATCTATAGCTGCTAAGTCCACGCAGAACAAGAGCAAAGGGCATATGTTCCCATTTGGAGCTCCATCTTTCAAGTGCTGGCCATTGAAAGCCATGTAAGCTTCAAAATCAGTGCTATATCAACATAGCATCACTTTTTGTTTGATGTTATTGTGGTCACACCAAGAACATGTGCTCAGACTGATACTTCACCAGGACTAGCTTCCAATGACAGTAATCATCAAACTGCCTCTGGAGAAACGGCAGGCAGAGCACAAAGGCCTTCCCCTCCTGAACCCCCTTTAGGAACACTACTCTTGAACAAAGAAGCTCATTTAGTTATGTTGCTTAATTACAGACGATAAACCTATTTTTCACTAATGTACAGAAGTCCATTTTAGAGACATCCCTGTATTTCACTACAGCAAATTCCACAGGTTCAACAAATTCTTTGTGAGAATGAGTACCTTTCTTTTGGCTCGCTATAAGCTCATTCCCCATCACTTTCCATGACCCAACCAGTCAGGATTTAACCCAAGCCACTTCCTTTATGTGGCCTATGAATTTCATAGACCTCTTATGACTACTTAATAAAAGTGCAGAACTATATAAAGTGACCATTGCATTACTTGAGACATTTTTGCACTATCTCGTTCTGTTCTAGCTCCTCCTCCTATCTCCCTCCATTGTGTCAATAGTCTGTATATTTTTTCTGCCTTAAAAAAACCGAAACGAAACAATCCTCTAGGCAGTGCTTACCATATTTTAGCAGCCTGCAAACAGCACTATTGCTAGTCCAATTTGCCCATAGACACTCACTGAAAGGTGAGGGAAAATGTATCTATCATTTTTTTAGAGTTGGTATGGGAAAGAAAGGAAGAATGAAAGAGCATTAGGTAAGGCAACTAAAGGATCCACGTGAAGGATCTCGATGACACTATACAACAGAGACGGGCAGACTTCGAGCTTGCGGGATCTACTTTGGGTTTGGGTTAGAGGTTGTTTTTTTTTTTCTTTTTAATTTTATCCCTGAAATCTACCAGCTAGTGCCCAGTGGCCCACTGGGCCAGGGACACATTACTGATAATAATTATTATAATAAAGCGTACGTCTGAACATATGGTCGGCCCAATTCGATTCCAAAAAACTCCTGCTTCAGCCCACCCCCTGGTTTTCTTTGCTCCGGTGGCCTAATGAAGAGAGAGGAACTCCTGCCGGGCTCTGTCAAAGAGCTGGAGCTAGAAATCCTGGCCGAGCTAGCACATGGCCCCCAGCGATCACCCATCAGAAAACGTCGGCCGCTCTTCAGCCCACCCGCCCCTACCCTTCCCCGTCCTTGCTCGCTGCCGACCCCCACTGCTCGCGACTCACCGAACCGCTCCCACTCCGCTCGGCCCAGAGCGTCCATGATCTCATAGAACTTGCACATGACCAAGGCTGGCAGCTCGTAGAGGAACCGGGACGACCCGGAACCGGCCATAGCCCCCTGGTCTTTCCTATGACTGCCGCCCTCCGCCGCCCAGGCCAGGCCATAGGAGAGGCTGGACAAGGGGAGGGAAAGGAGAAGAAAAGGAGAAAGAGAGGGGGGTGGGGGAGAAGAAAGGAAAGAAAAAAGGCTACTTCCCCTTTAAATGGGACACTGGCTGAGGAAGGGAAAGCGTCCTTTCGCACGCCCCCTCGTCGCTCTGCGCGTGCGCTAGGACTGAACTAACGCTTGCTTCCGGGCTGCGAGGGTGGCGATCTTATACGAGGGGCGACCATTTTGAATGCGGCTGCGGTGGGCGTTCATAGACCACAGATTAACTCTTACCCTTGAGTGTAGTACTCCTTTGACTCCCCCTAGTGTTCCGAGGGAGAATTGAGGAAAAAATGGGACTTGTTTTGCATTTTTGGTAGCTCAAATTCTTTGGATGCGGGGTAATGAGGTCATAGCCTCACTAGCAACGGCTTTACAGAACATTTGGTGACGTCATGGGACTGCTGTAAGCATAGACTACACTCTATTCCAGTAAGCACTTTCTAGAGGCAGGGCTTTCGGATCTAACCCTTTAAGATTATAGTCCTATGTATTTACTTGGGCGTATTTCCCAATGCAGGTAGCGAAACTTATTTCCAAATAGGTATGGCAAGGGATTGTACGAATGAGGAAGTGTAAGAGGAACGTTTCCTTACGGGATATAGCGTTTTAGTAGTCCTTGAAATCAACACGTTTCTGAATCTCCATCTTTCCTTTCTATATCTACAGGACCAAAATTAGCCTGAGAAAATTATAGGGAAGATAGAAAGGACGGGAAAGAAAGGGTCGAGAAAGCAAGGAATTGAGCCAAGGGACTAATCGGGAAGGTCCTTTACAAGATACTTCGCAGTACTTAAATCAGGGACCGACAAACGGGGTTGTTGGACTCCAGTTTCTATTATCCCCAACATGGCCAGTTGTGAGGGATCATGAGAGATGCAGTCCACAAGTGCCCTATCTCCAGGTTAAGGCTGCCTGAGAGAGAGGTGGTCAGCAGCCCAGGAGATGAAAGAAAGTGGAACAAAGTACGCTCCAGCTCGGCTGAAGAAACCGTGAGGTTGCGCGCCGAGACTCTTGATGCGGCCGTGTGAATGCACAGTTCTCTTCGGCTTCTCAAGCTTAATCACATTTGTTTTGGTGCAAATCCCGTTGCTGGCGTTGAAGTGCTTTGGACGGCAGCCTTGCAGCCCGTTTTTCTGGTTTTCCTAAGTCCTTTCTGTAGGACAGACTTGTCAAAATAAAACTGCCAGCCAGGTGTGCAGGCTTGGAAGCAAATGGCATCGAGGTCAGTGTAGCTTCAGACAAAACATGGGCGTGGGTGGACTGCTAAACAGGGGAAGCAGGCCCCTCCAGTGTCAGTGTGGTTCCTGTTCCATTCCAGCTTTTATTCTGAGCTTTATAGGAACTAGCCATGGTAGCATACTTTGCGGATAAAATTCAGCACGATGGATAGCTTCTAGAATGCAGAATAAAAGCTGCTATGAATAAAGAACCCTACTGACCCCTCTGCTGCCACTGAGAGTACATGCAGTGCAGCCTTTTATGCATATCTAACTACTTGATCTACTGCCTCCAGGGGATGGATAGGGCTTGTTAGCAAATTTGGGAAAAAAATGGAAGCCTAGGTTAAATCACAGTTATTTCAGCAGCAACTCTAATATATATTTACCTGGGATGAAGTCCCAATGAATTAAAAGATTGTGCTATGTCTTTATTTCTTTATGAGTTTTGCAAGTGTTCTAGTGTAAACTTCTCCCCACAACCCTCCATCACAGGGCTAGCAGTGCCATTAAGCAGAACTAGATGCCCTGGACAGTAAATTCTGTAACACCATAAAAAGATCCTTTTCTTAGGGATTATATTTCTATATGCAGGGAGGGGTATCACTTGGATTTTCTATAGCTACTTCTTGCAAATGTTGATTAAAAAACAAGTTACTGTAACTTAATAGCATTACTACCATCTAACACATGTGAAATGCTCAAAGCACTTTACAAATTTTATCCTAAGTAATTCTAACATCATCTTTGTAAGGATAAACCAGGACTTCTTCAAGTCTATCTTGTAAGATTTGAGCCAGGCACTTCCTGAGTACCAGCTCTGACAACAGAAACAAGCTTGTTTGCTTAACTTATTCCATATACTCCTTCAGTGCTAGATGTTAGTAATGCTACTGGTCTGAGAGCCAGTGGAGTATAGTGGTTAATACTGCTGGACTGGGACTCAGGAAATCTGGGTTTCAGTTCCCACTCAGCCATGAAGAAACCCACTCGGTGACTTTGGGCCAGTCACTCCCTCTCAGCCTAACCTACCTCATAGGGGTTGTTCTTGTGAGGAGAACCTTGCAAGCTGCCTGGAGAACTTTGCAGAAAGAAGATAGGTGGGATATAAATGCAGGGACTGAGGCCAAGTGGTTCTTGAAAAGAGCTTTTTGCTTTTGTCAGAGCATACAATGAAAGTAGAAGGGCATGTATGATAAAGGATACAAAGCCCAAAAATTTAGCCAGACCAAGTTTTTGATACATATAATGCATGTGCTGACACAGTACGTATATACATACATGAATGTGTCATGTATGTGGTGTGGAAGTTTTGCTCTGTAAAGGCACATGCATATACATTGTGCTCCTTCATTCAGGTCTGCTCCTTGAAGGAACTACGCAGATAGTTTGGTCCTCTTGTAAGCTGCCCAGAGAGCTTCAGTAACTGGGCAGATTAGCAATGACATAATAATCCTTTAGGTCTTGCAGATAAACCAGGAAGGTTGAACAGAGATCAAGCATATTCTATTCCGTTCAACAAGTGCCTGCCATTTCCCATCAGGCCACCACAGACATCCTCTATGGGACCATCACCAGCCCTGGCAGCCAGGGCTGTAGAACAGATTCTACAACTTCTTCACTAGTGGAGGAAGCAAGCATTCCTTCACAGTTGAAGTGTTTCCTAGATAATAGGAATACTTTGCCTCTAGGTGGTTTCAGAAACCATCTTTCTAGATGGCAAGAATTTAGCCCATTCTCAAAGGAACTTAAGGCCTGGCTACTAGCATTTGTAAGCCTAAAACAGCACTAATAAACTGTCATATTATCAAAATGCCCATGGCTCTGTGAAGAAGGGAGTCCTGTTGTGACCCACTACAGGGCTTTGCAATATTTCTGAATATGACTAGGATCTTAAACTGGGTCAGTACAATGTAGATCATATGCCCTTGAAAAGCCAGGATTCCTGCAAAAATGCTAGAAGTAGGTTTTGGTCTAATCAAGCAAGTTATTTTTATGTGCTTAAGAATGCAGACTCAGGATTAACTATACACAAATTAGTCAACAAGTTGTATGGTTGTGAGCATGTGTGTGAGAGAAGAGACTCATGGAAATACGGGTTAGCCCAGAGGTGGACAAACTAGTGCCCTCCAATGTTTTTGGATTACAATTTACTTCAGCCCCATCATAACCAGAGATAATGTGAGCTGTCCCACAAAGTATCTGAAGAACATTGGGTTGCCCATGGCTAGATGCAATGGCTAGAATCCTGATGCAGAGGATCCTTCCTGTGCTGGAGCGCATGCGCGTCTCAGATATATGGGTCAACATTCCTCCCTGATGGTTTCTGCTCCAACAGAGCAATGCCTTAACCATTTGACAGTATCTGAACTATCCATGACAAACCCTAGGCTACACGCTTATATCTCACATTTCTTCCATGTTGATCTAACTACTACATATAGTTTTTCCAGACAGCCTCCCATATGGCACCCCCAGCTTTACCAGGGTTGCTATGCTGCATGCTTTCACACTGTATGCTAAAACTTCAACTACAGAACTCCCTCTCCATGGAGACTTCCTGCAATCTAATTTCCATGAACAATTGGGCCTGCCTTAAACAGATAAAGGATACTTCAACATAGTGGTATTTCATGAATTAATGTAAGATTAATGCAATTATTATCCATACTTAGTTCATTGGAACTTCTAAGCTTCAGGCAGCTTGATTAAAAATATCAATATACATTTAAAGTCTATTTCCAGGTTTTCCTTCAAACTCCAGAAGTACACTAGATACTTAGTTCTTAATCGCAGTCATAGAACAATAGGACAGAGTAAATTTCACTGGAAAACAACCTGGGTGCCTAAAGAACACTCTGACCTTTGGCCAAGACACTGGCATCTGAAGGAAATATGATGGTCCACACTCTAATGGAATACCTGAGAGTACCCTTTTAGTTTCGCCCATCTATGAATGGCTGCCACTCAGTTTTTTAGGCAAACATAAAGGGCAGTCTTCCCAACTTCCATATTATTTTAGACTACCGTTTACAACATTTCTGACCATTGGATATGCTGGATTGATGGAAGCTGAAGTCCAAAATATTTCAAGGGCACAAGGCTGGGAAGGCCATGCTATCACACTGATTGCCATGTTTTTGTCTGGTATACTAAATAGAAAAGATGCTACTACAGTTCTAACCCCGTGCATGTATTTTGTGCATGGAAGTATTTAATGTCTTGTACTATTTGATTAGGAACTTGTAGAGGTAACAAATACTTCTGTTAACTAGATAGCCTGATTCACTCTAGCTGAAAACAGACCTCTGTTGTGCTCAATTCAAAGGTATGCATACTCAAAGCTTGAATTCAGCCCTGGAAAAAGTGTTTTTGAAGGGTGAAATATTATAATCCCTAAAATAAATGTGCTTGCATAGGTAAATCTGGCCCAGTCAACAAGTTGACTACCTTCCAATCAATTCAAAAACTAAAAGACATCCTCATCCACAACAGAGAAAAAAATATTATATTTTAATGGCAGGGCAGAACATATCTACCTTGGTAATGAAAGGCTCAAACAAATCTGTAACATTTACATAGGTTTATAATCCAATTCTAGCACAGAATACAGTACTTACCAACATGAGATGCAACTAGATTACTGTGTAGAATGCATGCTGAGTGCTAAGACTGGGCTTGAACCTATTTTTAACATAAAAATATAATTCTCTTCTTTTAATGACCTTACATATATAAAATCAGTTGCCACAGTATCTTTGTTGCCAAAGGGGAAAAATAAAATCAAGTTGCTTGTTTTTAACAGCAAAAAATAAAAATAAAAAAGATGAGACACTCATAAAGAAAGGACTGTTTCTTGTAAATTTATAAGGCAAACTTTTTATATAATAAATAGGATACAAGGGTAGGGGGGAGGTTGGTGGATTTCTTTTAAACATATACATGTACATTCAGACGGATTTTGTTATTTTCTTACTGAAATCATACAAATTTTCCTTTAATAAATTTCTTTTTTTTCTTTTTTTTTTTAAATATAGTCAGTGCTTTCAGTCTTTTTTTTTTCTTTTTTTCTTTTTTGGCTGTACACAAAACCTACAAAAAGAGCAATCCATTGTAAAGTTTTATTAAACAATCTACTCAGAGTTCTTAAAAGTAATTGTCCCAAAAACGCATCAACCAAATGCAAGGTGAAATGGGTAGGGGTGAATAATGAAACATAGTTTTAAAAACTGATTTCAAAAAGTCAACACAATTTGTTCCAATCTCCATTTTTCAATCCTATTTGGAGGATTCTTGGCAAGTTTTTATTCCCCAAAAGTGAGAGACTTGCTATGGTTGCATTAGAAGTTCCCATCAATATGGATTAGTAGCAACCTCTTGACATAAAAAGGAATAAAAAATAAAATTAAAATGAAGAAGTTAATGGGCCTTCCATAAAAAAACATACAGCCTGTCTGATTAGATGTTAAGTTAGCTCTGAATCTGGCAGAAAGTTTCATAGAAGTTCTTTTTATTGCCCTTACTGTGCTAGGTCCTTTTAGTTTTTTCACTCCCAGTCGAATGAGTTTTCTTATTAAGGAATCTAACCACTTCACACTTTCTTGCTACATCACCTACTGGTGGTGGACTGTTAGAATAGAAGCTGTACAAAATATCTGGGGAATGTTTTGTTTCTAAAGCTCTACCTATTACATCCCCAATTAACCTCCCTTTTCTTTTTACTGCCAACAGACAAGACAAAAATAAAAGTATACATTTTTCCTCCCTTTAAAAATATATACATATATTTGAAACACTTAAAAATCTGAAGCGTTTGTGCCTGGAACAATTACTTTACAGAAATGTTCACGATACATACTCGTGGACCATAAAAAAAATAAAATAAAATAAAACAACACACACAAAAGGTTTTCACTGACATTCTTTTTTTTCCAAGGTGGGTTGGGGAGATAAAACCCTACACACAATGAGAGTCTCAAACACCACAGTTTTGTTTGCTTGTTTCCAGAAAAAAAGACTGTTGAAAAGAAGAAGAGGAAGAGGAGGAACCCCTCCCACCCAAATCTGTGTCTCTGGAATTAAAAAAAAAAAAAAAAAGTAGAAGTCGGAAAGAGAAAGGAACACCACTGGCGTGCGCGCAAGAAAGAGTTGGCTATGTGAGGATTAGGAGCTGTACAGGGTAGCGAGCACTCAGCATACATTTAATAACAGTCCTTGTAATATTTGGTCATATGGTGATCACTACTGAGTTGTGAAGCAGAAGGAAGTTGGTTTGTTGTTAGCAACATGTTGACTCATGGAAGCAGGGGAAGAGAGTGCCCCCATTCCTCCCCCCATACAATAAAAGGAGGAAGGGCTTTGTCAGGTATTTGTTTTTGCACTCATAAAGGAAAAAGCAAAAGTGATAAAAATTCCCAATTCATCTACCTACTCCTCATGCAGAGAAACACACAACTGCAATAAGCACTGCCCATCTGCATGGCTTGGGAAAGAAATTCCAGGCCCATGACTGGAAGAAAAGCCTGTGCAAGTTGATCTACAGAATAGGAAGTCATCTCTCCCCACCTCAGTTAGGAAGAATATAGTTACACTTCCTCGCCACCCCCAGAAGTGTATTTTGCGCTCGGTCTAGTTATCTTTGCTTTTGGAAGAACGGCAAATTTAAGCTGCTAACTTCCGAGCGTGTATTGCTGATTTTGGCATCTTGCAGGTGAAAGCTGGCAGAGAGCAAACTGTCAAAACAGTTCGCTCTCCCTAATGATCCCTTATGGGATATGGTGAGGATGTGATAGTTAATTGCTAGCAAGCTTACCCTTGAAGATCTACTTCCAAACACATCAGCCTTTAATCTGTTCAATGCTAGTAGGGCCCTGTTGTCATGGATGCTTCCAGCACTTGGAAATGTTAGACTTCATATAACATTTTTAATATGAAGCAAATCAAAACCCCAGACAATCATTCTTGTGAATACAGGCAGTGTCAGGAGGAGGAGGAAGGGCAAATTTCCACCTGAAGTGCCTGCTTAACCCTGTCTGAATTAAAAAATATAGTGTGGAACTTGTTTCTATTTTGAAACATTGTAATATGAGACACAAAGCTCAATCAGCCCTCACCCACACAAACCTACCTTGCTTTTTTGCTTACCCTATTTTTTCTGGAACCATCTCTGCATGCAAGATAAGGAGAATGACCCATAAAAGTGCAACATGAAAGACAGAAGTTATGATGTCTTTGGAAATTAGATCTAGACTTGTGCTAAACATGTGGGGTGAAGGGAAGCGGGGTGAGGGTCAAGTTTTCAGCTGGTAGGAGACACACTTATTGTGGAGTGCTGCCATTTTATGCCAGCTGGCATGCAAGGCACACAAGTAAAAAGGAGTGGTAGGACACAGACTAGCTCTGAAAACTATGAGGCACTCTAAAGGAAAATGTCAGAAAGAACTTTGCTGTGAGGAAGAGAACAGTTATAAAAGAGCAGTAAAGAGGTTCACTTCCGAATCAAAAGGAGTTTTCAAACAGCGACATTACCAGGCAAAATTGTCTTACTACCAAAGTGGCCATAAATGATAGAGCTAAATCATGCTAAAAGCATGTGTAAGATTCGAGTTCAATCAGTTATAGTTTTTAATGGAAGCTAGTCTGAGTCAAAACTGTACCAAACCCTTCATGCCCTCCCACCTTCACCATCCTAAACTCAAAGAAGTGCCCTGCCCCACAAGTTGATTGAGTGCAAAATATTAAAATGTTGGCTATATCCAACCAACTGGTTGGCTTTCCCCTCATGGAAAAAAAAGAGGAAACCACTTCAAAAAGTTACATAACACATCCAGAACGAAAAGGCAGTGCAACTGTCATGGAAAAAAATGACTGGCAGGCAGGTTTGATGGGTCTGTTTTATTTCCCCTTGTCCTATGATACTGAACACCAGGAATCATGGTCAAAATGCAACATATAATAAATTCTCAACAGACCGTGTCATTCCTTGCTTGTTGGTCTGTTGTTCTTGTTTGGTAGTGGCAGAACAAGCAGAAAAAAAGCAACCCCCTCATTTATAATGCAATATACAGATATATAAAATTTGACCATTTTTCTTGGTGCCTTAAAAAAACTGTGCGCACGCACGCACACACAATAGAAATTAAATCCCCAAACAAAAGAGTTAGGCCTAATGTTAAACTCTACACATTATTGGATAATAATTGAACTGACAAGAAGTTTGTTTTACTTGACACAGAAACATAGGGTGGTTCACAATGCTAACAAGGTAGAAACCTCTTGCAGTCTCTCAAACACCAGGCACTATCTGCATTTGCCTTTGAGGCTGAGCTGGGCAGAAATGGGCAGAGCTGAGAACATGGGTGAAGTTCATTTCGGAGATACAACTCTGTATCCCTGTAAGCAGACAGAATGTCACACTATTACCAGTGCAACTTCCACTGAGAAGCAGCTAGCTCCAGCAGAACATTACATCAGTTGTGGGGGTGGGGAGGGATCAGGACTTACTTCACACACGCTTTGACCTCCTACTGCAATTCATCAATCCCTTTTTGTTAGACTGAATAAAGTTTTGGTGGAAGACCCAAGTCTGCAAGCAGCTGTAAAGTGGAGTGGGAAAGGTGTTAACTGCGGCAAAGAAGTGGAGGGAGGGAGAATGGTAAAAGGAGACAGGCCAGGATTAAAATTTTGCTTGCTGCTTCTTCAGTGAAAAACTGGCCTTCACAGGTCACTGTGGAAGAAATCTAGGCCTGCCACCAGACATAGAGTTTGGCCCATTGTTACTGACAAGCTGTCTATCCCTCTTTATTTTACATCCCTACATCATACCACAGAGGAGAAAATTGTGTGAAGATACCATCCTTTCACCTGTCTGGAATGTAGACATGCATGGGATCAGGTTACCCCATCGTTCTGCAGGCTCTTCACTTTTCATCATGGTTGTTCAGAGGAAGTGGTTCAATGTGGGGATCTGCTAAAGTGTGAGTATTGCTCTAATTTGGAATCTCTGACATGATTTATGACTCTGCACATTTCCGTGGTTATGTTTAGGATCTACAGACACCCTATCTCAATTTGGTCACACATGGAAGATTGCTTTGAAATGTGTATGTATAAATGGAGCTGAGTTTTGTAGCTTTAATACAGGTTCCTCAGTTATATACAAAACTTCATCCCCTTCCTAAGGCTGTTCTCCAAGATGCTCCCAGAACTATGCAGTGGGCAATGGGCCTAAAGCTCCATTTTCCATCCAGCCAGGAGGAAAATGTGAAATAACAGTTTCTATCTTGGCTCTGAAGTGCATCATTCTCCCTATGAAAACATTAAAAATAGAAAGAAAAAGGGAGGGACTTTGGCTCCCTCAGCATTGCTTTTGGGCATCAAGAGGAAAATGGGGGGAGGGCATAGAAAAGGGTTATCAATTTCTGATGTAAAGTAGGCACTTGTACCTTTTCCAAACTCCATGGCAGGAAGAGACTGAGAATTGAAGCCAGTGTGCTTATTATAACAGAAGCCACATTATCTAAATCTTCGCTGCCAAATAGCTAGGAAAACCTAAGGAGATCTGTTCAAGACCAAATCATATCAACACTGAATCCCAGTGACAGCCTACAGAATATCTGCCTATAGGTAAAATAGCAAGGCATGATACCTCAAAAGTTTGAATGTTGAATCTGCTTCCTGAAAAATTAGATCTCCATTTGTAGCCTAAGATCAACTGTTATGAAAGGTATCCTAGAAAGGTAGTGGAATACAAAGCTGCCCTGCGCATGATGGAAGTTTAGAACAAAGACACACTCAGAGCTGAAATGGCATGCTGGTAGCACATGTTTCTTTAAACATGATTGCTCCAATCATGTATAAAAGAAAATGTGCAGATCCATGTGTTAAAGCAAGAGCTACATGTAGATAAAGCAAGCTGAACTATCCCAATGTCTGCATACCTCCGCACAGGGACCTTCCTGCTCATCTGATCTGGCTTTTGATATCAGAGCTGAGCTGGTATTAGAGCTGAGGAGAACAGTGTGTGTGTATACGTACACGTGAGAGACCAACTGTAAGACCAAATCTCAGAAATGGTCAAAGTTTAGCACATGCACATCATCTTTGCATTCCTTCTGCTTTATCCTACTTTACAGGCCTGTTTAACAGAAACAATGCTAATACATTGTATTAACATTTGCTACTAATACATCTAGTTTGGCTTTCAGTCATCAGTCAAGCTAACTGTAATTTCTGAGGTCAGTTCTGAGATGGGAAAGATTCCTGCCACCACTATTTTTCTTCTGCCCTTCTTTTAGCTCTGATGTTGCACTGTCTTTCTGGATGGCAGTGCCAACTCAGCCATAATCCTTTCCTGTGGAAACATTCTTAATTGTGAAAACTATACAAGCTTCTTCTTTAGCTACAATTACACATTTGAAATGGCAGTGCACTGCAGATTCCAAATATGATTATCACAGTTAACACATATGCAATTTTCACATACATATGCATGTATGTTTAGAGTAAGAAAAGGTCATAGAAGTGCCCCTAGCATGGACTGACGTGCAAAGTTCTGCTCCCAGTCTACTAAAGCTCCCTAATAAGCAAAAGAGAATTAATAAATGAGGACTGGTTGTCCATGAAGACTTGGAAGTCAGAGCCTTGGAGAGCAAGGAGGACAATAATTCTGTCAGAGGCATGTTAAAACATCTCCAAATGCAACTTGAGACCAAAGGGATATTTTCTGCATCTCAGGTTTCCCATAACTTTGTACAAAATCGTTAACTTTCTCCCTCTCCATGTGAAATCTGTGCCTTTTTTCAACGTGAAAAGCCCTTTGAAGGTTTTTTTTAATTACTACAAAGTCAATGCTTCCCTTACCACAGTTTTTCTTTCTTTCAGCTGAACACTTCTTTACATTTTTGCTTTGTTTTCACAGCAGATATTTCAAGACAACCACCTTGTTTCAAATAAATGATGTACCGTTTTTTGGATCAGCTATACTTTGGAGTTGGGTCAGAAGAGATGTATTCCAGAGTCCACCACAGGCAACAGGCTTGAGCCCAAACTTGAGTGCAGTCAAGTAGGAGATACTGATTTTATCCTTGGTGAACAAAGTATTAAAATCCAGCCCCAGCCTTTCTGCAAACCACTGTACAACGTACTATTAAGAGGAGAGCAGAAAATTGGCTTTAACTACAGGGCAAGAAAACAAGCAAAATTGAGGAGCTTGCACAATGAAGGAAGGTCCTAAACCTCATCAGTTTTTCCATAGTGAAACTGGAATCTTTCTAGTATGATCAGTGCATTGTTCTTTACCCTTGATTAATAACTGCAAGTAAAATGTGTCTTTTGGCTGCGATACACATAGAAGGACTGCTACTCCGATGGTGGGGGAAAGGTTGCCTCTACAGCAAGGTATCTTCTCTCTGAGGGCCAAAACAGACATGAGTCCAGATATCCATGATGAGATAGCTCAACATTTTATTTTATTAACTTTATGGTAGCTGTACAGGACTCCAATTTTTTGATCAGAACAGTGGCAGTGAGAGAAGCAACGTTTGATACTCCCGCCCCCATTTGCCTGAACTAAATCTTCCCTCCACACACGCTTCTATACTAGGGGAGAAACAGGTGCTATACAGATACCTGTATTTTCCCCACAGAGGGACCAACAACCACTTTGTGTTGGTTTTTAGACTTGGAAAACAGCCTTCCTCAGCACTGTGGTCTGATCAAAAGTGGAGCCTTCTGAGGCTATTTTAAAGCTGCTTATTTATCCTGTGACTACCTTAAAGTTGCTTATTTTAATTCTTCCACACTATGACAAAGTGTGAAGATTGTTGATTCTGCAGCATTGGACCCATGCTCCAACATTTTGTTACCAGAGTATTTACTACTACAACAGATGAGGGACACAAATTTTGTCTGTGCTACATAAACAGTTAAAAAGAAAAACAAGCCAACTAGGATAACCAGTGCTCCTATTTCCCCACTAGATCCGGTAGTTTTCTGTATTCAGAATTGTAAAAAAAAGAAGCAACGGAAACTTCTGTTTGAGATAAAACTCTATCCCCAATATACGCTACACTTCTGCTGAGCCCTGCTTTCCTGGGAAGAGAGGAGAGGAAGAGCATGGTTGCCAGCCACAAGGAAGTCCACTGAAGTAATGAAATACTAGGTTTTTCAGTTCAGCCTTTGCCACGTACCAATCCCAGCACAGATGTACAGGTAGTTTTATAAACATTCAGCTACCTTCCTGCCCCAGAATTAAGGTGGGGAGGTGAGCCAGCATTCAGTCACAATGCCCCACCCCAAATACACACAGGCACACTCCATACATCTTTCAAGCCATTGCCTCCTCAAGAGGTGAGCATAGGCCTCCATTAGTGCAAACAGTTCCCTAAGCTAACATCATTGACAAGAACTGGAAGAACTTCTCATTTGAACTCCTAGCATGTGACAAGCGCGCGCGCACACACACACACACACGCACACGCACACACACACACTTCAGCACACTCAAGATTGCTTTAACAAAATCAGAGTCCCCTCCTTTCAGGATAGACATAGGAAAGGAGGACATTCTTATAAAGCTGCCCCCAGTATCCCAGTGGTCTCTTAGCAGCAGAACTGTCCTTGGTGGAGAGGATATCCTTCCTAATTGCTGGTCTATCTAGCAGATGGGGGGATATCAATTCCCCAGTGCACCACAGACCCATTTCTTTCTCTCTTATGTGTACACACATCCTACCAAAAACTACAGAACTCCAACTAAGACTGGACAACTACATTACATGGCACAAGGGAGGTGGAGTGGAATACAGATGTGCCCCTCCCACCCAGTCTGTCCATGGAGCCTCTTTAATGTGGAGGGCAAGCAGGATCAGGACAACAGTCCAGAGTTAGGCGCTGCTCCTCCCCTGCCAAACAGCTCGCCTTGTCAGTAGTATATGCAGCAAAGCATGGCAGACAGGGCTGGGGCGCAGGGGGGTGGAGGAGAGAAGAGGGTGCCCCCATTCTGTAGAAAAAGTGCAAAGTGGCTTCCAGCCCTAGGAGGCATGTCTCTGCACCCCACACTGTGCTTGTATTAAAAATGGGGGAAGAAGGGGAACAGAGGAAGAATAGTTTGGGGGAAGCTAAATGATTGAAAGCCGGGGCATTGGGGGGAAAGGGAGTCCTACCCGGCAGCTGCCTGGAGTCTCATCTGGATGTGTGGGGCTGGGAGTGCCTGTCCCTCTCTTTGTTTCCTCTGGTGCTCACTTGCTCACTCACCCCCCTCAAAGTCAGCTGACCCGCTCTGACACAGGTGTCCTGGTGTCCACGGCCTCATCCCTGTTTGCAGGCCGGGGCAAGGCCGCGGAGGACGACACAGTGTCTTTGCGCTCATGTTTGTAGGGCACAGCTGTGCCGCCAGGCTGAGTCTTAGGTGGCTCTTTGGCGCAGCCATCACTTTCTGGAGCCTTCTCCTCTTTACAGCTCTTGCTACTCAAGTCCTGGGGTTCAGCTGGAAGGTTCTTGTTGTCCTTGGGGCTTTCAGGGGACTGAGCAGGGGAACTGCCCTGGGGCTCTGAAGGTGACTGATGGAGTGGGTGATGCTGATCCTTCTTGCCAGGGGAGGAGGAAGGGGCCGAGGTTGACACTGCATTGCCCCCTCGTCCTTTAGGACTGCTTTCTTTGCTGCGGCGTCCTGGGCTCTTGGCAGCCGTCCGCTGTCCCTTGGGGCTCCATTCACCTGTGTTGCTTGGGAGAGGTGGGGTTGGCTTGGCTATCTCTAGGCTTACTGTTTCACGTGTCTTGCGTTTCTTGATGGGCAGTACAGTCTCCCGGACAGCCTGGATGACAGGCTCCTTGACTGCTTTCTTTTTGGCTTCGGCAATTGCAGCTGCTGCTCCACTGCCTGGTTTACGCCCCCGTTTCTTGGGTACAGCCTGGGGGTCTGATTCAGTTTTTCTCTTGCGACCAGGACGCTTGATAACCATGACCTGCGATGAGGTGGTGGCCCCACCTGCGCTTTCTGCCTTTGCTCCAGTGGGAGAGGACTGCAAAGGCATCTTGACCAGCAGCTTTCCTGAACTCTTTTCAATCACCCGCTTCACCTGCACACCTTCTGAGGCAGTTCCTCTGGGTTTGGCAGAGCCACTGCCTTTAGGCCGTCCCCGTCCACGACCTGTGCCAGCAGTTTTAGGGGCTTTGGGTTTCTTGGGAGGCTTTTGTTCCCGCCGTGAGGGGCTCCCACGTCCAGTTACCGTGAAATCAAAATCATTAGGATCCAGAGATGTGTCCCCCACCTTTTCAAAGTAGGCGATGAGCTCAACTTTGGAACGGAAGGCCTTGCCCTGGGGACTGCGATTACAAGAGCCAGAGGTATGAGAAAGGGAAAAAAGAAAAGGGAGGGGAAGAGAAGAATTAATAGCATTCCAGTACAGATACACATATTAGAATACCACATGCACTAATGAGGCCTCTGCTTTCTGGGAAGCACTAAGCAAGCACAGGATAATCTTCAGTGGATGATCCTGTACTTGCTTAATACTGGCTGAACCTTCGATTGAATAACATCAGATCTGAAATAACTGTACGAAAGAAAGGAGAGGGTTTGGGGAACATTATGTTGGTTTATTCCCTGTGGGCTGAACCTTGCTCCTCCCTATTTTTGCTCCTTTGCCAACATAGATGTCTTATTCTTGATTGAAAGCAAACTGAAACATGTGGCAAACAAGTTACTGCCCCGCAAATATTATGTGAAACAGTTTATTTGAAGGTTTATTTCTTAAGAAATACCCTCCCCACTTTTATTTTGCAATTTAAATCTGCTAGGAGGGGGAGGACAGTGATTTCCTGGCTATCACAAAGACAAGCAATCACTTGTATAAATTAAGCTTCTCCTAACTTAAGAAGGAGTTCCCCAACACCAACAAAAAGAAACCAGCATGTGGTTAAGAGTGTTGAACTGCAACTCAGGAGCTTAATCTCCACAAGGCCTTAAAGCTCAGTGGGTGACTTTGCATCAGTCACTCTCACCCTAATCAACCTAACAGGGTTGCTATGAGGATAAAAAGGAGAGGAGGATTATATAAGCCGCTTTGGGATTCTTGTTAAAAAGAAAAAGGCAGAATAGAAATATAATAGATACATAAATAAATTCTGATGAGTGCAATGCCATTGCCAACGAACTACTGGATTTATGTATGTCTGTTTCCACTCTCAGCAACTGCCATATAATCCTGCTCATGAATTTCACTGGGAAGTCTGTCTAATGACTCTCCTGGTTTCTGTCCCATCAACTCCAGTTAAGGAGTTGCCAGACAAAAGCAAAAAATACTGGGATACAGAGTCCAACAGTCAGATTCTGAATAAAGTAACTTCACAGTTCAGCTTCATGGCAGACTGTGGGTGCTTCCGGATAGATAACGTCTAGCCCTAGCAATCAAAAGACATTGTACAGCTAATTCAGTCTTTTTTTATGTAATTTTTTTGGTTTATGTGCAGTTCAAATGGTGGACTGTGGGCTGGGGGGAAGAACTGTACGAAACAAGTGTAGTCAGAAGGAAATTAAGAAAGTACTGACAATGATAATCCCCCTTTTAACAGTGGTCAGTCACACTGCAGTCACTGTTGATAACACATACATCCTGCTGTAAAAGAGAAAATTAAGAAATGTGAACCTCATCTGCAGTCTGAAATGGAACAGGGAAACTAAAAAACAAAGAACCATGCATGTAAACCCCACAATGGAACCGGATAAAATTGAGTTCATGCTTGACTGAGATCACAGGGTGAAAAAGGTCAGCAAAAGTGAAGTCCTGAAAGTTATACTCTCTGTTCCTAAAGCCCAGAGAATATGTGGGCTGGCTGTGGTAACTCAGCAGTGATAGGGCAGGACATGGCACATGCTCAGAGGGATTTCTGTTCATCTTTCCCAAAATCTAACAAATCAGGTTCCAGGACTAGACTGTACTAAGCAGTCCTGTTTTTTTTAAAGCTTGAGGGACAGTATATACTGAAAACAACACACAGCCAATAACTCACTTGATAAGGTAGACATCGTACTTCCCTGCTGAACGACCAGACTTCCTTTGCTTGAGCTTACGGGTCCAGCCCTCAGGCAAAGTAGGGTCATCATACATAGGCCCACGATCTCGGATAACAGAACGGCGCTGTTTGGGAGAGGCAGAGGCTTCAGGCACAGCTGGAGCAGTCCCAGCTCCTTCTGACATCTCTGCCTTGCCAGCTTCAGCTGGTTCAACAGAAGGATGTGCATGCTCATGTTGCTTTTCCTCTTTCCGATCCTTCTTGACTTTTTTGAGTTTGGGGGACTTGTCCTTTAGGCCCTGTAAGTCTTGGTCCTCAGATTTTTCTTCCCTACAGGAAAGAAGAAGCCCATGTGAGTGCTAAGCATGCCACAGAGGAAAATATAAGCCAAATTAATGAGTGAGACAAGAACCAGGCACCCGACTGCAGCTTCAGGCAAAGCTACAATCATAAAATGCCCTCCTCCATGCCTTTAGAACACCATCTGCTAGAGCTTCAATAATTAGAAAGAAGACGCATAGGAGCCCTGATGCAAAGGTAGATGATTATGAGCTATCAGTGGGATGTGTCAACTAAAAAGGCAAATTAAATCCTAATATCTATTGTTTACATCTCCTACAGTAGCAGTATGAAGCCATCATGTGGGACACCAGTAAAGCCTCATTTGAAACAGAAATGGATGTTCTTATCTTGAACACATTTTTCCAGCAGAAACAATGAATAGTAGAACCACTAGCCCTAAATTGTTGAAAAGTTTACATAACCAGTAGTATTGAAAATGAGAACAGAACATTTTGTATGCTTAACCTTAGGGCTGAAATGTAATTCTCCCTCTTTTTCTGCATTTATTTCTATGCTACCTAAATACCAAAGCTTTCTGGGTGGTTCACAAAATGCATAACACACATAAAATATTAAATATTAACACAGAATAATATGCTAAAACAGCTACAGCTAAAACAGTTATAAGATAACTAGAACCTGATAAACCAATTAATTTTGAAAGCCCATCATATGCCATTAAATGCCTGGAAGTAGAGGACAGTATTAGCCTGGCACTGAAAGGATAATGGTATTGGAACCAGTTGAATCTCAGGAGGGAAAACATTTCACAGTTGGAGGGCTACCACAAAGAAGGCCCTCTCCTTTATTGCAATCCTCAAGGAGACATTTGAAAAAGAGTCTCAAGTGATTATCATAGTGTACATGAAGATTCAAGAGGTGCTCTGTCAGGCTGTATTATCAGATCATATAAGGCTTAACAATAAAAAAAAGCAGCACCTTTAATTGGACTTGGAAACATAGAGCCAATGCAGGTGGGTCAAAATCAATGCTATACATTCAGACCTTCTGGCCCCATCTATCAGTAAGGCAGTTGCATTTTCTACAAGCTGCAGTTTCCAAACCATTGTTAAAGGTAACCCCAGACACAACACATTGCAGTAATCTAACCTGGAAATGACCAAAGCATAGACTATTGAAGCCAGGATATCCCTGTCCAGATAGGGGCACAACTGATCCACTAACCAAAGCTTGAAGAAAGAACCTTGTGCCACTGGCCCTCACATGACAATGATGATACCAGGAGACCCTCCAGCTATAAGCCTGCACCTCCAGGGGTTGAAGGTGAACACCCTTCATCTAGTCAGACAAACCACCCCACTAACCACATCTCAAGTGACTGGGTTGACTTTCAGTTTATTAGTCCTCATTCTGTCTACTATTGCAGCCAGGCACTGCTACTTGGCACATTCCCAACCTCACCCACCCTCTCTCTGGAATAGATCAGAGTTTTGTAATACAACACAGATTTGCAATTTAAGTTAGTATAAACGCAACAGTGTAATAACTAGAGGCCACAAGGCTTGGACGTAAAAATATAAGACATGCTAGATCAGAACAAGGGTCCATCTAGTCCAGCAGTTGGTTCAACAGCAGCCAAACAGCTGCCCAGGGAAGTCCACAAGCAGGACATGAGGGCAGTAGCACACTCCCGCTCATGTTCACCCACATATGGTATAAACACTGCATCCAATACAAACTTTAATGTGCAGCCAACTGCACTAAGAATAGCATAAACTTGTTTAAACTTAGGGATTGCCCCATTTGATACCCAAGTACTTACATCAGTACCCATAAAGGAGTCACCAATATGATGCCCATGGGCACCTAATTTTTTTCTTCCATTTTAATATACATAGATTAATATGTATGAAATACACACAGCTTTCTAGCAATTAAACATAGATGTCAATGAAAGTGAACTAAATATCCAAATAAGAATCTATTTGAAGGTCATTTTTATAACCCACCTGTTCAATTTTGAAAGCATTGTAAAGTTCTCAATCTATTGCATTCTAGCAGCTGTTTATCCTTCCAATGCTGTTATGTCAATCAGCTGTCACAGAGAATCCATTTCCTCTTCCATTTGTTAATTTCCATGAAGCAGTTAATAATTTAAAAGAAGATATACCTCAATTAAAGACTGTTCCAGTACAGAATTTGTCTGCGTAATAATGTCCTGCCAAAAAGAGGCAACTAGTGGCATTACCCAAAAGTATGTTTAAAAGAAACAGTAGCTGTAATGCACTCCCAACAATTGACTTGTGTGTTGGTCAACAGACACCAAAGCAAACGATTTTGCTGTGTAAGATGCAGTCTAAGATTCATAGATGTAACAGGTAGATGCCAAAATGGTGATCCACTGATTAGGCATTTAGTGGTGGTATCCACAGCATTTTTTCAAATTCAGAGATGTGCCCAAAGACCCAAGATATTTGGGGGTCATGGTCTAACCCCATTTAAGACATCTAAACTGGTGGCAATCATCACCTCTTGTGGTGGTGAATTCCATAGTATGTGCATGTTTCTTCAAGAAATTAATTCTTTCATTGTTAAATGTTCTCTGACACATGGGATGAAGCCAGGGAATGCAGTTCAAAGAAAAAAGAAGCTTCCAGAGACTGAAACAAAAGCGCAGGTGCTTATTTGCTTGGTCAGTGGAGTTCCTAAGAACCTGTAGTTCTCTCTTCAGCACCCCTTATAGCAAGGGATGCTTAAAATCCTGAAGTGCTTATGAACTGAATGTCTTTTCAGATTTTCCAAAAACAAAACAAAAAATACCCAACAAGACACCACTATACAAAACCTATTAATAAAACACAGAGGATGCAGAATATTGCAGACTATGGAATTTACATTGCTAAATACAGTGTAGTTGTTCCACCCCAACACCTCAGTATCAAATTTTATTCCCAGTCATTCCCCTTTCCTTCAGAAAAAGGGAACCTGGCAGTACTGATAAACAGAAAGAAAGGAGGTGTTTAGGGGAAAATATTTAGATCTGCCAGCCTACAATTACTGCTGCAAAAATTCAAACTGTTTGTAAATAAAGCTGGTGAAGCAAGATCTAGAAGATTACATTGCTTGGCTTCTTGAGGAGGAGTGCAAAAATCATACTTAAGATTGCAGAAAGAGGATGTTGCTTGATCACAACAGTGCAGTGGTACCTTGGCTCACGAACTTAATCTGTTCCAGGACTCTGGTTGTGAGCCAAGTTAAATTTCCTCATAAGGTTCAATGTAAATAAGGTTAATCTGTTCTGTAACTATTTTTAATCAGAAAAATGTGAAGCAAAGTGACAAAGAGCAACAAAGATCGTGGCCATCTCCCCTGCCCCCCCCCCCCAGCACGACCGCATTTGCACCTGTCATCCCTGCAAGCGCCCATCATTCCAGCACGCTGCGGGGTGGAGAGATGGGCGCGATTGTTGGCACGCTGGGGGGGGGGGAGGCAGGGGGGGATGTGGGGGGGCTGGGGGGGGGGGGGGGGGAGATGGCCGAGATCACAGTTGTGCTCGTGCAGGAAAGACGGGCACAATCATGGGCATCCTCATGCAGGAAAGACGGGTGAGATCTTGGCCATCTCCTCCCCCCCACCCCCAGCACAATCGTGGCCATCTCCCCACTCAGGGGTGGGGTGGGGAGATGGTTGCCATCGCGGTCACCACCCAATGCGAAGTTCACGACCCAAGTGAAAATTTTTATGAAATTTTTGTTCGCAACCCAATTTGGTCGTGAACTGAGGCGTTCGTGAGCCGAGGTACCACTGTATTTTAGGCAGGCAGAATGTATTTCTCAATTGGTACTGATAATACGCAAAATAGAGATACTGTACATATCTCTGGCAATACCAGATAAATACTCTTGCATATATAATATAATCCTGGTTTTAGGAGTGGCTACATGTTTTACATTAATTTACTTAATTAGGAAATATACTTAGGACATAATTATCTTTATCTAGCATTTATTGATCTCTCTTCTACTTTTGTCTCTATTAACAGAAACAGATTACAAAAGTTACAAAGCTCTAAGATTCATTGTAGGTTCCTGATACTGATTAAGGAGCTATATACCAACACAGAAATGAGGATTAGGGTTGGGCAGAATGTGGTTCCTTAACTGAGTCATTTAAAACAACTCAGGGGGTAAATCAAGAATGTTTCTTAGCCTCCACTCTTTTTAATATTTAATGTTAATGATCTAGTGCCATATCTGACACAAGTAAATTCTCCTCCTCTAGTAATTATGAACAAAAAACCTTTATTTTGATATATACAGATGATTTACTGTTAATTTCTCTCTCTCATGTGGGTTTGAAGAATCTTTAAGAAGCAGTTAGTACTTACTGTAAACATGAAGACTTGTCAATAAATTACTCTAAGACTAAGAATATGGTTTTTGGAATTCATGGATCTAAGTATAAATGGCATCTGGACTTACATGTTATTGAACAAACTCATTTAGATATTTAGGCATCCTTTTTAACAAGTTGTTCTCATGGAAAGAGCATAGGATGGCAGTAAAACTGAAGGCATAGAAAACCACTGGAACATTAATGTTTTATTATAACAAAGGTGGGAAGCTGATTGATCCTACCCTGAAAGTTTATTATAATAAAGTGATCACACAAATGCTTTATGGGGCTGAAATCTAGGGAACTGACAGAACTATCCATTCATGTTTTGGAACTAGTGCAGAACAATTTATTTTGCAAACCTTAATGTCTTCCTCCCATAACCCCTGTAGCCTTCTTGCATATAGATTCAGGATTGTCATCAATCAAGACAAGAATTGACTGTGCTCAATTGTGGTACCCTGAACAAATTGCACTTCTCCCTAAAGACCATTTTCCAGCTTTGTGCCATTTAGAAATGAATGAAAAATATACCTGGAAGTTAAAGCTTCATAATTAGGCATGTAGCTGTTATATTTCTGATCTGAATACCACCTTTATTCTGGATATGAGATAATTAAGGGACTGGGTTT